CTTCAAACCTAATGGAAAAACTAATACATTAGGGATGTACCAGCTTGGCTGCTGAGGAGCATGGGGAGCACAGGGAGAGAGGGAAGCGCAGCAGAAGAAGTGGACCTGGAGTGGAGTAGAGAGAGGGGCCCATCTTAATGGACCCAGAGTTGGTGGGGGAATCACCTGGCCCACATGCTGATAGTCTGGCAGGAGCCAGGGTGGCTGGCATGGGAACCATTTATAAGCACCGTGCAGTAGTGAGCACAGACAGGAGATCAGGAACTCATAAAAGAAGTTGCCAGCATCCCTAGCAGTTGCCTGTTATGATCCCCGGAGTGTTCCTGAGCCAGACTGACTGAAACAGGTGCAAAGTCATTGTGCCTGGAATATCCAAGCTCCAGATATCAAAGAAAGAGAGTGCTTCCTTTGTTGCTGGTGCCCCATGAGAGCTATTGGGAAGACACCTGTAGTGGCATTCCAGGGAAGATGCATGGTAACTCACATTCATCACAGTGAAGGTGAAACCTGTGGAGGGTTAGTCCCAATGCCCTAAAAGTGTATTTTACTAGAGGGCCTAGTGATCCAGACACCCAGCAGAGCAGGCATCTTCACAGCAATTTAGGGAGCAAATCTCAGATCCCCACCAACAGAGTTCCAAAGTTCAGCCAGGACTAAACCCCAACTATTGGAACTTCCAATTTAAACTCTGTAGCACCCCACTGTAGGAATACAGAGTTCATCAGCACTCCCTAGTCTGTCCCACTCTACACAGGGAGACAGGAAGCTGAGAGATGCTACAACCAGCTTTGCTTCCTAGTCTTTATAGCTGGAAGCTAGGTGAAGAACACAAATACATTGGACTTGCCATCCCCCAGCCTGTGACCCCAGAGTCAGAACCCAAAAATAAATATAAAGAATGGAAATCCATCTCTGCCAATAGTTTTGACCACTTTAATAGAAATAAGCCCTTTATTTATCATTAAGATTTTTCTTCTTTTTTTCTTATCTTTTTACAAATTCCCATTTTTTTACTTTTTAAAAAGTTTTCACTTTAAATTTTTTTTCAAATATCATTTCATTGTATTTTATTATTTTTTAATTTTTTCCATTCTGTGAGATTTTGTGTGTATGTATTTGTATAGGGGGGTAAGTGTGTTCTTACTGCACATAGGTTTGAAAATATATATATGGAATTTTACTTTAATTGCTTTCTTCTGCACCTGTTTATCATTAAACCTTGATTTGACTTAGGTGAGGTATAATTATATGTGGATTTGAGTTGTTTTTATCTTACATTTGCTTATTTGTTTATGACTTGATTTTTTTGTCCCTCTTATTTCCCCTTCGTCTCTTCCCCCACTAATAGCCAAAATTTCCTTTTCCTTTTCCTTTCTATTTTTTATTCATTTAGTTAATAGTTTATTTCTTTTTCTTCATAGCCAACCTCTGCTATCTCCTGCCTCTCCTTTGTTCACTTTTCAAAATATGTCATACTTTCTCTTGCCTTTCTACCATATTTTCACTTAAGAAGCTATAATCCCACTATTAGAATTATATAATTTGTTGTAATTCCTACCCCATTCACATTGTGATGATTAATATAATTGATGATAGTAGACACCTGTTATTTAATGCCTGATCTAGTTCACAATTTTTTTTTTTATTGTTAAATGCAGACCCCACGATTCCTGAATAGGTGACAATTAGTGTTACAGGTGTCAATGTAGACACTGGTATTTATCTTAAAGCTGTATACCTGTTGCTAACATTAGTGCTATTCCGAGTTCTTCATTTTCTCTAGGAGGGGCTGGAAAGTGGGACAGTTAAGTTTACAGAGTAGAAGCCCTACTGCCAAGCAATACTCACAACTCAGACAAGTGACAGCAAGTCTCACCCCACACACAATCTAGCCTCACCTAATCCTCACCAATACTTCAACATGTGGAATTGGGGATACAAAAACCCCAAACCAACAACCAGTCCTCAAAGAGAAATAACCAGAGAGGGACCTGAGGTCCTACTCTTGGACCATCTTCTCATACATCAAAAACAGAGAAATCCCAGAATAAAAAAGATAGCTACACACAAAAGGCCATGCACATAAAAGAGGAAGGGGAATCCATCTCAATTCTGTACAAGTCTAAGACTTCTGAAAACATCAGGAAACAGGCAAACAAATCTCCCCCCAAATTCACAGTTCCCCAACAGAGGATTCCACAGATATGGAAGTGAGTGAAATTCCAGAAAAAAGATTATTAAAAACTGATTATTAAAATGTTTAATTAAAAGAAGATCTAAAGAATGAGTTAATAGAGCAATTACAAAAAAAAGAAAAAAAAAGAGCAAATACATGATATGAAAGACCATTTCAATTAAGAAATAGAGATATTGAAAAGAAACCAATTCCAACTCTTGGAAATGAAAGACACAATAAATTCAATTTTAAATTCACTTGAAAGCATCACCAACCAATTAGATTGTGTCGAAAATAGAACTTCAGGCCTTGAAGACTGGATATATGAATTTGAATAATCAGTATGCAATAAAGGAAATGAAAAGACCATGATCAAAATATGTAAGAAGTCTGAGACAGCATCAAGAGAACAAACCTGAGAGTCATTGTGATCGAAGAGAATGTGGAGATAGAGGCTAAAGTTATTAAGGATGTTTTCAATGATATGGGAACAGAAAACTTTCCTCATATCAAATGAGATAGACATCTGTATATAGGATGCATATAGGACCCCAAATAGACAAGATCAGAACAGAACCTCTCCAAGACATATCATAATCAAAATACCTAAATAGAAAATAAGGAAAAAATACTAGAAGCTACAAGAGGAAAACATCAGGTCACATGTGGAGGCAAGCCAATAAGGCTTACTTCTTACTCTCAACTCAGGTCCAGGAATTAATGTCATGTATATAATAGAGATTATTGCTGCATTTTTGAATAATGACTGATCTTATTTTATACTTTTATTTTTTCTACTGTTCAGTAATATTAAAAATAATAAGCTGGGCACATGCCTATAATTCCAGTTTTTGGGGAGGCTGAGATAGGAGGATCACAAATTTGGGGCTAGCCTCGGCAATTTAGGCCCTGTCTCAAAAATAGGCCCTGGGAATGTAGCTCAATGATAAAGTACCCCTGGTTTCAATCCCTAGTAGAAAATAAAAATTAAAAAATACTCAATTTATACATATATACAAATTTTATTTGTTATTATAATAATACTTAAATTCAGGTGGGAATCCAAGAATTAAACTATCAGGCCTAACACAAGCAGAAATCAAGGTAGTATAGGAATTTCTCCAGCCTCTCCCGTTAGTGTTTATCTGCTTTTCTTTGTATCTTGTTGGTTCATTGTTATCCATTTGGCTTCTTGTGAGCCTCAGCTACCACAGGCTTATCTCTATGTGACCATTCAGCACATCAACTATACTCTTTAATTCAAATTCCTAAAAGAGAACCCAATTTGCCCAATCCCTTTGCAGGCAACACTATACAACTAGGTCTTGGAGCAAACATCTATATTGACTGCTCCCAGTCAGGTGTGCTTCAGTTGGTGAGGGCCCAGGGCTTTGTCCTGCCTTCTGATAGTTGGTATAGTCACACGGCCCACTGCCTTCTCGTCCAGACTGTTAGTCTTAAGCCCCAAACGCCGCATGCATGTCATATCATTTAACATCTCTAGGTTAAACATTTTTAAAGGTTACCAGATGTCTTAAAATTACTTTTAACCTTAATGTAAAACTTTACTTACTTATTTGTTTTTGTTTACTAGGGATTGAACCCAGGAGCACTTTGCTGAGCTACATCCCCAGCCCTTTTTATTTTTTATTTTGAGACAGGATCTCACTAAGTTGCTAAGGTTAGCCTGGAACTTGTAATCCTCCTGCCTTAGCCTCCAAAGTTGCTGGGATTACATGCATGGGCCACGGGTGCCTGGCAAGATAGAACTATCTTGAAACTCTTTAGATATATTGTTGCTTGTGATTTTCCTTTCTGAAAATTTGTACACATTCTCTATATATGTTTTCCCCTTCTTGTATCTATTTTACTTTATTGTTTTCCTTCATCTTAAAATGCCACATTGCTATACATTTGATTTTAATACTTACTAAGAAGTGAATTGGCATAACTTCAGTTACTGGAATTCTTTGACTTTACTCATCTTATGGAATATCTCCCCCATCCCTTCTTCCAGCATTATTAACTGAATTCTAGGGTTTCAGGAGGGTGGGCCAGTGATTGTGGGCTCTATTAATGAAAAAATCAGTTTATATTTTTAACAGGTGTGTCTGTCTGTTTTAAAACATGTAAAGCAAGAAAAATTTTGCATAAGTAATGGTTTTATTTTTATTCTGTTTAAGAGAGAGTCAGAACCCACCTTGACCGCCACTCCTCACTAGTGTCTACTCTCCAGGTGTTGTCACTTAACCCCTTCTTGGCTATGCTCAGGCATTGCAAACCTGGGATTAGTGAAGGAGTACTTGAGATCAGAACCATGCCTGAGAATATTATAGATTAGGACCAATGCCCAGAAATTTTAAGCAAAATTCTGTTAAAAACAACAGAACAGGTCTGGGGTTGTGGCTCAGTGGTAGAGTGCTTGCCTAGCATGTGTGGGGCACTGGGTTTGATTCTCAGCACCACGTAAAACAAATATAATAAAGATATTGTGTCCATCTGCACCTAAATATTTTTTAAAAAACAACAAAACACATAATTTTAAAAGTAAATTTGTAGTCATTTTTCTAACCTTTTTTGTAATGTTTATTTTTTAGCTTGGTCATGAGCACAGACAGTAACTCATTGGCACGTGAATTTCTGACCGATGTCAACCGGCTTTGTAATGCAGTGGTTCAGAGGACAGAGGCCAGGGAGGAAGAGGAGGAAGAGACACACATGGCAACCCTTGGGCAGTACCTTGTCCATGGGCGAGGATTTCTGTTACTTACCAAGCTAAATTCTCTCATTGATCAGGTAACATTTTTCATCAGTATAACACAGTTGATTACAACTTGGTAACTTTTGGGTTACGTAGTTTCTGAGAGTCTCTTTTGAGATAAAATACTCTTATGTCTCTCCAACAGAAAAAAAATGGCCCCAATTATGTACACATTGTTTATTTGGATACTTTTCAAAACATCTGAAATATCTTCAAAGTTTCAAATGGCCTTTCTTCTAATGTGGTTTCATATATATGCTTTTTATCCTAATAGCAGTGAGATTACCATAATTATGGGTAGGCATACAAGATTACAGTTCAGAAACATGAATTCACATTTTCAATAGAGATAAAATATGTTTTTGAAAAGTTAAATATGGATTATACTTTGGGAACTTGCTAATTCGGGAGTGAAATCAGTGAATCCTTTTGTGTTAACCACTAATTACTGAGTCCTATAGTTTATTCCTCTAGTTTTTCATACATTGGTATTTTTGCTTGAAATAGGGCCATATGTTTTTGCTGTTTCTTTATTACAGAATTAACAGAGTTTCAAAGCTAGTTGGGGTTAGAAAGCAGTCTTCATCTAACCTTTTGTAGATGAGAGAACAAATGCAAAGGCACTAAGCAACTCACAGTTAACTGAAGTCAAATATGATGGAAAGAAAACTCTGCAGTATGCTTTCAGGAACCAATTAATATAGTCATATAATATTTCAGTTACCTTGGATTTAAAAGATAATAAGGTTTCTGTAGCATCAATATGACATTTTTAAATACATTGAATGTTACGGACTTTACACATGCACTTAACTATCACTAAAAATTTCTTTGCTCTGAATGCATTTTACTAATAAATATGTTTAAAAATGTCATATGTACCTAAGTTTGTTTTACCATTATCCTGTTGTTTAACCATTTGAGTTGTATGCATTTATGAATTTAGTTGTATGCTATTATGAATACACCTGCTGTGAATATTCTTGTAAAAGTCTTTATGTGGGTATGTTTTCATTTCTCATGGGCAACTATCTAGGCATGCAATTGCTGGGTCAAAGAGTAGGTGTTTGCTTAACTTAAACTGTCAAATTATATTCAGAGTAGTTGGACCATTTTTTATTCTCACGAGCAATATATGAGAATTCAGTTGTTCTAAAGCCTCTCTAATATTTGATATTGCCAGTTTTCTTGGTATTAGCTATTCTTAAATGAATATAAATTAGTAATCTTCTTGTGGTTTTAATTTTCATTTCTCTGACAACTGATGATATTGAACACTTTTTATGTACTTATTGGGCATGTATATATAACGTGTCATCCCTTACCCATGGGTGATACATTATAAGAGCCCCTGTGATACCAGAAATCATGGATAGTACCAAACTTTCTCTACACTCTTTTTTTCCTCTAAGTAAATACTTATGGTAAGGTGTAATTTATAATTATACATAGTAAGATATTAATAGCAATAACAATGAAATAGAGCAGTTGTGACAACATACTATGGTATTAATAATTGGCAAGTTATTTATTTCTGGAATTAAACTGTGGTTGCCTGTGGGTAACCAAAAGTGCAGAACTAAAGTCATGGGAAAGCGCAGACTGTTGTATGTTGTATCTTCTTTTATGAATGTCCAAGCTTTGTGACATTTAAAAATATATATTTATGTTTTAGTTTTAGGTGGACACAATATCTTTATTTTATTTTTATGTGGTGCTGAGGATCAAACTCAGTGCCTCATGCATGCTAGGCGAGCGCTCTACCACTGAGCCACAACCCCAGTCCTGCTTTGTGCCATTTTTAAGGTCTGAATATTTGATTATCATCCAGTCATAGTTCTTTGTGTATTCTGGAGACAAGTCTTTGTTGAGTTCCAAGTATTTTTTGTGGCCTTGTCATTTCTTTTCTTTTTTCTTTTTTTTAAATATTTATTATTATTTTTAGTTGTAGTTGGACACAATACCTTTATTTTTTATTTATTTATTTTTATGTGGTGCTGAGGATTGAACCCAGGGCCTTGCACGTGCTAGGCGAGTGCTCTATCCCTGGGCCACAACCTCAGCCCTGTGACCTTGTCATTTCTTAACAGTGTCTTTGGAAAAGATTATTTTTTCTTTCATACTGATTTTGTTGTGTGTCCTAAGAAATCTTTGTCTTGCAACCCCAAAGTTGCAAGATATTCTTCTAGTTTTCTATTTTTTTTTTTCCTAAAAGCTTTTTGGTTATTACTTTTGCCTTTAGGTTTGTGATACAATTTGAGTTAATATTTGTGTGTAGTGAGAGTTGTGGGGTTGTGGTTCTTTCCTCCTCCTTCCCTCATACAGTTACCCAGTTGTTCCAGCATCGTTTCTTCTTATCGGCCTGCTCTTTCCACAGTGGATAACTTTGGTGCCTTTGTTGAAAACCATTTGACCATATGTGTATGATCTCACCCTGGACTTTCTTTTCTGTCTTACTGGTCTGTCATCTCTTCTTTCCCCAATACCATACTATCTTGATTACTGCAGCTTTTATAAAAGAAGTCTGGAAATTATGTAGCGAAGGTCGCCAGTTTTATTCTTGTTTTTCAACAAGTTTTCTCTTCTGTGTTCTTCAAAATTCCATACAAATTTTAGCCATCTTTTTACTTCTACAAAAATGCACACCCTTATTTCACTTGGGTGTGATGTTGAGTTCATAAATCACTTTGGAAGGAACTGACAAAACATTGTTGTCAGTTTGCCAGTCCTTAAACATGGCATAAATCTCTGTTTAGTTGGGTCTTCAAACTTTTCAGCAATATTTTATGTTTTTTTTAAATGTTTACTTTTTAGTTGTAGTTGGACACAATAGCTTTATTTTATTTATTTATTTTTATGTGGTGTTGAGGATTGAACCCAGGGCCTCAAATGTGCTAGGCAAGTGCTTTCCACTGAGCCACAACCCCAACTATTTTATGGTTTTTTGATGTAGAAATCTTGCACATTTCTTGGTTAAATCTACTCAAAATATTTTATTCTTTTTTGATGCTATCATAAATGACATTTAAACTTTTAATTTTTCTATTGTTTGCTTGTAGAAATACAGCTGCTTTTTGTATATTGACCTTTGCTAAATTCACTTATTAAGTCATGAAAATTTGCTGTAGTTTCCTCAGGGTTTTCTATGTAAACAATCTCATCTGTGATTAATGATAGTTTCACTTCTTTCCCAATTTTATTTTCTTGCCTTTAGTGCTGGCTTATAGAACAAAGGCAGGTGGAAGAGGTGAAAGTGAACATCCTGGCCTTGTGTCTGACTACAGGGAAAGCATGCACTATTTTACCATTGAATGTGATGTGGGTTTTTGGTGTTTCTTAGATACCTTTGATCGGAATGGGGGATCTCTTCCAACATAAAAATTGTTTCCATGTAATATTTGATAATAATGGTTTCTGATTTCTTCTGTACTCTGATTATAAATATATAGCTGCATTCTTACACAGTAGATAGAAAATAACAATGATCTATTGCCAATAGTATTTAAAATTTGGACCAGTATACATAACCATGTGGTATAAATAGTACTGTTGAAAATTTCAGAGTTATATATTTAAACTGTATGAACATTTGATAAAATTGTTGGTTATTTTGCTGAGTAAAGTATGAAGTTTCACTGACAGATGTTATATATTGATGAATAAAATTTAATTTAGACATTTTAATAGGTTTCTTTGATTATCAGCTATATTCTGTGTAAAGTTCTTTAGTCTTATTATATTTTGGAGTATCATCACATTTATCTATAGTACTTCATAATTGGCCTATCTGTAGTAATATGGAAAATACATATGACAGGAAGACACCAGGCTTTGAAGAGCGTGCTGATACAGTGTGCTCACTGGTTCACTCAGCAGACCACTTGGCACCCACTGTGGGCCAGCGGAGATGAAAACATGCAGCGGGCTTTTCCAGGAACACTTAGCTTTTGAAGAGACAGGCAGATGGAGGAGTGTTGACCAAAGGTGGGAAGTACAGAGGAGTCTTCAGCAAGTGCTTCTGAGAAATGGATTCCCAGGAGGGGGCCTGAGGACATCAGGGCTGGAGAAAGAAGAGCACATGCAGTGAACCACAAGGGACTCGGAGCTGACAGCTCAGGCAGGGCTCACCCTGGAGTGGCCCCCTGGGCTCCTGTGAGGTCAGCTGGGCATACTTCTGGATTTTCAGTCAGTCAGCAGATGAAGGAGGGCTGTTGGATGGGGCTCGTGGCCAGGCTGCTGCAGTTCTCATCTCTCAGTGGGCTCAGCTTCTTTACATGTGGCGGGAGCATTCCAAGAGAGTGAGGGGGAAGCTGCAGGAAGCCACATTTTATCACTTTGGTTGCCTTATGTGGGTCAAAGCAAATCATGAGGCCAGCTCTGATTTAAGGGATGCAGAAATAGACTCCATCACTTGACAGGAGGAACTTCAATTAAGCTGGGGCCATGTTTCATATACCATCATCTCCTCTCTGGCCAAAATTAGAAGGTCATATTTCTGTAGGTTGGACAGCCCAGAGATGACGGGGAATGGATCAGTGTATGGCATATGGGGACACTTCCACTTGGCTGGACCCAGAGTATGCCCCATTCTCCTAGATACCATGACTATTATGTATCCATTGGATGTTGAGATATAAAACTAGAGGTGATCTGAAATAGAGGACTGCAAGTTCTAGTTTTCTAGGGTGCCCACAAATAATAGAAAAAGATTTGATAACTTCCAAAAGGACAGAATTAAATATGATTTTTTTTGGAACCAGAAAGGATAAATAAACCTGGGAATATATCATATCTAAAAAAGTAATAGGTCCAGTGGATTAGGGAGCACTGCTCTAATGATGAATAGGGTTAAAAATGATGGCAATTGAGTGTGAAACGAGAGTTGTTTCCTTGCTATTGTACCAGGCTGCCTGATGGTCTAGGGGTCCTCCTCAGGGGTGTAATTCCAGCAGAGGGCACAAAAACCAAAAATCTGCTCTTGCTGCAATATCATCCCTTTGAAAGGCTCGTGGTTTCTGAAAACTACTCCACTTGGTGAAGTGAGGCCAACAGGCATGCAGTTCTGAGGAGAGGAGCGGTCGTCTTGGGATGCTGGGGAAGGTGAAGCTTCACAGAGTAGATGCTGCCAAGGCTGGACCTCAAAGGTGGCCTGAGTACCCGAGCCGTGGGAAGGAGCCAGGGTGCTCGAACCTCGTGTAGTGCAGAGGTGAGCAGGCAGAAGTGTCTGCTCACACAGTAGTGGTGAGGTGCCAGCTTGCTGTTGTGGAGCAGGAGCCGAATTCCACAGAGCTGCTTCACACATCTTTGAGGTTTCTGCAAGTTCCCTTAGAATGCTGTTGGTTCATCTATTGAAGATAAAAAGCAGATGAGGAGGACTCTACAGGAATGGTGGGCTAAACAGGGGTTTACTGCTTCTAAAGTCATTTACATTTCCCCCCTGCCTTTGATTGTGTGATGGGACTTCCCCACTAGTCACTCCATTAAAGCTGCAATTGTTAAGGTCACCAGGGACCCTGCTTTTGCTAAATGCTCTTCAGCCACACAGTTCAAAAATAACAGCTTTTGACCCTGCTAACTCTCCTCTCTTTTCCTGAACTGCTCTCTTCTTTGGTTCCTCAGGCTCCACTTCTCTTTTGCCAGGCTTCTTGTGTGTAGGTTTCTCTCTGGTGCTGACTTTAAAAGCCTCCAGAGCTCAGTCCTCCTCAGGCTCCTCTTGTGTTTCTGCACACTCTTCCTGGGAAGCCTCACTATTGTACCAGGCTGCCCGATGGTCTAGGGGTCCTCCTCAGGGGTGCAATTCCACCCAGGACTCGCGGGTGTTTTTATTCAGATCTTTTCTTAAGTTCTAGGAATACATAGCCTTTGTCTACTGAAATGCATTTGGATATTCCACAGGCATCTCAGACTAAACAAGTTTAAAAAGTGAATCCATCATCTCTACCCCAACCTAATATCCCTCATAAATTTCCTGTTTTGGTGATTCATTATCAGCCATTATGAAGAGTCTTTTTAGATCTTTTATCCTCCCTCCCTTATGCCTCATAGAAAGTCAACTGCAAGTCATTTTAGGCCTACCTTACACTTTCTCAAATATTGTCTCCTTTACCATTTGTGTTGTCAGAATACTTCAGATGGTCATCATCTCTTTCATTAGACATTGTGTCTGTGCCTCTAATATTAACTGCCTCCCCTTACCAAATCCGATTGTATCACCCTGACCCCCTCCCAACAGGTTGGTGTGAGAAATAACTTCTAACTTGATTGGTCATTAAATCTTTGACCACCTGCGGCCCAGGGGGCCCAGGTCTCATAGTTCCAGTCCTACGTCAATATTTCTAATAAAGTGTGCTACTTTTCCTGAATTCCTAAACTGATTACCTGTACCACATCTGGGGACTTACTCATACTACATGACTTCTGTTGTTCTTGTTTGTATGTATTTTATGGACCAAATGAGGGGACCTTCTCCAGGGCTTGGACCATTTACTCCAGAAAGGGTAAGACAGTAAGTCCTGTAGATATAGTGTGCAGTCAATAAATATTTATCAGATTACCTTCACTAATAAATCCTTTTCTCTTTATATATATTATTTATTAATAGCATCATTTTGTTGTTTAAATTTTTTTGAGTTTTACATTTAACTGCATGAAGACTTAAAAATTTCTAGTAACTTCTTATTATTATTTTGCTAATTAATAGGGCTTAATTTTTCATTTTCACCTAACAAATCTGTTTTGTCATAGGTAGGTGAGGAATTCATGCAAGATGCATGGTAGTAATAAGAGCTATTTTTGGAAATAATAGCAAGAATGTGCTAAATACCAGCAAATACTCTCACATTCTTCTGTCATTGGAAAGGATTATAAATGGAAAAGAATCACAGTTTTAATTAGACTTACGATAGGTTAATTTGATTCCTTGCTTCTCAAATACAACTCTTCAATAAAAAGTGGTTTTGAGTTCCTTTTAAGACAGATATTAGGAAGAAAAGTATCTTATGCCCTTAGAACACAAAGGATTCTTTTGTTTCTGACAGGCGTTGACGTGCAGAGAAGAACTCCTGACTCTGCTTCTGTCGCTGCTGCCCCTTGTGTGGAAGATACCTGTTCAGGAGCAGCAGGCAGCAGGTATGGTCCCCTCAGCCTGTCACCGGCATCATCCATAGTCCCCTGGGGAAAAAAATCCCACTGAGAAGCTGCTTCTGCCTGAATGGTTGGTGCAGCTTCAGATTCTGCATATGTTAATTATGATTTATATATACTTAATATGAAAAATCTTTAGCAAGCACATTTTTAATTTTTTCCAGTAATATAAAAACCATGGTGCTTCTTAGGGGATTACTCAGGGTAATGATGATTAGAAAATATATGAAGAAGCAGAGCACTTATCTGAGAGAGTAAACCCAGATATGCCACATCAGAAAAATGGATAGTGGAAAGTGTGAAGAAAGAAATTAAAGTTTCTTTGCTTAAATATTGCTGTTACCAGTTCTCTAGAAATGACTTGTTTGCTTTAGTTTATCTAACGTTGTTTCTAAAGGATAAGTTTGAAATAATATTTTGTTTCAAAAACCATGTAGAATTATTACACTTAAGGCCAAGAGACATTTTTATTTTCTGATTTTGAAAAATAAGTCTGTGTATATATAAAAACATATGTATATATATGTGTATATATAATATATATGAATATATATTTAATATATATGTATATATGTAAAGTTTATATATATTTATATATTCATGTAAATACATGAAACTTTAAATATTTCACTGGAAGGATTAGCAATATTCCCCCTTGACCATTTCTAGGAAATATGAATTGTGAAATGCTTGAGAATCAGGTTAAAAGAAAAAAATTCTCCTGTACTATATTTTAATGCCTTGTGTTTTTAGGAAATTTCTCATATGGGTCTCTTTTATGAGGTTATCTAAGGTCTTGTAATATTGTTGATTTATTCTATGCTCTTATTTTCTTCTGAATTTTTAGAATTCGAAAATTCTTAGTCACATAAGAAATCTGATTGGTGTCTTTTTAGGGAGATTTTCTTCATTGCCTATATTTTTTGCTTCAATGGAATTGGTCAGACTGCTTTTAATTTTTCCTCCCATTTGTTTGTTTCCCTCTACTAAGTAAAGCATAGTTCTTTAATTTACAATTTTTATTCACTCTAAATTGCAACTGTATTTTTCATGTAGATTTTGATACATATTGCAAAGGGAAAGATCAATTTAATCATCTTTTTAGTAAGGAAGATTCATTCATTTCTCCAAGAAATAGCCATTGAGTGCTGACCACAGGGCAAGCCCTAGGCTAGTAGGGACTGAGGATCAAACACTGATATCCATACCTTGTGCTTAGTTCAGTTCATGAGGCCCTTGAGAAATATTTTTAATTCAGAACTCTTAACTTCAGTCTTGGTGAACATTTGGTATATACTATATGATTTTGAATTAATTTTGGAAAAATTTAAAGTTCTTAAAGGCTGTAAACTACTGCTTTTGTGAGAACATAATATATCCCTGTGTCTTCATTGTGACATTACTGGAGGAAGTTTGTAAAGTGGTTGAACAGCAGCACTAACTACGTTGCAGTTAAAATGAAATATATGATTTTAAATACTAATTCTATTCTCCTTTATTGGTTTCCAAATCAGTCGGTATCCTTTGAACTAATGCCACCTCGTATTTAGAATGAGAAGGATAAATATAGGAAGAAGTAACTCAGAGAGAGCGTAACTGAGAGAAACAGCCTGTAGCAAAATCATGTGAGGCTGGACTCTTACAGTGGGTGGTGGTAAATGAGAGTGTCACTGCCTGAACAAATTGAGTGTAACAACATGCTGAGGTGTTCTAAATCTTCTTTCTTCATTTCATTAGATTTTAATTTGCCATTGTCATCAGATATAATCCTGACCAAAGAAAAGAACTCAAGTTCACATAGATCTACTCAGGAAAAATTATGTTTAGAAGGAAGTGCCCCATCTGGTCAGGTTTCTACAAAAGTAAATGCTTTTCGAAAAAGCAGACGACAGCGTAAAAGTACCCATCGCTATTCTATAAGAGATGCTCGAAAAACACAGCTCTCCACCTCTGACTCAGAGGGCAACTCAGATGAGAAAAGCACGGCAGTGAGTAAGCACAGAAGGCTCCATGCACTGCATCGTTTCGTAACCCAGTCTCCTGAAGACCACCTCTCACCTAGACTAAGCTCCTTTGTAACCAAAGAGCAGGTGTCTCCTGATACCATGGCTTTGAGAAACTCCACAGAGACTACTCCGAGGCAGGAGTCAAGCAATGACATTTTAAGTGAACCAGCTGCCTTGTCTATTCTCAGTAACATGAATAATTCTCCATTTGACTTATGTCATGTTCTGTTGTCCTTATTGGAAAAAGTTTGTAAATTTGACATTACTTTGAATCATAATTCTGCCCTTGCAGCCAGTGTAGTGCCGACACTGACTGAATTCCTAGCAGGCTTTGGGGACTGCTGTAATCTAAGTGACAAGCTGGAGAATGAAGTGGTTTCTGTAAGTTGGACCGAAGAACCCGTGGCTTTAGTTCAGAGGATGCTCTTTCGAACAGTGTTGCATCTCATGTCAGTAGATATTAGTGCTGCAGAGGTCATGCCGGAAAGTCTTAGAAAAAATTTAACTGAATTGCTTAGGGCAGCTTTAAAAATTAGAACTTGCTTAGAAAAGCAGCCTGATCCTTTTGCACCAAGACAAAAGAAAACACTGCAGGAGGTCCAGGAGGGCTTTATGTTTTCCCAGTTTCGTCATAGAGCCCTTCTTTTACCTGAGCTTCTGGAAGGAGTTCTACAGATCCTGATCTGTTGTCTTCAAAGTTCAGCTTCAAATCCCTTCTACTTCAGTCAAGCCATGGATCTGGTTCAAGAATTCATTCAGCACCAAGGATTTAATCTTTTTGAAACAGCAGTTCTTCAAATGGAATGGCTAGTTTCAAGAGATGGAGTTCCTCCAGAGGCCTCACAACATCTGACAGCCCTAATAAATAGTGTGATGAAAATCATGAGCACTGTGAAAAAAGTAAAATCAGAGCAACTTCATCACTCAATGTGTACGAGAAAAAGGCACAGACGCTGTGAGTATTCTCACTTTATGCATCACCACCGAGATCTCTCCGGACTTCTGGTTTCAGCTTTTAAAAACCAGCTTTCCAGAAACCCCTTTGAAGAGACTGCAGATGGAGATGTTCATTATCCCGAGCGGTGCTGCTGTATTGCAGTGTGTGCTCATCAGTGCTTGCGCTTGCTGCAGCAGGCTTCTTTGGGCAGCACCTGTGTCCAGATTCTATCAGGCATTCATAGTGTTGGAATATGCTGCTGTATGGATCCCAAATCTGTAATCATCCCTTTGCTGCATGCTTTTAAATTGCCAGCACTGAAAAATTTTCAGCAGCATATATTGAATATCCTTAACAAACTTATTTTGGATCAGTTGGGAGGTGCAGAGATACCACAGAAAATTAAAAAAGCAGCGTGCAACATTTGTACTGTGGACTCTGACCAGCTGGCTAAGTTAGAAGAGACACTGCAGGGCAGCTTGTATGCTGCCGAACCTGCCTCGGGTGCACCCAGTCCTTCCTACAGATTTCAGGGGATCCTGCCCAGCAGTGGATCTGAAGACTTGCTGTGGAAGTGGGATGCATTAGAGGCTTATCAGAAATTTGTTTTTGAAGATGACGGATTACATAGTATACAGATTGCAAATCACATTTGTAACTTAATCCAGAAAGGCAATGTAGTTATTCAATGGAAGTTGTACAATTACCTGTTTAATCCTGTGCTGCAAAGAGGAGTTGAACTAGCACATCACTGTCAACATCTCAACATTACTTCTGCTCGAACTCATATGTGCAGCCACCTGAAACGGTGTCTGCCGCAGGAAGTGCTTCAGGTTTATTTAAAAACTCTGCCTATCCTGCTTAAATCCAGGTTTGTGTATGTATATATATATGCTGCTATTTTTTCTTATGGATGCTTTTGAATGTGTGATAAAGCATATGCATTGGCACTTCTAATTCTCATATCTCCAGAGCCTTATCAGCAGCCTAAACCATATTTACTGTTGTCTGAGTTTATTAACGAAAAAACTTTAGTCTAATTTTAGTTTTTAACAAAAAAAACTCCCACCTCTTGCCATAGTTTAAACTGTTTATTTATTTATTTTGACTGGGAATAGTGATAAAGAAGAGGATAGTCATTGAATTTAAGGTCTCAATGGAAAAAAGGTAAAGTTTTAGATATATTTCTGAGGAAGAAAAACAGATGCAACATAAATATCTAAGAGCAAGGGCCAAGTTTAATTGTATTTATAGATGGAATATTATTAGCCATTAAAAATGCTTCTATAAGGGGCACATGTGTGAGGCACTGGGTTCCATCCCCAGTTCCACATAAAAATAAATAAAATAAAGGTATTGTGAGCTGGGCACAGTGTGCATGCCTGTAAACCCAGCGGCTCTGAGGCTGAGGCAGGAAGATCACGAGTTCAAAGCCAGCCTCAGCAAAAGCGAGGAGCTAAGCAACTCAGTGAGATCCTGTCTCTAAATAAAATACAAAAATAGCACTGGGGATGTGGCTTAGTGGTGGATTGCCCCTGAGTTCGATCCATGGTACCCCCCACCCCCGCAAAAATGAAAGTATTGTATCCATCTACACCAAAAAATATGTTTTTAAAATGCTTACAAAGATTATGCTGGGACAAGAGAAAATGCTTATAATATGCAAAATTTCAGGGGTTGGGGTTGTAGCTCAGCAGTAGAGCGCTCGCCTAGCATGTGCGAGGCGCTGGGATCCATCCTCAGCACCACATAAAAATAAATAAAATAAAGGCATTTTGTCCAACTACAATTAAAAAAATTTTTTTTAAATATACAAAATTTCAAACAATATTCACTTATTTACAACTGTATAAAATATGTACATATATGAGATGATAATTGTATATTGAAGAAGTGGCATTAGAGGATTATTATTTTTAAATATCATATTTGGATTTATGACCTAAGCAATGAATATAGAAAAAAATAAGAAAAATACAGAAAAACAAATGAAGGAAATTACAATTACTTGTAAACCCACCAGTGATTTTCCAGATTTTGTGATTGCCAAGTCTAGTACATTTAAAAATAATTTTATAAATAAAGCTTGCTTCTGGTAGGTATATTAATTAGCCTTTCAAGTTAATACTTATAGCATTCTTAAAAACTTGTAGTAAAATAAATATAACCTATCATTACTGTTTTCACATGTGGCATTTTGGGGTTCATCTTAACTACTTTAATACTGATATTAAATCATTTCCCTACAATTATTTTAAAAATTTTTGACCTTTTTTACTTTGTTTAAATACAACTGACTTCGATTGAAAATTTTGCAACTCTTTTGTGGGCAACCTGGATCTTTGTAAAATAAGGTCTGAGAGTCACTGAACTGATTTACATTACATATTACTAGAATGATTCCAGTGACCTAGACACAGATCTCACTTGGGAAAGAGATAAATCTCCCCTCCCTCCATACTTTGTAAATTTTTTTGCTGTGCTGGAGATGGAACCCTGGTCCTTGCATATTGGTAGGCAAGTCCTCTAGGGCTGAGCTGCATCCTAGCCCCCTGAAAACCTTCTGTAGTATTCAGTATTTGTCTGTTCTGATCAACTGGCCAAATTAGAGACAACTGCAGAGAAACTCATGTGAATCTTCATCTGAGAGAAAAGCCTTCTGAAGAAAATTTCAGCTCTGTGTTTTGATTCTTTACCTTTTTGAATTAAAGATGTAAGACAAATGAAAAGTCCTCAATGAACCCTTAGGCAGAGGAACAAATGAACAAACTCCAGATGCTTGTCTGCTCTTAGGGCATCTGTGTCTGGATGATGGTGATTGGAGAGAATTTATATAGATTTTTGCCATTTGGAGAAAAATATTCTTCCCTGATTTGCTTCATTTAATTTGGGTTGTACATAATCCTTTTTCAATACTTTCAGAGCCATACATGCAGTATTTAAAGAAGGATTTGAGAGTAATTCTAAAGTAGCTTGAGGTTCTGGCCACTATCTAACTAAGAACTTTATGAGATAATTAATAAATCAAGTTAGGTAGTATTAAGTATATAATGCGCAGCAATGCGATATTTAAGCAGCTTATGTACCTATTTATAAATAATGTTCATATATATATTTTTCCCCCATTTCTCTCACAGGGTAATAAGAGATTTGTTTTTAAGATGTAATGGAATAAATCAAATAATTGAATTAAATTACTTAGATGGTATTCGAAGTCATTCCCTAAGAGCATTTGAAACTCTGATAATCAGCCTAGGGGAACAACAGAAAGATGTTTCAACCCCAGGTATCGATGGATCACACACTGAAGAGAAGGAGCCCTCGTCCTCAAATACAGGGGCCCCTTTTCATGACCATCAGGCTTATTCAGATTCTCCTCAAAGCCTCAGCAAATTCTATGCTGGTCTCAAAGAAGCTTATCCAAAGAAATGGAATACTGTTCACCAAGATGTTCATATCAACACCATAAACCTCTTCCTCTGTGAGGCATTTTTATGTGTAAGTAAAGAAGCAGAGTTGGATAGGGAGTCGGCCAATGAGTCAGAAGATACTTCTGGCTATGACAGTACAGCCAGTGAGCCTTTAAGTCATGCGCTGCCATGTTTGTCTCTTGAGAGGCTCGTCTTGCCTTCTCCTGAGCATATGCACCAAGCAGCAGACGTGTGGTCCATGTGTCGTTGGATTTACATGTTGAGCTCAGTCTTCCAGAAACAGTTTCATAGGCTTGGTGGTTTCCGAGTGTGCCATAAGTTAATATTTATGATAATACAGAAAATATTCAGAAATCATGAAGACAAGCAAGGGGAAAGGCAGGGAAATATAAATGTAATTGAAAACCAAGACTTGGTCAGAACTTCTCAACAGGAGAAAGCAAGGAAGGAAGATTTGTCATCTCTGACTACAACAAAGGACCACACACCACCTGATCGGGGTAGTCTGAAAAACAATGCTGACAGTGTAGGTGAATTAGAATCACAGTGTATTTCTTCCATAAACATGGAGCCTATTTCATCTACTGAAGCTACTCCTGAGGAGGCAAAGGTGTTTAGGAGGCGAGAAAGTGAGACCGCACTTCAGAGCATACGACTTTTGGAAGCCATTCTGGCCATTTGTCTTCATAGTGCTAGAACCAGTCAACAAAAGATAGAATTGGAGTTACCTAATCAGGTAATACTTTGCTTTTAGTCTAGCCATGTGTGTGTGTGTGTGTGTGTGTGTGTGTGTGTGTGTAAAAGTTCTGACTTAATACTATTATCATTTTATTTTTACAAAGCTTTTACATTTTGAGAAATTCCTGTGTGTCTACCACAGTTCAGTTCCAGGTATCATGGAAGGCACAAAGAACCATGTGCCCTAGCCTTTGCCCTAAAGAGCCTTATAGTTTAGTTTGTAATGCAAAACCCCATGTGAAGCAGCTCACATATTTAGCTTCACATGAGTAATTATGCATATTGTGTTTCGGAATTCACAATCTTGGTGTGACTCCGTTGGGTTCCCTGCCTAGATCCCCTCTCCTTGGTTTATGCTCTTTTGTCGTCCTCATCATGTCTGTCATTACTCATGTTTCTTGTGTTGGACTGAGAATGTTGAGGCACCCATGTGATGTGGGCTGCTTCCTTCCTCTGAAGATCATCTTGGCTGATAGAGTGCTGTGCCCAGGCAAAGGGTGCTTACTGCCAGTGGCTGACGGATGTGGCTCTGGGGGTGAGGACAATCTCTGTGGTACACTTGAGGCTTCAGAGCTTTCTATGGAATGAGCGAGATTTTTCCTGAAACCACATTCTTTGTCTGCATTCTTCTGACCTCTTCTGCATCTGTCACATCCTGACAGATATCTCCGAGAGCACCCCTCACCAAAAAGAAATTCATGATCTCAGGCCCTGCTACTAAGGAACTTGGGAATGTGGAAGATCTGATTTCCTTACTAACTGGTCCCTTCTTGTTATTTCAGCCAATGAGTCCCCTTACTCTAGTTTCAGCCTCTGTGTAGCCTCCTGTCTAAAACATCTTAATGCTTCTATATTGTTCTCAGTTAAAAGCCCACTCCTAGCATAGCCTGCAAAACCCTCCACAGTCTGCTCTACTTCTTTGTGTAGCCTCACATTCTGCTGCTCCTCACGGTGCTGCAGTCAGCCATACCAAGCTGATCTTTGCCATTGCTTCTGGGGTTGTGTGCATGTTCTTGTGCTTGGCATAATCTTTCTTCTTCTGTTCCAGTGCCTGCTGTTTCCTGCTTGTTCTCTGACCCTCCCATACAATTCCTCTGGGGTACTTGGTCACTCAGGCACCTTCTCAGTTTTCTGTTCTGAGAGCATTTTGTTCATAGTTCTGGTAGAGTTATCGTCATACTCCTATGTACCTGTTTCTCGTGGTGGATGGTAATTCCTTAAACAAGTTGGTTTCTTTTCCATCTTCATGGTCTCATCACCTATTTTAGAGATACAAGCAAGCACCAAGAGCTTCCTTCATGAGCAGAAGGAAAGGACTGAGAGAAGAGAATTAGAACTTCTTAGAATCTTAAGGAATCTCTGAGAATAAGTGATAAGTGTTTTAGACAGCTTTTTTTTGCTGCTTTGACCAAAATACCTGACAAGAACAATTAGAGGAGGAAGAGTTTATTTGGGGACTCAGGGTTTCAGAGGTCTTAGTCCATAGATGGTTAACTCCATTCCTTGAGGCTCAAGGTGAGACAGAAAATCATGGTGGAACAGTGTGGGAGTGGAAAACAGCTGGGAACCTGGCAGCAGGAAGCAGAGAGAGCAAAAGAGAGAGAGCTCTACTCAACAAGGTCAAAATATACACCCCAAAGGCACACCCCAGGGATTCACCTCTCCAGCCACACCCTACCTTCCCTCAGTTACCACCCAGTTAATCCCTACTGAGGATTAATGCAATAATTAGGCTAAGGCTGTCCTAACCCATCTTCTCACTCTGAACTTTCTTATATTGTCTCACATATGAGCTTTTAGGGGACACCTCATATCTAAACCACAACAATAGAAAATTTGTAAACTCCAAAGATGGTTAATTGAAACTATGAAGTTTCAGGAAATAATCTTTGTGATGCAATTCATTTATGGTAATTGAAGCTTAAAAACAAGTAATATATTTAATAAATAAAAATGTTATTAACTTTCCCATAGAATGTTGGGATAAGAGGTCAAAATTTATATAGTCAATTTATTTCATATCAACTGTAAATAAATGGGATTTCTGTTTGTTAAGAAATTATTTATTTTGTCACTGTTTGTTAAAAACATGTTATTGATATTCCTGGTCTCTCTTATTTTACCTTAGAACTTGTCTGTGGAAAATATATTGTTTGAAATGAGGGATCATCTTTCCCAGTCAAAAGTGACTGAGACAGAATTGGCAAAGCCTTTGTTTGATGCCCTGCTTAGAGTTGCCCTGGGGAATCATTTAGCAGATTTTGAACATCCTGATGCTGTGACAGAGAAGGTATGAACCTATATGGTTGTGTTATTGGGTATGACTAGCAGAGGCAGGCGTATGAGATGGGACTAGGAGGTTAGTGAATGTGGTTCTTAGAACATAGGGACCCAGATTTAGTCAGGTGAGTTCCATGGGGGTAGTGTTTCATCAGTACCTTACCTCAAAACACAGAAGAGCAATAGGACATGCTTTTCTTTAATCTAATCTGGAAATTTACTTAGAATTACTCCAAGTAAGACAAATATATGATTTGATTTGATAAGTCTTACATATAACTGAGTTTATTAAGTGGTAATTTAGGAATGGTGAGATTCAGCTATCTAATCTGGTCCTATATTGATGCAGTTAATATTTCCAGAACTCTACTCATTTTAATTTTAAATCATTCAATATGAAAATGACTAGTACTTTCATAGAAAATAGCAATCATAGTATTTTAGTGGTTGGTGTTAACATTTTTTTTTCTAAAGTAACTTTTAATTTTTTCCCTTTAACTTTTTGGTATACAGTTGACTCATTTCTTCTTTCATGTTTCTTTTATGTTTGTTTCATTATCACTAACCTTTATATAACTTCTCTTTGGCCTGCTGCTAGTCAATAGATAGATGTGATGTTTAATAATCTTTTACTGAAATATATTACTGCTTTCCGTAACTCTATATCTATATATCTATATCTTTATTTTTATTTGTTTAATTTTATTGAGCCTAGGGCCTCACGCATGCAAGGCAAGCATTCTACCACTGAGCTACAACCCCAGCCCATGCCTGCTATAACTCTAAAATGTCAACATACTTTGTGCTACTTTTTATTATTGTTGCAATAAAATACTCTGAACTTTTTAAAGTGAACATGTTTCTTAAGTGAAGATATTGATAGCATTTTCATAAGAAAATGTCTTATCACAGATGTTACAACAGGAAATTAATACTGGGACTCTTGATTTTTGAGATGCTTATATGTAGACATTTGCATTCAGAAATCTTCTTCACTCCCTTTGAAAAATTGTCATATCTTCTATGGTTAACTAATTTATGAAGTATTATTTGTAAAAATTCTTTGAAAAAATTTCCAATAGCAAATAAGTAATATATAAACATTAAATAGTGCAAAGTATAATTCCACCTCCTAATGATCTTTAGTCATTCTTTATTGTATAACTAGAATGAAATTTCCAAGTAGGTTTATTTTTCAGGGAAATCAAGATGACCCATCTGTTAGAAACCACTTTAAATGAAGTGTTAACTTGTCTGAAAGGTACTAGAAAGTTTGGCTTAGTGAATTTCATAATTCATAATGGTTACTAGTTAGTAAGATTTTTTTTCTCAAAAAGTAATAAATATCCTGTTGCTAGAAATGAGGGAATATTACAACTGTTGCCTTTGAATTATACTGATCTTCTAGAGTCATCAGTCTGAGGAAGAGTTGTCTTCCCAACCTGGAGATTTTTCAGAAGAAGCTGAAGGTCCTCAGTGTTGTAGTTTTAAACTTCTGGTTGAAGAAGAAGGTTATGAGGCGGATAGTGAAAGCAATCCTGAGGATGGCGAAACCCGGGATGACGGTACAAATGTTGTGGATGTGCTTGTGATTGGATCTGCAAAGTGGTTCAGAGTGATGCTTACTTTAGAACTCTGTATTGCCTTACAATTTAAAATGTATCACGTTAAGATTTATTTGATCTTCACAACAAATCTGGCATTCATATATGCAATTTAAAACATGAAATGGATCTTGTTATCGCAAACATTGACTGAGAGCCTAAGAACATATGTGTATTTTCCCGGTTTCATATTCATTCCACTGGGAAATATAGACAATAATTATCAGAAATAAACAACATAAGCAGTATAAAACCAGGTGATGTGATAGTGGTTGAGTGATTAGGGACACCCTTTCTGAAGAGGTGATATTTACAATTGAGTTCTAAATAAAGAAAACCAGCCAAATACTGGCAGTTTATTATAAAGAATAAATAACAAAAGGAATGCAGACATCATTCTGTGACATCCAAGAATTCAGTATAGATTTCTTCTTAGTTTTCTGCAGTCCACTTTTGCCCTTGGGATGGAACTACATTGCATATGATCCTTTGTCTCTGGGCTTAAAACTTGAGTGGAATGGGAAAGATGGGTTGATTTGAGCCAAAAGATTTCTAGGAAAGCTCTGTCTTTTCCTATACTGGCCTTATGAATGTCTCAGTACTGTTAGTCTTCACTAAATTTAAAGTTGTTTATCTTCCTCAGAGTTAATTTTCTTTTTCACAGAAAATGAATGGGAATAATCATTAATATTTTGGTTAAAGGATATAAGGAACCCATGGTTGGTGCTTTTTGAAAAGATATCAATTTAATGATGGTTTTATCATAATATAGGTATGATTTTGTAATAGTATAGTGATGATTTTGTAATAGTAGATGTCTTCCCTTTTGTGTTTGCTAACTAGATCTCAACTTCAAGAATTCTGGTCCAGGTAGAAATTTATAAATTTCTTCATTATATGAACATTTTTTGAAGATCACAGCAGTCTCTTTTTAAGATCTGTCTCCCAAAATGTCATATTCAGTAAGACAGACTCTTTTTCACACATATGGAGAAGACAAAGTTTAAAATTCATCCACCCACACCAGGCACAGTGCATACCTGTAATTCTAGCTAGTTGGGAGGCTGAGGCAGAAGAATTGCAAGTTTGAGCCTAGAAATCAAGAGCCGAATCTACTATTTTCGTAGTAATATGGGCAAGTGAATTAAACTACCCTGTGATCTAGGTATTTTGGGGGCAAAAAGTTTGGAATAGTAATTTTTCTCCAGTTGTGTTGGAGGAGTATATTTAATCTTTATCACATATGTATAAAAATTGCTGTTGGTAATATTTGTAGTTTTATTGGATATCAAAATTACTTTTAAGATTACTCATTAAACTTCAAACTATCCACAAGACTTGATTCAATACTTGAATCAAAAGTAATATTAGAGGAAAAGATTTTATGAGCATCTTCTTATAAATAGCACTTTTGCCACTAGGTCTTCTAAATGGAAATAAGGTTTAAAGTATTTATTCAGTGTTTTAGAGTATAAACATAGTCTTTCCTGTTTCCCTTTGCAGGGGTAGATTTAAAACCTGAAGCAGAAGGTTTCAGTGCATCAGTCAGTCCAAATGACTTGATTGAAAAGCTCACTAAAGGGGAAATAATATATCCTGAGATTTGCATGCTGGAATTAAATTTGCTTTCTGCTAGCAAAGCTAAACTTGATGTGCTTGCTCATGTATTTGAGAGTTTTTTGAAAATTATCCAGCAGAAAGAAAAGAACATTTTTCTACTCATGCAACAGGTAAATATGTTTTAAGTTTGATCGCTATCTATCACTGATATCCCAATCCCCCATATCTTTACTTATAACCCAACTCATCTGAAAATTAGTTGAGATGATCACTTATCTTTTATAATACCTGTGGTTTTTAAAATTTTTTTGTAGTTGTAGATTGACAGCATGCCTTTATTTTGTTTGTTTGTTTTTATGTGGTGCTAAGGATGGAACCCAGTGCCTCACATGTGCTAGGCAAGCGTTCTACCGCTGAGCTACAGCCCCAACCCCTAATACTTGTGTTTTGACCTTGAATGTCTTGTCTAACATTCTAAAATCTTCTGATTCTATATTTCTCTAAAGTAGCATACAAAGTTAATATTGTCATTGGCTGACCAGTAATGAATCCCTTTTATCTTTCTGAAAATTGATAACTTTTTTTAAAATTGCATTTAATTGTAAAGTATGTTCATTGCTTTAAAATATTTTTAAAAATCAAGATAGTATGGAAAATAAATGCATAATTAATCCTACCTAGAGCATTTTTCCAGTCATTTAAATGCGTGCACATGCCCACACACACACTCACAAGATTCCTATTAAATAATTTATTACTTTGTTGAAGTTTTTCTGTTTCCATTTGGTAAAACATTTAATTTCTTATGTTTCATTTTATAATCTTCAGGGAACTGTGAAAAATCTTTTAGGAGGATTCTTGAGTATTTTAACACAAGCTGATTCTGATTTTCAAGGTGAGTTAAAACTGTTTTTAAAAAATAGCTTTGAAATTGTTTTGTTCTTGTGTGAAGAGTTGATCATCACAGCATCCATTGGCATTATGCCCTGATTTCAAAAGTACCTTTATATACATCATCCCATTTGTCCCTCTGTCTTCCTCAATTAAATAGACATACTTAATGTATAGGGATGAAAATCTAGATTTGGAAGGATTAAGTAAATTGTTGGGTAGTGTTGCGGGGATGGTAATCTGGCACAAATGTTCTGCTACTCCCTTATCTCATATTGTCTATTCTCTAATTAGTGCTATCTCAGACATTTGAAAAACTAATAATGATATATAATATGATGCTTAGCCACAATAAACCTAAATTTTAGTTGGAGTATAAAAGCTAATATAAAACAATAATTTGGGTTTGCACAATGTTTCCTTCTGACTAAATTCAGATTATACAGTTTTGGCAGAAATACTTGGCAGTAATGTTGAGTCCTTCTGAGGGCATTATATCAAGGGGTTCATGGTGTCTATAGCTTATTACTAGTGACATTAACTTTAATCACTGTAGATGCTGTCTGCCAGGTTTCTCCATTGTATAGTTACTATTTTTCCCTTACAATTAATAAATATCTTTTGGGGTTGTAGCTTAAAATATGTAAATATCCTATTTTTCCTCATACCTTAACCCACAAATTTTAGCATCTATTGATAATCATTCATAGAAACAGCTAAGACTGGGTGTTGGCCAAATAGTGATTTTCTATTCCTGTCATTCTTTCGACATTTATTAGTTGGGATTATACTGTAAAGAAGAGCTTTATTTTTCTCCTCCATTTACTTATGTCGTGTATGGGTGTATTATTATACTCTGTATTGCACTCCTCTCTGTCAGAGTCCCCTGCTACCATCTAACATTAGTATGGTGTCTGTTACAATTAATGAAGCTATGTTGATATGTTATTAACTATGTTAGTTTATTCAGATTTCCTAAGTTTTTGCCTAATATCGTTTTCCTGTTCAGAGATCTTACCCAGGATATGCCATATTACAATTAATTCTCAAATCTCCTTGCTTTGTTGTTTTGGTGTCAAATCTAGGAAGATCCAATCCGAGGTCATAAAGATTTAATACTTATTAAAATAATTTTCTTCTTTCTGTATTCTCTGCTTTTTGTTTTCTTGCATTCTAATTGTAATCTTGAGTCTTTTGGATGTACCCTGCATGTGTCTTGTCTTTTCTCTCATAGTATCCACTTCTCTCTTTTTTTGCTATATTTTGGAAGATATTTTTCAATTCTGTTTCAATCTTTTATTCAGTTTTTAATTTGGGCAACTATCTATTTTATATTTTTAATTTTTTTTTTAGTTGTAGATGGACAGGATACCTTTATTTATTTATCTTTATGTGGTACTGAGAATCAAACTTAGGGCCTCAAACATGCTAGGCAGCGCTGTTATCACTGAGCCACAACACCAGTCCTCTATTTAATATTTAAGCGCTCTTTTTGTTTGATCATTTTCTGGCTATTTCTTTTTCATATGAGGATAGAATATATATATATATATATATATATATATATATATATATATATATATATATATATATCTGGATATTAACATTTTAAGATGATTTCTTAAAACCCCTAAATTACTATTTTTCCTTCTAGAATCAGTTTATTGATTATTCACTTTTTACATCTTGGGATTATTCTTTTAGATTTCTGATTCCGAAATATTTTGTGAACCTGTTTTGCCTATTTATATTTAAAAAATTGTTGGGGATTTCCTCTAGTGTTGTAAAATTATTTGTCTTCCTTTTTGGCCTCTTCTCTGCATGGATGTCTGTTGAAGAGTTCTGGGTGGATGTCCTAAGGAGGAGATGCCCTAAGGAGGAGAGCTTTACTTTGGGGAGCCATTAGGGCCACAGTTACCCCACGGGGCACTTTGCGTACATCATGAAAATGGGTCCACTGCACACAGAGCTTGGCCTGTGAGGAGCATCTTTCTTCATCCAGGCAGGACAGCTTCACCAGAGTGCACAGCCTGGTGAGCTGGTTAGGCAATTTGACCAGTATGCTCAGTAGCCATGATGTTGACATTCCACTGCACTTCTGAGCTTTCACTTGGTAATCCATTTCATTTCTTTAGAAAAGAATCCTTAGGTTTTTAGCCTAAAACTGAGAACTGAGCTATCTGCTCTCTGTAATCAGAAATAGGAAGAAAGGTGAAGGTCACCAAGAGACATTTCATTCATTTCTGTGTTTCAGCAGCATTCTCTCTTTTTTTTTTAATAATTTTTATTGTTGGTTGTTCAAAACATTACATAGTTCTTGATATATCATATTTCACATTTTGATTCAAGTGGGTTATGAAATCCCATTTTTACCCCGTATACAGATTGCAGAATCACATCGGTTACACATCCACTGATTTACATATTGCCATACTAGTGTCTGTTGTGTTCTGCTGCCTTTCCTATCCTCTACTATCCCCCCTCTCCTCCCCTCCCCTCCCCTCTTCTCTGTCTACCCCATCTACTGTAATTCATTTCTCCCCCCCCCTTTTTTCCCCTTTCCCCTCACTTCCTCTTGTATGTAATTTTGTATAACCCTGAGGGTCTCCTTCCATTTCCATGCAATTTCCCTTCTCTCTCCCTTTCCCTCCCACCTCTCATCCCTGTTTTATGTTAATCTTCTTCTCATGCTCTTCGACCCTACTCTGTTCTTAGTTACTCTCCTTATATCAAAGAAGACATTTGGCATTTGTTTTTTAGGGATTGGCTAGCTTCACTTAGCATAATCTTCTCTAATGCCATCCATTTCCCTGCAAATTCTATGATTTTGTCATTTTTTAATGCAGAGTAATACTCCATTGTGTATAAATGCCACATTTTTTTAATCCATTCGTCTATTGAAGGGCATCTAGGTTGGTTCCACAGTCTTGCTATTGTGAATTGTGCTGCTATGAACATCGATGTAGCAGTGTCCCTGTAGCATGCTCTTTTTAGGTCTTTAGGGAATAGACCAAGAAGGGCAATAGCTGGGTCAAATGGTGGTTCCATTCCCAGCTTTCCAAGAAATCTCCATACTGCTTTCCAAATTGGCTGCACCAATTTGCAGTCCCACCAGCAATGTACAAGAGTACCCTTTTCCCCACATCCTTGCCAGCACTTGTTGTTTGACTTCATAATGGCTGCCAATCTTACTGGAGTGAGATGGTATCTTAGGGTGGTTTTGATTTGCATTTCTCTGACTGCTAGAGATGGTGAGCATTTTTTCATGTACTTGTTGATTGATTGTATGTCCTCCTCTGAGAAGTGTCTGTTCAGGTCCTTGGCCCATTTGTTGATTGGGTTATTTGTTTTCTTATTGTTTAATTTTTTGAGTTCTTTGTATACTCTGGATATTAGGGCTCTATCTGAAGTGTGAGGAGTAAAGATTTGTTCCCAGGATTTAGGCTCCCTATTTACCTCTCTTATTGTTTCTTTTGCTGAGAAAAAACTTTTTAGTTTGAGTAAGTCCCATTTGTTGATTCTAGTTATTAACTCTTGTGTTATGGGTGTCCTATTAAGGAATTTGGAGCCCGACCCCACAGTATGTAGATCGTAGCCAACTTTTTCTTCTATCAGACGCCATGTCTCTGATTTGATATCAAGCTCCTTGATCCATTTTGAATTCACTTTTGTGCATGGCGAGAGAAAGGGATTCAGTTTCATTTTGTTGCATATGGATTTCCAATTTTCCCAGCACCATTTGTTGAAGATGCTATCCTTCCTCCATTGCACGCTTTTAGCCCCTTTATCAAATATAAGATAGTTGTAATATTGTGGATTGGTTTCTGTGTCCTCTATTCTGTACCATTGGTCCACCCGCCTGTTTTGGTACCAGTACCATGCTGTTTTTGTTACTATTGCTCTGTAGTATAGTTTGAAGTCTGGTATCACTATACCACCTGATTCACACTTCCTGCTTAGAGTTGTTTTTGCTATTCTGGGTCTTTTATTTTTCCATATGAATTTCATGATTGCTTTATCTATTTCTACAAGAAATGCCGTTGGGATTTTGATTGGCATTGCATTAAACCTATAGAGAACTTTTGGTAATATCGCCATTTTGATGATGTTCTGCCTATCCATGAACAGGGTATATTTTTCCATCTTCTAAGATCTTCTTCTATTTCTCTCTTTAGGGTTCTGTAGTTTTCATTGTATAAGTCTTTCACCTCTTTTGTGAGGTTGATTCCCAAGTATTTTATTTTTTTTGAGGATATTGTGAATGGAGTGGTTGTCCTCATTTCCATTTCAGAGGATTTGTCTCTGATATACAGGAATGCCTTTGATTTATGCGTGTTGATTTTATATCCTGCCACTTTGCTGAATTCATTTATTAGCTCTAATAGTTTCTTTGTAGAGCCTTTTGGGTCTGCTAGGTATAGAATCATGTCACCTGCAAATAGTGATAATTTAAGTTCTTCTTTTCCTATTTTTATGCCTTTAATTTCTTTCGTCTGTCTAATTGCTCTGGCCAGTGTTTCGAGAACTATGTTGAACAGAAGTGGTGAGAGAGGGCATCCCTGTCTTGTTCCAGATTTTAGAGGGAATGCCTTCAATTTTTCTCCATTCAGAATGATGCTAGCCTGAGGCTTAGCATAGATAGCTTTTACAATATTGAAGTATGTTCCTGTTATCCCTAGTTTTTCTAGAGTTTTGAACATAAAGGGATGCTGTACTTTGTCGAATGCTTTTTCTGCATCTATCAAGATGATCATATGGTTAAAAATCCTCAATAAAATTCTGGCGAATCGGATACAAAAACATATCAAAAAAATTGTGCACCATGATCAAGTAGGATTCATCCCTGGAATGCAAAGCTGGTTCAATATACGGAAATCAATAAATGTTATTCACCACATCAATAGACTTAAAGATAAGAACCATATGATCATTTCAGCAGCATTCTCATTCCCTCTCCTGACTTTAGACCAACAGATGAACCCTGCGCTGCTCTAAGTCCCTTTGTAATTCAAAAGAAGTTGGATACAGCTTTCTCTTTTATCCCTTTACTTCTTCTGGGCATGGTGGTGCAAGTTTGTAATCCCAGTGACTTGAGAGGTAGAGGCCAGGAGGATCACAAATTCAAGGCCAGCCTCAGCAATGTAGTGAGGCCCTAAGCAACTTAGTGAGACCCTGTCTCAAAATAAAAAATAAAAAGGGCTGGTGATGTGGCTCAGTGGTTAAGCACCCCTGGGTTCAATACCAAGTACCAAAAAAAAAAAAAAAAAAAAAGTTTTTGGCTTTTTTTCACCTGACATGTCCCCAATGCACACAACCATCCTCGCTGCTTTTAGTTTTCTTTTTGTTGTTATAGATTTCTTCCTTTTGGTAACTTTATACTTTAGTGCTTTGAGTTTTCAGTGGTTTTACAGAAGTAATCCTCATTTGAAATGGAAAAAAAAAATCTAACATTTTATTCTGCTCATAATTACTTTCCTACTCTAAAATCCTTATAGGGTTCATGTTACTTGGAGCGTAAAGTCCACTCTAATTTGTGGTGTCATTGCAAATTGTCTTCCCAGGTGTGCCCTCTGTGACACTGTTGCATCAGCTCACTGCCTTTGTAGACTGGGTGGCTTAAACCTAGCTTCAGTTCTCTGATCTTCAGGTCTTTCAAAACTACCATTCTTTTAAGATACACCTCAGGTTTTATATCAGTCTTATTTTTGTCATTTCTGAGGTGGTAATAATAATTGATTCATATGTTTTTGGTTTTGGTAAGGATCAGCTGAGATAATGCATGTAAAAATAACCATTGAACACTAAAATGTGCTCTATAAAGACTAAGAAGATATTTTACTCTAAAGAATTCTATGAATTTAGTGCCACTGTTTGTATTTTATGCTAAACTCCTTAGTAAAATAAACTATTTAAACTAGTTTGTGATATTTAAGTATTTGTATAATTTTTACTATTTTTACTTAATTCTGTCATTTAATTTTCCATGTAAGTAATATACTATAATATTAATTATAGTAATAGCTATAACTTAAAAATTTCAAAATGAGAAGGTAACAGACCATTTTATGGTAAGGGGAATGTCAACATATCTAACAGATACTCTATTGATTTAAAGAATGCCTTCAGTTTACTTATAGCTAGCCAATCTTTTAAGAAAAGTGTTTTGTTGGTTGAGTTGCATTTAGTTACCTTGCTATTTGTTCAGCAAATTTTGTGATTACTAAATTGTTCATAATCCATGCAAGATGCTTATTTGTTTTCTTTAATTAAATGTGTACTGGCTGTTTTATGTTTAGCATGCCAGAGAGTACTGGTGGATCTCCTGGTGTCTTTGATGAGCACAAGAACATGTTCAGAAGAACTAACCCTTCTTTTGAGGATATTTCTGGAGAAATCTCCTTGTACAGTAAATATGCTATGATTTTTACATTTTTCACTAATATTAATAGAATGTATTTAGTTGGAAATCACTAAGCTCTTTCTTTTGATGTGGCAATTGTTATATAGTCAATTTCATGGTGTCATGTATGAAGTACCCAATTATTTTATTGTTTGCATATATTTTAACCAAGTCAATATTCACTTTGATTTTGACTAACCAAATTATAGTCCCTTTAACATACTTTGTCCCTAACCTTTGTGCTTGAAAAATGCTAATTTTAATTACTAAAACAATTTAATTGTAATTACAACTATCTTTGAGATCATTCTTTTCTAAAAACAAGATTATCCACTTCTCAGTTATCTTCCTTATTTTCTTTTCCAGTAGGATAGCCCAGTGGCTTTTAGTTGTTGGGAAACCTGTGTGTGTGTGTGTGTGTGGGGGTGGGTGGGTGTGGGTGTGGGTGTGGGTGTGTGATGCTGGGGATGAAACCCAGAGCCTCTCGCATGCTAGGCAAGCACTGTACCACTGACCACATCCTGAGCCAAGGTGAACCCATTTTTATGATGAAATCTCGACTAGAAATGTTTGTAAATAAAACAGAAAACATTGAGGCTGCTTTGTGTAAAGCAAGGTTGGGATCCTATCCCTTGCCAAACTCACCCCCACTTCACCTTCTGCACCAGTCCTGTGGCCTCCAAGGAACTATGGAGAGCTGGCTGTGTATTTATGGAAGGCTTGTAGTACTTGCAAGCTCACTCCCTGATACCAATCAGCATCAGATGTCCTTTTATGTGTGACTTGGGCATGCCACTAGGCCAATCTCGTCTACTTTTTTACCTCTTTCTCTTCTTAATTATTCTTCTTCCCTTTAATTAAGTGTTCATTTCCTCTCTCTTAATATTTCAGATCAACCAAAAAACATGTAATTATGAATCAATCTTAAAACCTTATTTCAGTTTGCCAAACACACATGAAAGAAAATTTATTTGACTAGGAAAAAAGCATATGAAATAAATTAGAAAGTAATTGAGCATTCAGTTTTATGAAGTCAGTCACGTTGTAGTATCATTCAGAAATCTGGAGAATTTTTAAGGTCTTTGATTACATCACTCATTTTAAAGTAATTGAGAAGAACCACAGTGTACAGGAAAATGAATGCTTTTTTTTTTTTTTTTTTTTTTTAGAAATTACTGATATAATCATCATATTTAGCCTATAATGCTTAAAACCAACTCATAAATATTAGGTTGTACCATAAAAATATCTAAATTTAAACTAAATTAACCACAAGAGATTACAACTTTTAAGAATAAAGTATGTTTGATATTTCATTTTAACTGTACAAAAATAAAAATTTTAAAGATATGCTAGATAAGAAGGTATTGAAATAGAAATACTGATGTATGTGGTTTTGTTTATATTTTCACTAATAACCTGAATTTCAAAATAATTATGTACTTGGTTACATGATTATAAAGTTTCATTCGTTTTTTTCTCTAGGAAATTCTTCTTCTGGGTCTTCTGAAAATTGTGGAAAGTGATGTTACTATGAGCCCGTCACAGTATCTGACCTTTCCATTGCTGCATACCCCAAGCTTAAGCAATGGGGTCTCACCACCAAAGTGTCCCGGGATCCTAAACAGCAAGGCCATAGGCTTACTGCGAAGAGCACGAGTTTCACGGTCCAAGAAAGAGGTTGACAGAGGAAATTTCCCCCATCGGCTGCTTTCCTCTTGGCACATAGCCCCAATCCACTTGCCGTTGCTGGGGCAGAACTGCTGGCCACACCTGTCAGAAGGTTTCAGTATCTCATTGTGGTTTAATGTGGAGTGTATCCATGAATCTGAGAGTGCCACAGAGGAAGGAAAGAAGATAAAGAAAAGAAACAAATCCTTGATTGTACAAGACAGCAGTTTTGATGGAGCAGGTATGATGACATGATTATCATTTGTACACCAAGGTTTTTCAGAGGGCAATTTTAGTCAAGAGTTAAGATATACAGTAGTGTTCTAACTTGTTCTTAATGTTCTTCACCTTAGAGGGCCTGATTTACCAAAGTCTGAGTTCCAGATAGCCTTGAAATTTGGTTCCTTCTGTACTTTTTGTCCTGGGGGTAGGGGGACAGGTGGGATGCTGATGGGGTCATCAGCCCCATTCCCTGCCTCTTTTTGGGTCCTGTTTCTGGATAGGGTAGCTCCTGATGTTAGGATAGGAAAAGCTGCAGCCCTAGAGCCACTTTTGTCTGGCATCTGGTTCCAGCCCCTATCAGGCAGCCCTAGTCCACTTTCTTTCCCTTTGTTTCAAGTTTTCTTTCTGGTGTCATGCCTGACCTCAGTGGCCTTCTCTTAGTTCCTGTCACAGGAGTTTACATGAATCATTCATTCCCCAAAGTAAGAATATGATTCATTTCAGCCCTTTCTATAACTGAGGAATTGTTATGGTGCCTTGTAACTGTATCTTCTTTCTCGTATAATCAGGGCAAAAATTGTGGCTCAGCGGCAGAGTGCTTGCCTAGCATGTGTGAGGTTTGATTCTCAGCCTCGTCACCACATATAAATAAACAAAATAAAGGTCCATTGACAACTAAAAAATATTTTTTTAAAAAAAGCAGTGTTTGGTGGAGGGAAATAAAGTAAGTAGGATAATTCTTAAGGCCCATGGAATTAATATAATAATAAATATAATAATTGAATGACACAGAAGTTGAGGATTTTATATGTACATGTATATGTATTTTATATGTATAGACATCACTAACTATTCATCCTAGAAGTCTTACCCACCCCTTGAAGACTCTATTTTAGAACATAAGCCCCCACCCAGTGTCTGGTCTCCACTGATCTGTACATGGAAAGGAAAATTCCTAATGACACAGTCAAGATTGAAGCAGTGGCAAGTACCATCTAATTTCCACCATTGGAATCCACTTTTCATAAATGTTTTCCATGTTACTAACAGCATAGCAGTTGTATGCTTTTCTGGGTTAGCCTTAGAGGCTAAACTTTAAAATAAAAAACTCGTCAAATAATTTGTTTCAGGTAGTTGTAGTATCTTCTGTGGACGAAGTGTGCCTCCTGAGAGTGATAGCACTGAAAGGGTACTGCCTGTCACGGCATTGTTGCTGCTTCCACCACTGCTGCTACTGATGTTTAACATGCCTTGTGCCCTTTTGGTTTGTGTGCCGCTTTGCCCAACTCTCCCTGTGTTCATTTTTAACCCTGACTGCAAGTCAGTAAGGAGAGCGCTCACACTCTCCATACCTGTAGCTGAGGCTAAGCAACATGATCAAGTCACATAGCTGGAAAGTGGTGGAATGGGACCAGGCCCATCTGTGTTTAATTCTCAAACTTAAACATCACTGCTCTGCTGAAAGCAGATTGATTTCTAATGTTGTAGTGGGGCATTCCCAATGTGAGCAAGGTCTTAATAAAATGAATAATTGTACACAACTGAAAAAAGTAAAGATCCAAAAAATTTTTGAGTTTAAATTTAAAAGATATGGGGCTGGGGCTGGGGCTGGGGTTCAGCGGTGGAGCGCTCGCCTCACCCGTGTGAGACCCTGGGTTTGATCCTCAGCAACACATAAAAATAAATAAGTGAAATAAAGGTATTGTGTTCAACTATAACTAAAAAATAAATTTAAAAAAATTTAAAGATGTATTAGGAAACATTTTAGAAAGGTTATTGTGCATAAATACTAAAAAAAATCTAAAAATAGCAGACATATATAAAAATTTTTGAAGAGAAATGAAAAACATATTGCAGTGATATCACCTATTCTGACATTGAACTGTATACATTTGAGGAGGTTATTTAACCTCTCAATTCTGTCACCCCCAATGTAGGGATAATAATATTCATCTCCTAAGATTTTTATGAGCATTAGGTCAAGAAATATTTGCTATATTCCTGCTCCCTAATTCCTAGGTACACACTGGTATTTGTTTTGTTCGTTTATTTGTTCAGGTTCAGATTTTAGATAGAAATGTTTTTTTAAATGTTAAAACAGATATGAGTTCTCTATATCTATCATATTTTGGGCACTGATCCTCAAAATAACTATTGACTAACTCTTCCTCTTTAGGACTGTTGTCACTATGCTCAGAAGAGTATTCTTAAAAATTGGTGGTAATTATACCTGTTGACAATTAATATTTATGCAGTTTAACAATAATTAGTAATGTTCATATTCTGTAGAAGTCTAATAAGCCTTTGGATGTGCATTTTGGTAGATCTTAACGTAGCTTTACATGAAGTCACAGGCATCATAGTAATAAGTAGTTCATCATATATATTCACGTAGTGCAGGGTTCAAGTGGTGAGAGAGAGAAGTTGGAATCAATAACCAGATAGTGCTTAGCTGTAAGCACTTACCTCTTTGACTTAAAGAAACTATAATGTAAAGTTTCAAAATCTCTTAGCAGTTACATTCAAAGATCACTCACCAGGGAATCTAATATTATTTTCAAACAATATAATTTTTTTAAAGGAGTTTTAATATGATCAATTTTTATGACAGTTGTGGAGTGAATTTGGTAGTGTGAGTATGTGACAATGTTGTGTGCTCTCTGGACCAGGGTCAATGTTAAGTGCCCAGTCCAACGATAAAGGCAGCTTGGTAGAGATGGTAGTAAGTCACTGAGGTGGCAGCCCAGCAGTCATGCTCACGACTGCTCTCAGTCATCATAGACTTTAAAACGTAGTAACTTGTAAAGCGCTCGATAACTGTTGGTGTGTATTATGCTCTTTTGGAGTTAATATCTAAACTTTGGAAATATTGTTGTTTGGAACAGGTGAAGTTCCGACATTTCAGGTAAATATTCTGCTACAAATGAACCACCATACATCATATTCTTTACTGACCATTCTAACATGTTTTTCTCATAGAGAGCGAAAAACCAGAAGGTGCAGAGTATACAAATCCTGGTGAAAGACTCATCGAAGAAGGCTGCATCCATTTAATTTCCCTGGGATCCAAAGCGTTGATGATCCAAGTGTGGGCTGATGCGCACAATGGCACTTTTATCTTTCGGTATCGATTATCCTTAACCCCTAATGAATAGATGTGCATTTAAATAATTTAGATATTTAATATGAGAGCCAATAATGTGAAATAAGACCCAAAACCAAACAAACCAATTCGTTACTTCAGAATATGTATTTTATAATGTTAGAAAGGTTTCTAGGTATCTTGTATGCATTAGTTCTTCACTTTTTCAGTCAAGTGAATCTACTCTCAAAGTAGATTAGACCTCCAATATGTTCAGACATTTGGACATTTATTAAAATAAATGTGAACCAAATATTACATTGTCATTTCTAACAAAGACAATGACTATGTACATAGAAATAATATTTGTTTACAAACTGATTTCTGGAAATTATTGCCCTAAATTAACATCAGCCAATGACGCTAACCTATCTTAGCTCACGAATTGAGGTAATAACATAATAAAAAAACTGATATTTTTGGTTGTAAGACAAAGACCTACTGACTTTTCAAGTTATTTTATTTAAAAATATAACTGATTTTTAACCTCACTTAAATATTTAGAATTGTAGTTCTTATGCATGTATTAAATAATAAGGCCAGAATTTTCATGTTTTTCAGCCAATATGTTTTCTTCCCTTTTTTCTGTAGTGTATGCATGGATTCAAATGATGATATGAAAGCTGTTTTACTAGCACAGGTTGAATCACAGGAAAATATTTTCCTCCCAAGCAAATGGCAGCATTTAGTACTCACCTACCTCCAGCAGCCTCAAGGGAAAAAGAATGTACATGGGAAAATCTCCACATGGGTCTCTGGACAGAGGTATGAAGCGTTTTTTAAGAATACATATTAATCTCAGTTATAATTTCAATTAGTCTATTATAACTCTAGAAAGAGTTCCGAAAACTGAAGGTAAAATTTACTATATATTAACATAAAAATTGTATTAGAGTTGTTTTTTTCTACTTATCCCTTTCATACAAAATAAATCTGCCATAGAATTAACTATTAAGGCTTAACACAGTGGGTCTGCTGTATGCATGGGTTCTGCACCTACAGATTCAACCAACCTCAGACTAAAAATATTCAAGAAAAAGTTGTGTTTATAGTGAATATATACAGGGTCTTTTTCTTATTATTCTCTACACAATTCAGTATAACAGTTATTTACAAAGCATCTATGTTGTATTAGCTTTGATAAATAATCTAGAAACGACTTAAAGTATACAGGAGGATATGGGTTATATGCAAATATGCCATTTTGTATGAGAGACTTGAGCATCCTCAGATTTTGATCTGCAGAGGTCCTGGGATGGGGGGCAGCCCCCTATGGATACTGATGGATGATTGTATTTGTGTTTGGGTAGAATGCAGAAAACCTGGACATTTAGATATTTATGTACAATAAATATTAGATCAAAGAATAAACTATAATTTTAATCCTCAAACCCATGTTGTAAAAAAATTCACAAGGAATTATTTAAACAAATTGGCTAATAAAGCTTATACCTAAATTAAATTAGGCTCCTAAAAGAAATTACAATGAATAGAGAAAAATGTAAATGAAATTATAATGACTGTAAGAAAAATGGCTGGAAGAGACTAAATTAAATAATGAAGGGACATGGTAAAGATATTTGAGAGGGTATACTGACTGCCAAGCTGCCAAGTCTGGAGCTGAGCCCACAGACCATTCTACAGTGTGTCCTTTAGCTAGGTGCTTACACGCATCTTCTAATGCCCAGAGCAGGCTAGACCACAGAAACAGCATGCATCTTTAGCACAAATCAACCTGTTCATCCATTCATCACATTTATTGAGCAATTGCTGTGTGCCTGCCATTGCTATAGGAGGCTGCAGGAATTGATTGCTTTTAGCTGTCAGGCTTCAATGATGGAGGAAGGCAGGGAGAAGGGGCTTATGAATGGCTCTGGGGTAGCTGGTCCACAGTGCCTGCCATAGGGAAGAACAGGTTTGGCAGTTAAATTAAGAATTCAGCTTTGTTTTATTAAGTTAAGAAAATAACTAATTAAAGCCTAATGTCCATATTCCAAATAAATGCTGTCTGGAAAGTTCTCAGTCTTCACACCTGCCTAACCCTGAAATGGTAGCTGTAGCAATCAGTAAACTTGTTTGCAGAACATTGAGTCAGATTAGTTGGAGTTGGAGGTGGGGCTGTGAGTGGATGCCTCTTTCCCCTCTTGGACTCTCTTATTTCTGGAACTCCTGACAAGGGCCAGCCATTGTATTAAGCACTTTACATAGAGTGTCATTCTCCCCAAACACTATGAAGTTGGTGTATTTACTCTGTTTTACCTGAGTCAACTGAAACCCAGAACAGGGTAAGGTAGCTGTCCAAAGTCATGGCATAGGCAAGGAGCAGAGCTGAGATTCGAACCCAAGCCCTGACCCTAACTGGAGCCCATGCTTTCAAGCCCTGTATTGTAAAGCTCTGCAGCCATTTTCTGAATCAGGTCACCTGACTGATATGAAAACTAAGTAAAATAGACACATTTAGAGTGAGAGATTAGGTTGTCATCACAGACAGTTCTGAAATTAGTATGATCACTTGATTCACATATCATTTTCTTTGTCCTCCCGTTTATTTCTACATTCCTTTGAAGACATTTTTTGTCATTTGGTACAAGTTAATGACTTAATTAGCAGAGCAGTGAGCATGTGAACAAGGACAAAAATATTCTCATATTCAGTGCTTTTGTCACTTTCTGAGCTATAGATTAAAATTCAGCAAAGTAGCAGGATACAAAGAATAACTTCTTAGTAATAACTTCTTAAAAATGACTTATTAATATTTCATATAAGTTGTGATTTGATGAACAACACATAAATATGGTAGAAATATATGGCATAATAGATAGTTATTGAATTTCTTTTGCATTCATCTTGCAGTAGGTTTTCATTCACCCTTAAAAATTATATTATCATACTGTCACCAGGTGGCAGTAGTGTTTTAGTTACAGTCATTTTTTTGTACCAAGGATTGTCTAGTCTCAGCCTATTAAAATAGTCAATTTTGTTTGTGAAATATGAAACATGAAAACAAAAGGAAAATTTTAAATAAATATACACAAAGTTGAATTTCTTAAAAGGACCTAACCATGTTAGTTTATTCTAAGTCTTCATCTTATTCACAAATTTTATCTAGACTTTGTCTTAATAGTTTACCTTCATTATCTTAACATGAATTTAAGACATGCCTAAAGTAGGGGTAGAGTTTGACACTCATCAATTTCACTAGATGAAGAAGTCCTCCTAGCTTCCCTTCCTGTCTATGAGGAAAGTCTTGCTTTTCCTGTCCTTCATAAGCATCCCTGTAACCTTTATCCGTGGAGAAAAAAGACTAGTCCAAAGTTCTATAATCCTAAGCATTTAAAAAAAAAATGTGGATAGCCTTGGCATTTCAGTGGTGAGACAGAGCAAATTTTGGTGAAGTGACATTCTATTTCTGCTTAGTCTTCGAGTCCTTTTAGAGGATATGAAATTTTAGGAATTGTTTACCAAAATAGTAGTCTTCTTGGTAAAATTAGGAGAGGGATGGTTGGTTTGTTTCTGTAAACCAGGAAGGCACATATGCAGAAGTCCAACAATGACAAAAACTTGGAGTGAATGGCTGGCTGGTCACACTCCCGTGACCTATTGTAGACTCTTCAGTCACCTTTCCTTTGTCTGCCTTTCTGTGGCATGTGGATGGGCAGCACTTCTGACCCAAAGCAGAACCAGCATCCTCTCTTCCCATCACCAACCATGTATACTGAGCCAAGAAGCAGTATTCAAGAATGTCCCATCGAAAGGGGAAAATAATACAAGGGGGAGAAATGAATGACAGTAGAGGGGATAGAGAGAGAAGAGGGGAGGGGAGGGGAGGGGAGGGGGGATAGTAGAGGATAGGAAAGGCAGCAGAACACAACAGACACTAGTATGGCAATATGTAAATCAATGGATGTGTAACTGATGTGATTCTGCAATTTGTATACGGGGTAAAAATGGGAGTTCATAACCCACTTGAATCAAAATGTGAAATATGATATATCAAGAACTATGTAATGTTTTGAACAACCAACAATAAAAAAATTAAAAAAAAAAAGAATGTCCCATCACTAAACAGTCATACTTTAAAATGCTTAGTTCTAGTACTCCCTGAAATCACTGACTTGACTTTGTTTTCAATGCAGGAAGCCTGATGTCACTTTGGACTTTATGCTTCCAAGAAAAACAAGTTTGTCATCAGATAGCAATAAAACATTTTGCATGATTGGCCATGGCTTATCATCTCAAGAAGAGGTTTTGCAGTTGTCTGGAAAATGGGACCTGGGAAATTTGCTCCTCTTCAATGGTATATTTTCCCCTTGGAAGCATTTCCAAAATTTTCTTTCATTTAACAAATGTTAAACTAAGTACATTAACCCAGCTAAAATATAGATCTCTGTTCCTTCACCTGTGTTTAATAAGTAGTGTATTCCCAAGATCCTATGATTTACTTTTGAAGAATTTAAACCTTTTCTAATGTGGATCTATCTTACGACTGAAATACACATTAAGTGCATCTCTCTCTATCCCACTCCAAACATTAAATCAGAATCATTTTACAGTCCTGAAAAATGTAGTATCAGGACTAGTAAATGTAGAATGGTTGTCTCTTTTATTTATAATTTTAGTGTGTCCTGTCAATACTAAATTTTCGGGGAGGGAGGAGATACAATTTAAAAAATATGTCATTAAACCTGGCATATAGTAGTATTCAGATAGTGCTTATTGAAATATGGGAAAGAATAAAGACATCAATTCAAGTTTATTTTAAAATGGAATTTACCAAGATATAGTTTCCATTTATTAAAAACAACAAGCAAAACAAAACCAAAAGCTTGTTTTCTGATTGAAGGAGCATATAGATAGATGTAGTGAATAGTTGATGGAATCTGGCAAAAAGAACTCTGGCCCTCTTGTCCTCCGTGACAGATTCTGCTTCAGTTTCTAAGTAACTGACTGTATTTCTCTGCTACTCAGGAGCGAAGATTGGTTCACAAGAAGCCTTTTATTTATACGCCTGTGGACCCAATTATACATCCATAATGCCGTGTAAATACGGCAAGCCCGTGAATGACTGCTCCAAGTATATTAATAAAGAAATTTTGCGATGTGAACAAATCAGAGAACTTTTTATGAATAAAAAAGATGTGGATGTTGGTCTCCTAATTGTAAGTTTAATTTTAGAAATTTAAACTTTAGAGTAAACTTTATATAGGTATATTTATTGAAATATATACTTCCCATGCATTAGATTTCTAATTTTTCATTTTGTACCTTAATATTTTCTTACAGTATTTCTTACAATATTTTATTTTTTTCCTGAAAAAAATACTCAAAACACTTTGTCACTCTGTCATAATTTCAGGTTTTAAATTTATATCTATTTTTCCTTGGAATTATATTTCTGTAATAATTTTATCAGTTTATACCTAGTAAAAATTCAGGAAAAATGTTTGTGATACAGTGAAAATATAAGCCTTATATACTTTTTATAATATTGCTCATTATATTTCCTTTTCATTCTTAAAAAATAAATACTAATGTTCATTTATAATATTAGTTTTAATTACATGTATCAGGTTTTTGATAACTGATTTTTTAATATTAGTAGAAACTAACAATATTGCCTTCAAAGTATTGCTAATATGATACTCTTGTTTTTTTTTTTGTTTTTTTTTTTACATTATTCTAATGTTTTGTTCTACCAGTATACAGTTTAGGAGCTACTGGTGGGGATTTTGCATTAATAACAACTAGAAAATAGATTTCTTAGTCTTAGAAGAGCTACTAAAAACTGTTACATCTGGCCATGAAACTGTTCCTCCTCTTGTTGTCTTATTGTGTGGGGTTTTGTTTTTTTTTTTTTCTTTTCTTGGAATGGGGGGTTGCTTTTGTTCTTGTGGTGCTAAGAATCAAACCCAGGGTCTTGTGCACTCCAGGCAAGGGCCATGCCACTGAGCTGCCTCCCTGGCCCTTCCTCTTGTTTCTTGTGAGAAGAACAATTGTAGACAGAGAGATTTCTTACTTGACGCAGACTACTGTTTGGGAATGTATTTATTTATTGTTGAGATGTATGTTTCAAATAAAAAAATTATATGTAGCTCAGTGGCAGAGTGCTTGCCTACTATTGGGAGGCCTTGGGTTCATGCCACAGCCCCCTCCTCCACAAATAATTCTATTTTAAAGCTATAACATGTGACTAAAGGGCAAATTATAGTACAGATGTTTTGTAAAACACATATACATCTTAAATGCTGTCAAATATATATCTGTGGCAAAATAGAAACAATGGATAACTATGGAGTGTATCAGAAGTTCTGACATTAGGCATGTAATCTCTTATCTCTAAGGAATACTTTTACATGGTGTGTGCAGAGTGGGCCTGAGTAGGTTTTGGCTGTCAACTATTATCATGTGGGGGCCAGAGATGCTAACCGGTCTAAGTACCAAGGTCCACTCACTGAGAAGACTCACTGAAGTTTATCAGAATACCTGGATAAGAGCTTCTGATGGAGTGTGTCTGTGGTGTGGCCAGGAGCATGCCTTTTTGGTAAACTCCTGGGTGACCCTGCTGTTGCTGCTGGTTGGGGTCATGATTTGAGATCCTCTGCTTTAGGGAAAGTGAGGTATTCACACAAGTATTTGTTCAAGTAATAATTTTATCTCAACCATGTACAACAGACTGTGTAGGTGCTTTAGCTGGTTTACAGATATACTTGTTGGTGTATCTGATGAAATGATACTTAAATTGCCATGAATCATACATGACTAAAGCCCAGGATTCCCTCTGCTTGTATGAGAAGACACCAAGTGTACATGATTTCCCTGGGCCTGGGCTGCGCAGCTGCTGCCACTGAGACTACCTCAAAGTTCATTCTGCATTTAAAACTTACGTTACTTTTTAAAGTAGTTCGAAAAAACTTGGCAGGGAGCTAGAAACTATTCAAAACTACCCTATGCATGGGAGAAATATTGAAAGTTCTACTTAATTTTATTTAGTTGTGCTAATAGACTGGAATTCTATTCTAACACAAAAATGTAGTTTAGAGCTACTTTTAAATTAATTATAGGCCCATGAGCAAATCTAAAGCCAAAATTTCAAATGATTTGACCAGGGTCTCCATATTCCTAAGTGCTTAGGGCAGTGCTTTGTTTATAATATAATGAGTGTGGTCTAAGACTTAGCTGTTGTTAGTAGTGATGGTAAGCTTATTCTAAGCTGACCAAAGCTGGAATCCTTCTCAATCTCAATGTGTTTATATTTTCAGTCACAACTCAGTGACAGTGATTTCCCTTTGGGAAGCACCCTTGCTTCTCATGTTCATCTTTATTCGGTATAGTAGCCATTAAAAAAGCAAAACAAAACAAACAAACAAAAAACCACACACAAAGATAAAGACTACCTGGGTGTCTTTCCACTTTGAAATATTTATTTGCCAGCTGATGACTTAACCTTTTAAACTTTGTTTTGTAATTAAAGGAAAATATTTGTGTTTCAGGAAAGTCTTTCCATTGTTTATACAACTTATTGTCCTGCTCAGTATACCATCTATGAGCCAGTGATCAGACTAAAAGGTCAGGTGAAAACCCAGCTCTCTCAAAGACCCTTCAGTTCAAAAGAAGTCCAGAGCATCTTGCTAGACTCTCCTCAACTAAAAAACCTCAAGCCTACTGAGTGTAAAACGATTCAAGGCATTCTGCACGAGGTTGGCGGAGCTGGTATCTTTGTTTTTCTCTTTGCTAGGGTAAGACTCACTATTTTTGTTTTGTCTAAAAAGAATCTACTTCTTTATTATTAATTAAGAGTTCCTTATGAATTACAAAAAAAAGCTACACCTAACCATACTAAGATAAAAATCTCATATTAAGGATGACATAAAACTTTCTGCAACAGATGGTTAAGGTTTCTTCTAATTTATGAAGATTTTAGAAGTTTTCTGTTATCCACAAATGTAATTAGAACAATCAAATATTAAATTATGAGATTTTAAATTGCCTTTGGAAAAGAATGCATACTACAGTAATGGTGTAAAAAAATTTTTTTGGTACTAGGGATTGAATCCAGGGGCACTTAACCACTGAGCCACATCCCCAACCCTTTTTATATTTTATTTAGAGACAGGGTCTTGATAAGTTGCTGAGGCTGGCTTTGAACTTGCGATCCTGTTGCCTCAGCCTCCCGAACCACTGAGATTACAGGCATGCACCACTGAACCTGGCAAGAAATGTAATTTTAAAAATTAGATTTGTGAAAAGTTATCCCTTAAATCTTCCCAATGCATAGAGAAAAAACTCCAAAGGTCAACAAATAAGTGAAAAAAAATTTTTTTTAGTTTATTTGGGTTGGGAGTTTTTTTTAAAAGAGAAGAAATACAAAAAAATTGATATGAAAGAATGTAGGTAATCACATGTGTTAAATTTTTAGTCTCAACAGATTAGGAGAAAAATATATTCATCTCTTGTTTTTAGGTTGTTGAACTTAGTGACTGTGAAGAAACTCAGGCATTGGCACTGCGAGTCCTGCTCTCCTTAGTTAAATTCAACCAACAGAGAGCTCATGAATTAGAAAATTGTAATGGGCTTTCTATGATTCATCAGGTGTTGATCAAACAGAAATGCATTGTTGGCTTTCACATCTTGAAGGTATGACTTCTTAAAGTCAATTCCCATAGTTTCTATGAGTGATTCTTACCCTTCATTAGAGTCTTCCAGTAAGAATCTTGGGTTTCAGTGATTCCCTAAAACAATGAAGGAAACTCATTATTGTATATTTAAGCAAACTTATGTACTCTTTTGGTTCTTTCCATCATTCAAGTAATTACATTTTTCATTTTATAAAGCATTTTAGACAAGTAAGAAAAAACTCAAAGAATTTTAGACTTGGCTGGACTGTAGATGTCTTCAGTCTGGCTCCTCATGCTGTGGACTGATAAAGTGGTCTCCATCCCACAGTTTTGGAAGAGATCACAGTTCATAGGAACCAGAGATGTACGTTTGCATCAGGCAGTGCTGCTGTAATTAGTTTTAAAGTTATAAATGCCTATGTCATTGTATATTTAAGTACCCATCTAGCTAAAAGCTGGATGGTAACATTGTGAAAGTATTTCTCTGTGGGTAATGGTATTAAGGCAGAAGTTGATTTCTATGTCCTTGCTCCCAGCCCCACCTCTTTAAACTGTCAAGATCTATGCATTTCTGACATAAATCCTTACTACTAAGAGCAGATTGTTTCCACTTAAAAAATAAAAATAAGATGTGGATGGTTTTTGTGTTTGAAACTGAGTAATTGCTTACAAACAGTTGGAAGTTCAGGATTTTCTGTTTATTTGAGTTGCAACACAGAACAAAGACACTTTATGAAATGGTGAATTAGTAACTAATATTCCTTTCAATGTTAAGACTGCAGATTGAAAACTTAATGTTTCTGTTGATTGTTTGTCTAACCACTCATTAATGCATCTCGTATTGGTACTGGTTTTCCATAGACCCTTCTTGAAGGTTGCTGTGGGGAAGATATTATCCATATCAATGAGAATGGAGAGTTCAAGTTGGATATAGAGTCTAATGCTATAATCCAAGATGTTAAACTTTTAGAGGAGCTACTGCTTGACTGGAAGATATGGAATAAAGCAGAGGCATGTAAAAATATATACATCTTTTTCATTTTTTATTGTGATTTTATAACATCAAATTTACTTTTTAAACCATCTAAGTGTACAGTTCAGTGGTATCAAGCATATTCACAGAGTTGTGAAGCCATTACCACTGTCTTTCTCCATGATCCTTTCCATCTTGTAAAGCCACAGCTCTGCACCTGTTAAACAATAACCCCCCATTTCCCCTTCCACAGCCCTGCAGCCATCATTGTATTTGCTGCCTCTGTGGACTCAACTACTCCAAACAGCTCATCTAAGTGGAATCATATAGTGTTTGTCTTTTATAATTTGCTCACTTCACTTAGTGCAATGTCCTCATAGGTTCATCCAGATGTCATAGGTTTAAATTTCCTCCTTTTAGGTAGAATAATATTCTATTGTATGTGTCTATCAAATTTCACTTTTCCATTCTCCATCCAGGGATATTTGCCTTGCTTCCAGATCTCAGCTATTATGAATATAGATAGATGTGTATACCCTCTAATATTCACCTAATCATTCTTCTAAACCACAGAATGAATTTACTACTTCAGTGTAATATTCATTGTAAGTGGAAATCTGGGATTATTTCCCATGCTGAGTTTTGAACAGCCATGGTAATACTAAGTTGGAGGGTCAGGATCAGAACTTGGGCTGGCTCAGAATACTACAATCAGGCAGGAGTACATGGTACATTTAGATCCCCTTCGGGACCTACATTTAGCATAAACTCCAAAAGAGGGGATTCTAAGAGTCTGGGGAACCAGGTCCAGGGGACAGAAATGGAGGTCCTTTTGAGCAGAGGAGTCACACTGGCCAGGATGCACGGTCTGGATCATGCCAAGGGCAAGACTTTGTCAGAAGCATGAAATAACGTAGAAAGACAGTAGGTCTAGGTGCAGCATCTCAACACCTGGAGTGCATGGGCTGGTTTTCACAGGACTCATCCAGGGAATGGGTATAGGGCTGTTTCCTTTCTGCCTTGGCTTTCAGCAGTTGTGGTGGTATAGGGTCAGACAGGCTGCTCACTTCTAATATGAACTGTGCATATAGAGTGTGGCAGGGTTCTAGAAGTTACTGGTGATTTTATCTATCTATCTATTTATTTATTTATTTTTGTAGTTGTATATGGAAAGCATACCTTTATTTTATTTGTTTATTTTTATGCAGTGCTAAGGATCAAACCCAGTGCCTCCCACATGCTAGGCAAGTGCTCTGCCGTTGAACTATGGCCTCAACCCTACTGGTGATTTTTAAAAAACAATAGATTGTCTGTGATTAGTTGAAATATAACAATATTATCAGCAAATGTAATTATTTGAAGAGCTATTCTAAGTATATACCTTTAGAATTTTAAAAAATTTGATTATTCCCACTGGATATGGTTGTACATGCCTGTAGTCCCAGTTACTTGGGATTGCAGGTTCAAGGCTAGACTCCACAACTTAGCAAGACTCTGTCAAAATAAAAAATAAAAAGGCCTCTGAGTGTACCTCAGTGATAGAGCACCCCGAGTTCAGTTTCCAGTACTAGAGAGAGAGAGAGAGAGAGAGAGAAAGAGAGATTATTCCCAAATTTGACTACAGTCTTCACAACAGTAATGAGTTATGAAGCCAAAAAAAAAAATCTTTTCTAATCTATCATTAATAAAAATGAATTAGCTCAAATTTCTAGAAAAGAATTATTTTTCTACTCATCCTATAGAAAATTTTTATAAAATCGTTGTTATATGAAGAGGAAGTCAGCCACAAACTTAAAAGTATTAAAAAGTAGTGCCAAGCAACTAACTCAACTACTGCTGTTTTTCTGTATGTTGTGATACTGATGATATTTGTCAGTTTTTGTTCACTTTGTAATTTGTCATGATTTCTCATTCTGAATAAAGATTTATTTTAAGATCTGAAAAATAGAAGATATATATGTTTCATGTTGCAGAGAAGGTAAACACATAAAGGGATAGCATAAAAATTAGTAAAAAAAAATTAGATGAAAGTCTGTATAAGTATATAATAAAGAATATGCTCAACTGGAGATTGGAATATCTATCCTAACTAAATTTAGACAGTTTATGTAGTATTTCAGAAGACCATGAAAATATGGGGTTGTTTGATTTTAAATTTTTTTATCACATTCAAAAGTGATAAAATATACATACACTTTGATGGATTTGAAATAAGGATTTCCTTCCTAAGTAGTTGTTTTTTAACAAAATCTGGTTTTCATGTTGGCCGTTTAGTAGCAGGGGCACTGTTTCATTTTGGTACTCTTTGTCAGACCCAAGTCAAGTTTTCATACGGGAGCTGCCTTTCTTCTAGGTGTCTGTGTTTGGATCTCGGTTCCGTTTTCTGAAGAGAGCGGCCTTGCTTAGAGTAGTAGAGTTAAGTCTGTCAGTTCCTTGGCTTTTCTGTTGTTCATCACTGTCAGATAATGACAGGAGAAATAATAAGACCTGCGACCCAGGCCAGTTATTGTTACCTTTTGTTGATAGCATTATTGAAAGAACAATTAGAGGAATAAGATGAGGTAAAGATAATCTTTCAATTATTATCAGTGAGATCCTTTTTTCATGCTATTCTGGATAATTTTATTGATTCAATGCAGGAGGAACATTTTAAGGCACCTTCAAAGGATACAAACTACTCTTTGAAGATGCACAATTTTTTAATAGCTCAGAGAATTCTATTATGTGGACTTAACGTGAGTTAATCCCAAAATATACATATTTCACATTTTCCAAGATGCAAATTACTGTTGTATTTTCTGTTTTAAATAACACCACTTTTTGAACAAGTTATTTGGAAACAACTTTCCATCTTGTAAAGCCATATTGGTAATGTTTGTTTCTTTAATCGGAATAAATAATTCAAGATAATTTACCTTTTGAAAATATTAAAGCCATGAAAAGGGTAATGTACTAAAGCACTTAATACAATATTGTGTTCATCATAGGAATTTAGAAATGACCTGTTGACTACAAAGAAAAATAGTAGGGAAATAAATTTTTAAGATTAACTTTTTTCAGGCGAATTTAATTTTGGGCATTAAATGTATGCACAGTGTTAGTTTGTTATTTTGGTAGTTTTCTCAAAAGCCTGTGGCAGTTTCTGAACATCTGTGTGCTAACTGTGTGTGTTTGCTCCCTCAGCCTGGCGTGTGGGAGACTCTGCTCGCAGCTCTGGAAGCCCTCATCCGCGTAGAGCACCAGCAGCAGTGGTTTAACACGCAGCAGTTGCTGAAAGCCCGGGCGGTGCACCACTTCCTGCTAATGTGTCAGGTTCTGCAGGTACCCTCCTCTGCCTTGGCTCAGTGGCTCTCTGCCCTTGTTTCTCTCTAATAACTCAACTCTGAGCATCAAATCTTTGTGGGATTTTTTTTTCTCTTTTCTTTTTATTTATCTCTAGGTTCTTCTTTCAACTTTTGCCTCTTGATCTCACATTGTCATCTTTCCTAACTCAAATGACAAAAGAACAGCAACTACTAAGCTTCTGAGGGTTTTCTTTTTGTATTGGAATAGAATGGTAACTTTACAGTCTCTCAAACTGTAGAAATAGCTGATGAATCTTATTCTAGTATTCCTTAAATAGCAACTTATAACTATGTATTGTTTTAATAAGCATTGTTTGTTGAAGACCTGCTTTATATACTAGAATTAGCCTTGTGTCTAATAATGCAGAGAAAGTAAACTAATAACAGAGATAGCTTATGTAAAAAAAATAGGTCAAAGGCTGTATAAATATGCAATAAAGAATATGCTCCATGGAGACTGGAAGATCTATATTAACTAAATATTGGACATATATATTGAACTAACATTTAATGGACTAAATATTGAAAATATATCCACTGTGTTAAAAAGTCATACTAACTTCCTGAGTTACATTGTAGTGTCCGTGCTATGGCCTGGTTTCCAGTCAAATTCCTTTCTTTGCTTTTACAGATGACCTTTTACCTGATTAGTTGGTATATTGGGCTATTTTCCAATTTTTTTACTGTCTGAGGCCTCTGTTATAAGTTAGACAAATGCAGATGTTCATGGGATTAGTGATTTTTCACGTTGGTAATGCCTGTGCTTCAGTGGCTCTGGGGCTTCTTGTTGTGGATAAGTGACATTCACCCTCTGTGACATCCTTACAAAGCTCTTGCCATCTGATGGCCACATACCTCCTCTTATGCCACTGAACCCGGATTTCATTCCCTTTACACAAGAGAGGCTTCTCCCCATTTGAGGCACATGATATTCCCATTGCCGCAGAGGTATTGATTCCATTCTTGTCATCTGGCCAACTCCTGCTTATTCTTCATGCTTCAACTTAAACCTTGCTTCCCGAGAGAAACCTGTCCTGCTCTTTCCATCTTTCCATTGTGTATACCAATGTGTAAGTTTACGCTGTTTATAAGATTATAGTTTATTTCCCTCTGCAGCCCTCGTGACGGCAGGGATATGTTTTTTGTTGATCACTCCATAAGCCTAATACCTGGCACACAAAGTACCTAATAACTCTTTGTTAAATGGACAAATTCTGAAAAAGAGGCAAGAGCCCTTCTATGGGGGGCCATATTGAGTGACCACACCTTCCCATCCTGATGTACCAGGGGATCTGAAAGATCACTGTAGTCTGGTGTGGTAGTGCCATGACTCGTGACTCTGTCTTTTCCCCACTCGGATAGCAAGGCCAGTCTTCTGAGTGGGCATACCCCTGGGGTTGAGCTACACTCACCTGTTCCTTTGTAATCCTACCCCTTTGCCCTGTTTGGGATATAATGTTCCATGGAAATGCCCTATGTGTATCCCCTTCTCTTGCTCTGCCTTTGGGTGTGGGCTTCCTAGATGTCAGTCAGCCTGCTGACAGCAGACATCACAAAGCTAGACTCAGTCCCTGAAACCTGACTCCTTGCCTCATTTGAATGGCTTCTCCTCAGTAAGAGGGTTTAGCACGCGCCCTCTCTCTCTCTCTTTCCTTGAACCCCTAAAGTCCAGAGGAGCCGCCACAAGACCCAAAGAAAAAGGTATCTCTGCCTCTGTGTGGTTATTTCGTGCAGTCTAGTTCCCCTGGAGTGATCCTAAGTGTGTTAGTTGTGGAATGCGACACCCTTCAATGCCTTTCTTGGCCCCCGTGGAAATTAGATTATTGTCTTCAGAAATACAAGACAGTGGAATGGGGGTGTGTCTCAGTGATAGTGCATTTGCCTACACCCTAGGCTCTGGGTTGTTTCCCCAACACTAAACATAAAACCAAAAACAATACAGTACAGTGATCTCTCAGGACCCTTGCTTACTGAATGTTTTATGCATCCTTTATATATAAATTTTCTTCTAAATCTATTTCTGTTTATATCCATTTTGAAATTATTAGCCAATTTGCAATGAATTTAAATGAAAATTTGAGATTCTTATTCATATTTTAACTTAGAGGCTTCAATCTATATATTTTTATTTCCATATTATTTATAAAAATGATAGAAAAATCAAGGAACCAATTCCTTTTCCTGAGAAGTATATATTTCTTTACCCCCTTCATTCAAAGAACCTGTTTATCAAATTAATAGCTGTTTATGAAGCATAGCTTTACATTGGGTATTATGGAAAGTATTTAAAGAAATGAAGTTAGTCTTTGTCTTTAAGGAGTCTGAACCCCTGTGGTGTTTCAGGAAGATTAGCAAATCGGTAGAGCATTGGATATGAGGTAGTTTGATCAGTTTGAGAACAGTGTGGAGAGCCTGATCTAAGGCACTAAGGGTGGGAGTGTAAAAGTAGGGAGCAAATATGAAAGAGGTTAATGAATACGACTTGCTTCTGATAAAATGGGAGCTTCAGGAGTCACACGTGACATAAAATTTCAACCTGGGATAATAAAAGACATTATAAAAAAAAAATGGTGGTGACTGCGAAGCAGTGTGAATAGATGGGGGGCACCATGGAATGGATGGCTGAGGTGAGAGATAGTAGGATGCTGAGGTGATGGGCACCTTGGGATGGATGGCTGAGGTGAGAGATCATAGGAGGCTTAGATGGATGCTTCTTCGGAAGCATCCATCCTCAGGATGTGAAACCAGAAAAATCAGCTGTAGGAAGAGGTGTAGAAAGGGTAGCTGAAGAGGAAGAGAAGAATCAGGAAACTCAGAAAAGCAAAAGCCATGGGCAAGAGGAGGGAAGAACATACACATAAGGTGGAGCCCAGTGATGGAGAAAGTTCAGAGAAATGTTGGCCGAAATGGGCTATGACCTTGAACATTCTTAATGCCTTGTAAGATATCAGTACTGTGGAAAAGACAAGAATCAGATTTCAGGGACTTCAGACAGTATGTGAGGTGGATCATGGGAGCAGTAAGAGCAAGCTATTATTTAAGTCTAGCAGCAAGAGCAAAGAGAAAAACAGAATTACAAAAGATTGGTTTAAGGGATTTAAAAAAAATGAAATAGAATACCAGACTATATTTGAGTAAGTGGAGCAAGCAAGTTTGAAGAAACATGTGCTGGAATGGCTTAGGAAAGAACAGCTGATAATGCAACCAGGAGAGTTGGGGAGGTTCAAGAGGTGCTATTGAGAAGAAAGGCAGATGGTGTGGCAGAAATAGCTTTGAACTGGAAGTCAAGAGATGTATGTTCCTTAGTCTGGCCACTCTACAGTTGGGAGATACTGACACAGGAGTTTTGTGTTTGTTTTTGGAGACTCAGTGTTCTCTCACATCTGTAGTAGTCAGACTAAATTAAAATTAAAATCTGCCTTTTAAATACTCTGATTCAGTAGTGCTTAAGAGTCGAAGAGGAATAGATGTAGAGACATGTATTTGGACATAGGGAGAAGGAAGATGAAGAAGTTTACCTCCCAAACTCTTGACCCATAAGCCTATTGCTACCCATTGGGAAAGTGGAATTGGCGGACATAAACAAGTTGTATCAGTCTCTACTTTAGTAATTACTTGACATTCTATCAAGTCTCATTATTCCAAGCAGTAGATGATGCCGTAAGGGGTCAGAAGCCTGAGTTTAAGTTATAGTTGCACTATTTGTATATTTTCTGTAGCACTTAAGCTAGTCACGTAACTTCTTTTTTAGCCTCTCATTCTAGAAATAAGCCATTTTAGAGCCATTGTGAGAAAGAGCTGTGTAAATCAATGTACGATATACAGTGTAACTGGCTTTATGTACACGTTTTCCCTATGGATTTCATAGAAGCAGTATAATAGAAGAGGAAGTCATAGTCATAGTCAGAGCAATAGTCACAGTAATGATGGTAGTACTAATATAGTTCTGTGCACACAAAAATTTCATATTTTAGAGCATTTTGGATTTTCAGATTATGGATGTTCAACTGTAAAGCGTGTGCAAGTTTACAACAACAACACAAAAACCTCTAAGATGTGAAGCATGTCTGACCTCACTTGGATGTGTGAGTTTACTATGTGCAAGGCATTGTTCTAAGAGTCCGTGTGTTTGTTCCTTTTAAGAACTCTGTGAAGTAGCATTAGCGTTCTTCCCATATTATCGACAGAGAAGTGGAAGCGTGCAGGTGTTGAAAAGCACACCTGAGATAACGCTGCCAGGGAATGAAGGAGCCGGAATGTAAGCCTAGGTGTTGAGCTATGGAGTCCATGCCCACAAGCACAGTGATGTGACTTTCCTCAGTCTATTAAGATACGTGGGATAAATTGCTATCGGCTTTAATGAGCTTTTAATAACAAGATTACTGGACTTGAAAAATAGCAACTCAACATAATGGTAAATAAGGTCTGATTAGAGTAGTAAACCAGCCGAATTCTAGCTTAAAAAAGAATATCATATTTAAATGAAAAATGTTTTTTAACTGTTCTCTTTAAATCTAAAGAGAGTTTGATTTTTATTTTTTTCAGGAACACAAAGAGGGGCACCTTACATCCATGCCCCGAGAGGTTTGTAGATCATTTGTGAAAATTATTGCAGAAGTCCTTGGATCTCCTCCAGATTTGGAATTATTGACAATTATCTTCAATTTCCTTTTAGCAGTTCACCCTCCTACTAATACTTACGTTTGTCACAACCCCACAAACTTCTACTTCTCTTTGCATATAGGTAGGTATGACATTTTTGTTCGATCTTCTGTCCCACTGGCCCACTTGATCCACATTTGTTTGATATTTGTTGAATGGCCTGTCTGAGCTAGACTTACTGGGATAGAAACAGGACACGGGGTTCTGGAATGAACCAGACATGGTCTGTGCCTTCAGGGAGCCTGAGTACCTAGGAGAAAGGAAACACACACTTAGATGACAGTGTATATTAGAAACAAAAGTAAAGCTAATGAGACTTCAAAAGAGAAAGAGTTTAATTAGACCATTATATACAGAGAGTATTTAACAGATTACACAATTATCTATTGTGGGCATTGAAGAATTTAGGTAGAATTTGATAGGTAGATTGGAGAATTAGCACTTCAAGCAAAGAGAATAACTTGAAGAGAGGAAAATAGAGAAAATAGAGAGTAATAAATTTTTCCTAAGTATGTATATAGGATCTATAAAGGATAAATGAGAAATAATACCATATTAAGGCATTTATGTATTTATTTTCCCTAAGGTCATGTTAAATGAGTCCTTTAATGAAAGGCTAGAGATTTTGAACTTGTATTCTAGTTAGAGATCATTGAAAAAGTTTTGTTTTTTTTTTTAATTTTGCTTTGCTCATTTACTTGTTTGTTTTTGAACACAGATGTGATGTAAGCAAATTATTGTAGGATTCAGGAGTAGGAAACTAGGAACAGTAAGTCCAATTAAGTAATCTGTAGGTATATGAAATAACAGAATGTAGGCATAGTAGCAGTAGAACTGGAAAAGAGGGATAAAAGGAGAACTGAGAAGGTTAGGATGGGATGAATGGGGTGCTAGGGTAGAAGATAATGGCTTTGGTTTTGTAAAGCATGTTGCATTTGAGGTGCTCTGTAAGAATCGTGTAGCAGGCAACTAGAAAGGAGGGTTATAGCATGGGGGAGGTTACAATGAGCTCCCTGTGCCAAAGTGAGTTTCAATTTAGAATAGATGAGATCACTGTAGAGCAATGTAGAAAGAGAAGGAAAGAGGGAGCCAAGGATAAGACACTGGAAATATCACTATTTAGAGGTTACAACAGGAAAGAGGAATCAGTATAAGAGAAGATGGAATAATAAGTTTTTAAAGAACTAGGGCAGAGCAGTGCTGTAAGAAAGCAAGCAGAAGTGAACCTATGAAAAACCTAGGTGGTAGTTTAGAATGAAAAACCAGCTATACAACAGCCTTTTAAAGAAGTCTAATAAATGAATAAATGAGCAACACTAAAAGACCAAATGAAATTAGGTAGCATGACTTTGTATTAAGTTCAGCATATTAGAGGGTAAGTACTGTGCAGAATCCTGGGAGCAGGATAATTGCAAAGTCAAGTAAAATATGTTTCCTTCCCCTCCAAGACCTGAGGCCTAGTAGAGGGGAGAGAGGTGGGCGAGAGGTGGAAGCAGGTAATTGTACCATACCATGTGGAAAGCACAGTGATGTGGAAGTCAGCGTTTTGGTTTTCTGATAGCAGAGAGCCTGTTGAGGGCTGAGGGGACAGAGGTTTCCTGGAGGAGGTGATACCTGCTCTGAGTCTTAAAGGTAGGTAGGAGTCCAAGGGAAGGTCCGTTAGGCAGAGGAAATGGCTTGGGCAGGAGCTGTGAGAAGTTGGTCCAGCTGAAATGGAAGAAGCCAGCCTGGTAAGAGGCCTGGGGACAGATCATGGAGGTGCTTGTGGACAATAAGCTTGGAAAGGAGGCAACAGAAAGCCAGCGGGAGGTTTTAAGCAGAAATTGACATTTTGGATAGAAAATTCTGATGGCCGTGAAGATTTGAAAATGACAAGATGTCATCAGGATGCGATTTAGAAATCCGTGACAGCAATCCAGATAAGAGATGATGCAGCACTCTGGTAGGGAGGGAACAAGTTGAGGGAACCAGAAATAACGTCAGAATCGCCTGGTGACTGACTTGGCACAGAGGAAGCAAAACTAGTGGCCCAAGTGGCTTCAGGCTCCCCATGGGGAATGAACTGGTGCTGTTGTCAAACTAACCAGAGCACAGAACTGCAAGGGTGGCTTTAGGCAGAAAGATGGTCCAGTTCAGACTTGTTGCATTTGTGGTGCACTGAAGAAATCAAGCACTTGAATTTAAAGTATGAAGCTCAGAAGACAGATTGAGCCTGAAGGAAAAAAGCAAAGTGAATGTGGCCAGCAACAATAATAACAAAATTTGTAATGATAAGTCACACAGTGTAAGTCCTCACAGGTCAGGTATACACTAGGATAAAGTATACCACATTTTTCTCTTTGAACATCTATTTGAAATTTGGATTTAATTATTTGATTTTAAGGTTATGTTCTTATTTACCCCTTTTTAATATTTTGCTATCTCAATTTTATTTTTTAATCGTAGATGGTAAGATCTTTCAGGAGAAAATGCAGTCAATCATGTACCTGAGGCATTCTAACAGTGGAGGGAGATCCCTTGCTAGCCCTGGATTTGTGGTAATAAGCCCATCTGGTTTTACTGCTTCACCACCTGAAGGTAAAAATAGCAATAATGAAAGTATACCCCTACATATTGTAGTTCTAGACTAAAATAAATGGAATATTAAACTTAAGCATGATGTATTTAAAGAACCCATTTTTACTACTTTCTGGTATCTATAATTCACAATATAATAAGAGCTATCTAACACAAGTTCCCTAGAGAACAGATTGAGTGGCTGAGGCTCATACTTTCTGACATTATCTGTCCTCTGTTATCACAGTCATTTATCTTTCATTAAACCATTGATTTATTTTCCTATTTTCTTCAAAACCCTGGTTTCTTTGTTTTACTCTCTCCTTCCTACCTGAGCATGTCTTTCTAGACAGCTTCATTGGTAGATGGATGGCCATCCAGTACTCCAGCCTCACACTCTTGTCCCGTCCGTCATGGATGTGATCATCAACAAGGCCTCCAAGCACACCTCAGACAGGGTTCCACTGTTTATTCTACATTTATGATCAATTTCTCAATCATGTGCATCACTCTGCAACATTTTCAAATGCAATCACGTCTCCATCTTTCCAGGTCTTTTGAGCAGACTCTTCGGCAGCTTTAGCCCCTAGCCAATAGAGAAACAGAATCCTCTGGGGATTCACAGGAAAATGACAGAGAGGATGCACCCAACCTTTCTAATCCACTCTCTGATCATAACATCCTGTCTTTCTAATTTTCTTAGGGTTAATTTTTCAGATTTTGAGATGAGGTCTCACTACACTGCCTGTAATAATGTTGAACTTAGAATCCTCCTGCTTCAGCCTCTCAAATAGCTGAATCACCATGCCCAGCTTTTCTGGTTTCTTTACCACACTCCCAAGGTTTTTTTGCCTCTGCTTTCCCTATCCAGCCAAGATCCCATTAGCCTATAACTTCGGCAGTTTTCTTGACATCATCTTCAGTTTCCTTGTCCCTTGGCCTGCTGGTTTTCTTTTTAAAAAACATTTATTTATTTTTTTAGTTATAGTTGGACACAATATCTTTAATTATTTATTTATTTTTATATGGTGCTGAGGATTGAACCCAGGGCCTCGCACGTGCTAGGCGTGCACTGTACCACTGAGCCACAGCTCCAGCCCTGTTGGTTTTCCTAACCTGAAAATCCCTAACCTGGCCTCAGTCTGACTAACCTCACACTGCTGAAGACTGTACCAGGGCTTTTAATGTTTCCCTATCATTTTTCTGTTTGTTCAGAATCACTTCCTTCTTGTATTTATATAGTAAGTGTATTCAAGTCTTTATGTCAACAGTACTTTTCAGTCTTCCAAATTACTCTTTTTTTAAAAAACATTAGTTGCAGATGGACATGATACCTTTATTTATTTATTTATTTTTATGGCTGTTTAATAACAATAAAATTGCCATTTATTGAGCACTTATTATATGCCAGGCACTATGCTATAGGTCTTTCTTAATCCTGAAAGCAACCTGCAAAGTAGATATTCTGAACTCTCGTTTTGTGTTTGCAAAAACACTGCTCATATGGTACAATTGAGTGATCTAACTGAGGCCACTGAACTAACAGAACTGACATTTTAATCTGGTTATCTCTAGTTGCAAAGCATCGGGTCTTTTCACCATATCCATGTGTCTGCTGGCCTGAATAAATTGTTTCACTTCATTCATTTAATTTCAGCAGAACCACTAATCCTAATGACTTTAAATCATGTGGTCAATATTGCATTTTGTTAAAGAAACAGGAAAAGGCATATGTTCTTGAAAGATTTTAATAAAATGTGGTTAAAAGAAAAATAGTTCTGGCGCTTAAGCATTTTAAGCAGTTGCTGGGAAATTAACCTAAATAGATTCTTTAACAATAGGTAGGTGGGCCTTCACCATGACTGAGACTTATAGTGCACAGAGAAGTGGTCCCTCTTAGCAGCTTTTTAAGTAGTATTTTTCTGTTGCTCTTCCTAGGAGATAGTTCCTCCACTGTTATTCCACAGCCGATGGCTGCCCACTTGCTGCGTTCCAGAAGCCTGCCATCATTTCCTACCTGTCCACAAGTGCAGCCACTAAAACTGACTGGAAGTTTGGGCTGTAGTATTGACAAGTTACGAAACATTGTAGATATGTATGTTGCTGCCCAGCCAGAGACACAGAACGCTTTAGGGGAGTTCAATGTGCTGAAAACAGGCAAAGAGGATGCACTCATCAGTAGCTGTGAGTCTGCCAAAACTGTCTGTGAAGTGGATGCTGCTTTCACAGCCCACAACTTTGCCAGTGTTGTCCCAAAAGGAACACTGGGATCTCCTGTGGTCAGAGTAGATCACAAAGACCTAGGAGCAGAACCCCGGTCAGATGATGAAAGCCCTGGGGATGAGTCCTGCCCACGCCGACCAGACAACCTGAAGGGACTGGCCTCATTCCAGCAAAGCCACAGCACCATTGCAAGTCTTGGGCTAGCTTTTCCTTCACAGAATGGATCTGCAGCTGTGGGCCGGTGGCCAAGTCTTGTTGACAGGAACACCGAGGACTGGGAAAACTTTGCCTTTTCTCTTGGTTACGAGCCAAACTATAACTGTGCTGCAAGTGCTCACAGGTACTCACATAGTTTTTGTGCATCCCTCCCTCTTTAAATATTCTTTGAAGAATCTCTACACTTCTAGAAATGTCTTCGTTACACCACTTCTGATATTACATTATGTTGATACCAAACGGAAAGTGCCTTTCTCCTCTTTTTAATATTAGGTAGTATTGAGTTCCACATTCAACCAAAGGCTTAAATAGCTCTCAAAGAAAAATATCTCTTGTGGCTTATTTTATTTCTTGGAATTATTAGAGAAAGACCCCTTAGTTCATGGAAACAATCAGATTGATTCTTATTCCTATTGGCATCTCAAGTAGTACTGCCCAGTGGGATCTTCTGTGATGATGTAAATGTCTTCTCTGCGGTGGAGAGTACCACAGATGCCACTTGAAACATGCCTGTTGAAACGTGGCCAATGCCACTGAGAACTGAATTTTAAATTGAATTTAAAATAAATAGCAAAAATGGCAATCACTCCAGTACTAAGCATCATAAACACAGAATAGAATAGTGTTTAGTGTACTATATTCCTAAAAATGCCAGTGATAAAAAGTGATGGCAAGTGTGTTAATCACAGTTAAATTTGGAAACATTTCCTAATCCTTATGAGATTTGTTTTACATTTTAAAATTACCACTCAGCATAGTTCTTAGGGTAATCATCATGTGGTGTTACCCTTACCCTGAGTTAGTGAGACTTTTTGGTCTCTGTTTTAGTGTAACTGAAGACTGTTTAGAACCTGTCTGCTGTGGACTGTATGAACTCTTAAGTGGCGTTCTTCTCATCCTGCCTGATGTGATGCTTGAGGATGTGATGGACAAGATCATTCAAGCAGATACACTTTTAGTCCTCGTTAACCACCCTTCACCAGCTATACAACAAGGAGTTATTAAAGTAAGCGCAAACACTACATGAATGCTGTTTTAATTCAGAAACTAAACATATGTATAATTTAAAAACTTGAATATTTATGTAAAATAGACTTGAAGATTTATTTTATATTTAGGAATAATGAACTAAATATGGTTTTTTATTATTTATATTTTGTGTGTATTATCCAGTTTTAAGTTATCCATATATTTATTTATTCCAATGTTTTTTAAATCTACCAATAAATTCATATATCTAAACATTTAGTAAATCTGTCACAAAAATTCACAAGGTAAGTTTGGTTCACTGAGATCTCGCCTGCACAGACAGAGCATCAGAGTTTAGATTTGAGGTGTCAGCTCAGATGTCATCTTCTCAAAAGAACTTCCCTGATCACCTTATCAAAATTACTTCCTTCTAGCACTACTCTTTATTTTTTCCATCAAAGCATCCTGTTTATGTCTTATAATTATCTTTCACTTATTCTGTGGACTTATGTTTTAATCTCTCACATGAAAATAAACTCTGTTCATATCTCATGTCTGGTATATAAGAGTTGTCCAAAATAGATTGTCAAATGAATAAATGTTTGATATGAATGGCTTTGAGTAGAAAGCAACCAAGCGCTGGAATGGTCTTTTAAAGATCCTCATTCTCTTTAGTTTGTTTGGATGTAAAGATTGTATAACCACTTGCAGTTCCACCTAGTATTCATTGTGCTTCCATTTCACACGCAGAGCACTGAGCTGGTTGCTCTGTGGGGTACAGAGGGGAGTAACATGAGCCCCTGCATTCAAGGAATTTGTGGTCCTGTGAAGAAGAGGGTCACATACCCAACCACGTAAAAGGCAAGGGACCGTGATGCGTGCTGCCGTGGCGGCACTGATAAAGAAGAATTCGAGCAGAGGGGGAGCAGATAATTCTGATGGAGACACAGGGAAAGATTCGTGGGGGGAAACAACTGGATAGTATGCTGTCAACTAAGGAAACTTTTAAAATAAGGCAATAAAAATAGATGTTTGTGGAATGGTAGTCTGTCACCACTGTGAGGGAGGGACTGAAAAATAGGGAGAGGTGGACATGCTCCCTTCACAGGCTAGCGTAGTAATCAGGGGAGAGACCACCAGTCCCACAGGCTCACCTGGAAGTCCAGGGGAATTCAGGAGTTTCCAGCCTGGAGTAATGAAGTCAAAGGACCAACAGATTTGAGAGACTTGCTAGGGTGGAAGAGAGAAAGGTGCCTTCATAATTTCAGGTGGGGAGAAAAGCCCAAAGTGAGTTCACCTTGAAATCTATGGAATGGAGCTAAGATCCATCTAAGTTCAGAACCATGAGAGGAGTCGTTCTGGAAAGTAATTAAGTTGTATACACGTTGTCTTTAAAACAGGAAGGGTGGAAAATCAGGCCTGTGTTCAGGATAAATAACCTGTCAAGTAGTCTAGAAATAGAGCTCTAAGCAAATAGATATAGATTTACAGGGAGAGCCTTGTGCACTGATTTTATTTCCTTCAGAATTAAGCACATGTATTCATTCCACTTAAACTCCACCAAGGCTGCCAGTCTGCTAGGTGTCCCTGCTCTGCTGAAAAGGCTGGTTTTCCATCATAGCAGTGTTAAAAAGTCTCTTGAGAGGGAGACACCCCTAGCGTTCCACAGTCAGAGACAAAGTTCCTCTTACTATAGAGGGGGTCTTTCATTGAGCTTTCTGTGTTCTATATTTCTGAATAACTTAGACAATAACTTATAAATACAAGTATGATTGTATTTATACTGACTTGTATGTATTATATCACATTTAACATATGATCTAAATTGTCATGAATTTTTTCTTTAGCTCTTACATGCATATTTTAATAGAGCATCTAAGGAACAAAAAGATAAATTTCTGAAGAATCGTGGCTTTTCCTTGTTAGCCAACCAGTTATATCTGCATCGAGGGACTCAGGAATTGTTAGAATGCTTCATTGAAATGTTCTTTGGTCGACATATTGGCCTTGATGAAGAGTAAGTGGGTTCTTCCACCGTAATTGTTTCTTTTTTTAATCTTAACTGTCAAATTTAGTAAGTACACTCTTAAAATCATTTGTCACCTTTAGAAAAAAATCTAGTCATTTTCCAGGTAAATCAATTTATTATTTGCATATGATATCCTTTCCAATATTACTTCTTCCTTTGTATTTTATTCACTAGCTAAAAATTAGAAACAAAGAAGTGCTGTATCAAATGAAAGAAAGTGATAAAGTAAGACTTGGCTTGTAGTACTAACATGAGAAAGTTACCTGAAAAGAGAGTTTGCTCACATGTTCTCAACCACGGGTTATAGGAGTCAGAGCAGGACCTCCTCCCCCCCCCCCCTCAGAGCCTCAGGTCTTCTGGAAGAAGAGAGAGACCCTCACTTGAAATCCCTGCATGTCCTGATTCCTGAGATTTGGCCCTGGAGTAGTGCTGAAGGATTAGCAAATAAGTACAAAGTAAAAGAATATTTTTCACCCAAAATTTTCACAGAAAAATTATTTTTTGTTATTTCTGTTTATGATAAAGAGAAATGTTTGTCTCCTTATTGCAGTAGACAGATTCAGATCCTGAGGAATTTACTTATTTATTGAGATTTCAATAGCACTTTTCATTTGCATATAGCTTTTAGTTTTTTCAAAGCAATTCTGCATTATCTCCTCTGATTCTTGAAAAGAAAGTAGGGCAGATATCATCACACATATTTGACAGGTGAGGTGCTTAAATAATTTTGCTACATCACAAAGTAAAATAGTTTTGGGACAAGAACTTAAGATTCATTCATTCCTTTGTGCTGAACCTCTTCTTACTAGCTCACTGTCTTTCAAATACTATGTAAAATAACAATAATAATCCTGTATGCTTGTTATGTAGCAGGAATGCCTTGGACATAAGTGGCACATGAATGGATTAAAGTCAGTTACAGATATAAAATGGTATACATATTTTTTTTAATGCTTACATATTCATCTTGGGATGAACTTCTGGCAACAGCTTTTATCTTATTATTGAAGAGGGTCTATAATCTTTAAAAAGGTTAAGGATCCTTATTTCCCAAATTTATTTTCTTATAGCTTCAAATTGGGTTAACAAAATGACTCAAATTTATAGTATCAAATCAGGCTAACATAATGGCCCATTTTTTTCTTATTTTGTGACTATTGCTTCTAACATGTTCTTAATTTTATTTTTTATAATAGATTTGACCTGGAAGACGTAAAGAACATGGGACTTTTTCAGAAGTGGTCTGTCATTCCTATTCTGGGACTAATAGAGACCTCTCTGTATGACAACATACTCTTGCATAATGGTCTTGTACTTCTTCTCCAAATTTTAAATTCTTGTTCTAAGGTAGCAGACATGTTGTTGGATAATGGTCTGCTCTATGTGTTATGTAACACAGTAGCAGCTTTGAATGGATTAGAAAAAAGGTAAGTTTTAAATTGTTACTCAAATTTACACCTGATAAGTCCTTTAGAAAAAGAAACTTTAGGGCTGGGGATGTGGCTCAAGCGGTAGTGTGCTCGCCTGGCATGCGTGCGGCCCGGGTTCGATCCTCAGCACCACATACAAACAGAGATGTTGTGCCCGCCGAAAACTAAAAAATAAATATTAAAAAAATTCTCTCTCTCTCTCTCTGTCTCTCATTCTCTCTTTAAAAAAAAATTAAAAAGAAAAAGAAACTTTAGTAAGAGCTAACTTTAAAGTGTAACTTTTCATAATGCTTTCAAAGTTCTTTGCTACAAAAATTTTGAAATTAAATTAGCTTGGAGAGGGCATAATTTCCAGCAAAGTTTAGTTATGAAGAGGGTATTTGCCCCCAAATAGATTTGCTAAGCTTCCATCATAGGATTATAAAAATTGTTATCCTCATCAGGAATAGGAAATTGAGGATAAGAGAGATACAGTAGCTCATTGAATATCACACAGCCAGTAAACAAGAGAGAACTTGAGGACTGAATCTGTCTCACTTCAAAAGTCTGTTTTGAACTCACCATGCTATCTTACTATTAGCATACTCTATCACTGTCCCTGAATAAATTAATTCATAATAGTCATATTCTATCACTATTATCATAAATTAATTTCTAGTAGTCAAAAGTACATTGACAAAAGGCTTCCACCAATTGATTAACAGCTTTAAAAATATGTTGAGATTAGATTTTTATTCAGATTTTATATTTTTGATGTCTCCATTTATGATGCACAGCATACCATTTTTACTAGCATAATGATAAGATACAAATCTTTAGAAGCACCATCTTATTGCATATTAAAGCATTAAATGTTATCTGTATTCTTTCAGAGAAAAGATAGTATATCTTTAGTGATTCTCTAGGCCAGAGACGACTTCTACTCTACTCAGTTCAACTTTCATTGGACACTTACTATATTTAGGCTCTATATACTTGGCATATGAGAAATAAAAAGAAATACCAAGTATTATTTCCTCAAAATGCTTAGTCTTACTTTCAGTACAATTTGTGAAATTGATAAATTGGGAAGGGTACCTGCAGCTTGTTCTAAAAGTAGTTTTTGCTTCTATTCTGTAAAAAGATGAATTGTGCTTGTTGATAGTCCCCATGTGCTGCTCTATATGCAGTTACCATGTCTAACCCTTGCTTGATTTAGAAAAAAAAATGAATGGAGGGAAGTATAGAGGTCTAACAACATACACCAAAGTAGGTTATCAAGGCTGAAATTGAGGGACAGAAGTAACTGATTCATATTTAGTGTATATTTAGAAGTGAATAATACACATTCAAACCTATTATCTCTTTTGATCCTTAAAATAACTATAGTTTACACAAGTAAGGTTCAGAAGGCTAATTGATCTTCTCAGGCTCACCTTCTTTGGGGAGCCTTTCTTTGTGGTTTTGCTCATACCCTCATACCCTTCCCCCTCAGTGCGGACTAGGAACTTGCTTCTGCATTCCCACGGTATCTTGTGTTAACCTCTGTTGTTGCATTTACCACCATTTACTGTTGATAATGATCTCTTTACCTGTCTGGTAAAGATTATAGTTTTGACAGAAGTCAAAGTGTATCTTCTCATTTTTGTTCCTAGTATACAATGTGCTGCCTGCCATAGAATGAATATGAATAAATATTGAATAAATGCATGCTGGTAGAATGGGAATTGAAACCAGTTCTCGTGGTCTTAAATTATTGGTTCTTACAATGTCCTGCATTGTGTTTTGGTCATCTTCAGCCTTCCTGTGAATGAATACAGATTGCTTGCCTGTGACATACAGCAACTTTTCATAGCAGTGACGATTCACGCATGCAGTTCCTCGGGCTCACAGTATTTTAGAGTTATTGAAGACCTTATTGTACTCCTTGGATATCTTCAAAATAGCAAAAACAAGAGGACACAAAGTAAGATTTATGGATTTTTATGGATCTGAGAGGAAGCCAAACAATTTTTGGGCCTAATTTCTTTTCTCTTGGTAACTCTTTTTTTCTAAAGGCTTAACCGTAACTTTGTGATGATATTGATTGGCTTTAAAAGGCAGCATTTTGGAGTGGTAAAGATAGTGATGCCTTGACTAGTAGCTGGCAGCACATCATAGGAAACTGCCAGCAGCTACTGGTTTTTCTTGCCAAGTAGAATTGAAATTCTATGTGGAATAGTCATGCCCTATAGTTTTCTTTTTTTTTTTTTTTAAAGATAGAGAGATAGAATTTTAATATTTATTTTTTTAGTTTTCGGCGTACACAACATCTTTGTTTATATGTGGCGCTGAGGATCGAACCTGGGCCGCACACATGCCAGGCGAGCGCGCTACCGCTTGAGCCACATCCCCAGCCCCCCTATAGTTTTCTTTAATGGCAAATATTGAAGTGAAGGTATAACTTGGAAATGTGAGAATTGTGGGTTGAACATTTGCTGTAGGTACCAAAAAAAAAAAAGTGTTCTTTGAAACAATTATGTAAAATGATATAAATTCATGTATTACTTTTTTCCTTTAAAATTTCATAGAGTCCATTTGGATATTTGCTTTAAAATTGCTTTTAAACATAGTTTTAAAATGCTGAATTTGAGAACCCACATTGAGAGAAATGAAAAGTTGTGCTGCAGTTGTGTACAATGAATCAAAATGCATTTTGCTGTCATATATTCCTAATTAAAATTAAAAAGAACAAACTGTACTGCTTTATTGAAATGAGACCTTAATGCTATGAAATTAACAATGTTTATCACTCTAAATATGAATTATTATCTTTTCAGAATTTTTTTTGCAAAATAATTGTGTAAAAACAATAGTACTGATATTTTAAAAGAGGAATATTCACTTGTAAATGTTACTGTTTTTTTATGTAAAATCTATAATTACCTTTCTCAGTATATTTTCTTAATGAATGAATAGTAAAATTAAATTTGCAAATCATATGGTATTGTAAAGAATATTAGAAGTGTTTGAAAATAAGCTTGACAGTGGCATAAATACTGCACTGTCAAACTGAAATCTTCCTAATACAACTGTAGTTTAAGAAACCTCTTCGTAGCCGACTCCTGTCTATAATTGCATGTGCTCAAGAAAATCCTTTAGTACAATAAAATATCACTGTCACAAATTTAAAAAAAAATTAAATTAAAAACATTTTAGTTTAAAAAAATTTAATTAATATCTAATAAAATGTTGTTTAGATATGGATATTATGTATTATTTGGGATATTATTATTCAGATGGTAGATAACTAAACAATATTGGATATATGAAATATGTAAAAATTTAAAAAGTCAACTCTTAGCTAGATAACATTCTAGTCTCTTCTGTTTTTAGATATGGCTATTGCTCTGCAGCTTAGAGTCCTCCAGGCGGCCATGGAGTTCATAAGGAGCACTGCGAATCATGACTCTGAAAGCCTTCCTGATTCAGTCCACTTACCTTCTGCCCCCCATCATGTTGTGTTTCAGAAGCGGAGGAGCATTGCTGGTGAGTATTAAAGTAACATTTTAATAATTATAAATTGAAAGTAGATTGATTTTCCTATATTTTCGTATCTTAAATATTTCTCAGGTTAAAAAGTTGAACTATAAAATTTGAGAAAATTTTCCTCCCAAAGGAAACTATTCCACTACTTTATTTTCAGTTCTTGATCAGTTATTTCTTAAGCCATCTACCATGTCAAGCACTAGGTTAAATTTTGGAGTTACAATAATTAGAAAACATATTCTGCCCCTGAAGAGATTATCAAACAACATGGAAGTGCAGAGGACTGTAATAGAGCATAGTAGGGCGACTGGATTTACTTCAGGTCTCTGTGGAAGTGAAATTTCAGTATATTCATAAAGGATAAGAAAGGAGTTAGCAGGTAGAGTCAAGGAAAAGTGTTATAAGTAGAATGAGAGGCATAGGCAACAGGTCCAAGGTTGGGGAAGAGCTCAACTTGTTCAGAAAACTGAAAGAAAGCCCTCTAGCTGGAATGTGCCCCTGGAGGAGAGTGTTGCCAGATGAGGCTGTCCAGGATGGTGTGGGCCAATTCATGGATAACCATATGGATTGTTTCAGAGAGTTGGGAATTTTTTCCTAATGGGAAGTTGTCAAGGTTTTAAGTCAGTGGGCATGATCTAATCAGACGTTCATTTTGTAAGTGTGACTCTGAGCCTAGCATGGTGGCACACACCTGTAATCTCTACTGCTTGGGAGGCTGAGGCAGGAGGATTTCGAGTTCCAAGGCAGCCTGGGACACTTAGTGACTCTCAAAATAAAAAATGAAAAGGGGTGGGGGTGTAGCTCAGTGGTATAGCACTCTGGATTCAATTTCTAGTACTGTAGGAGGGAAAAAAAATGTCTCCAGCTTCTATAGAATGTGAATTAAAGGAGAGCAAAAGAGGTAGTGGAGAGTCAAGGAGGGGTTGGTGCAGTAATCAGGCAGGCGATGGCCTCTGGCATGTACTCAGTTAGAATGCACATGGCATCAGAACCAGCTGTAAATTAGCACATGTTATCCAATAATCCATATTGATGTTAAAAGACCTCCTTAGGTTTTCCACAAAGTCTGCTATTCCCTTTATACAAACATAATCCGGAAAGATAACTAAAACCACAAACAGGATACGAGCACATACATGTATGTGTACATCATTTGTTTACACAAACACTTAAGTATCTCCAAACAGAGCACTATTGTTTTTCTTAAAGTTAATTACCTTTACAGACTTAATGACTTTTAATACCAAATCTTTCTTCTATTCACACTAATTCACTTATTTGTGTTTAATGCTATGCAGAATTTTAAAGTCCTAAAAACCTCACCCATATAGAAAAATTTGTAAACATATGTCTTACAGTAATTTAACTTTTTCTAAATAAAACTTCCATAGATGAAACTTCTGAAACATTCATGTAACTAAACTCTCTGCCCTTATTATTTATTACCTGAGCTGGCCGACCTTTGTACCTCTTTTTTGTCCCAGGTAGATTGTTTCCTGTCCCAGGTCTAGTAGTACACTGCACAGGTTCCTACATGCCAGTAGATGCCTTGCAAACACCTCCCTTTGCAGGACCCCATCCTGCAAACAGCACTGAGTTCCCTTCTCTTCAGGGAACAGAGTCCCAATTCCTTGGCCTCTGTGTCTCTTCTTGGCATGGATATATATATGGGAGAGAGATGTAATTTTGCCTAAATGGCATCATGCTGTGTGCCTACTATTTACAAACTGATTTCTATTTTAATTAATATATTATAGACATCTTTCCATATCAATAAATATTTTAATGAGTTCATGATAATCTCTTGAATTGATGTATCATGATATTCTTCCTTTTTATCAGTAAACAAAGTTTTGTAACTTGTTTGTTTTTGCCATTATAAACAGGACAGTAAAGTACATTCTTTTAAAAGTGTCCTCTCTGCTTCCTTGCATATCAATATCAAAAAACTTTACATGTCATCTGAATGCATGAAGTTAGTCAGCATTGGGAAATTATTTATATATTAATTATATACATTATATATATGTATCTAAATTGTCATTCATACAGACAGTAGATATTTTTGTATTATTAATATAATTCACATACAAATGAATTTCCTTTTTGTTTTTAGCCAATAAAAGTACCAGCCATTAACAATTTTTTATTCTTTATAAAGAATGAGGCAGGTATTGTGTTTCACATCCATTATTTAATTTAATCCAGCAAATAACACTCTTTTTTTTTTTTTTTCCAAATAACACTCTTGATCCATTCATTCAATCATCAAATAATTACTGAGTACCAACCATGTACCAGCTACTATTTTACCTGTCCTCTTGGAACTTGAATAAGCAATAAGCATATAAATAAATACATTGAATATACTGTGAGATAATGATAAATATCTATCTGTGAGGTAAATTCTATTATCTTTCTAATCCACATCTTACATATGAGGAAATTGAGGCTTAGAAAGAAATTTACTTAAGGCCACACCAACTCCATGTGGCTCGATGCAGGAGTGCTGACATGCTTCCCACTTTCCCAGAATGCAGTGCTGGACAGGACAGCATTCCTTCTTTCTGTTCCCTGCCCTCCCTCTGGATGGCAACTGTCAATCACCAGTGGGAAAGTGGTCAGAGACATAGACATCAGGGAAGAATCTGCCTGAACTGAGGACTCTGCCTGACAGTGTTATCATTGAATGCAACCAGCATACAACCAGGATACTTATTCTTTTTGTTTGTTTCTTGTTGTTTCTTTTTGTTTTGTTTGCCCCAAAGGTGACTCTACCCACCAAAATGTGCAATGTAAAATAACTATAAAATTTTTAAATGTCTCGCAGGATAAGTCATCAAAATCTATTATAGTTTACTCATACATAAGTCATTTTTATAGAAGTTATTTATGGAAATTGACATATTTTCATGATTAAAACAAAGGTTCAATTCCAATGAAGGGTTCCATTATTCCTCACCTGCCAAGACGTCATTTTGGTTCCTATGGTCAACTTCCGATGCCCTTCTCCTTCAGCCCATTAAATCAAGACTCCTCCCCCATGTTTTCTCCTGGATGCACTACAGGTGTGGTACCTTCCAGAGCAGGTGCAGTAATGGTGCAAGCGCACCACTCCAGTCTGTCCAATCTGACAAAGAATTTCTCAGGAAATATTCATGTAGCACTGAATTCCAAATGATGCATCTGCCCCAAATCATTCTAATAGCAAATCACTGGGCTTACATTCACCCTTCTGATCTCTTCACTTTTATTGGCTAATTTCTACTTTGTCATCATATATAATTTTCAAAACTACTTTTTAAAATCCAACAACAGTAATTATCCAGAAATAGTAACATTCTTACTAAACATGACATACTTTAAAACTCTGTTGATGATTTTGAAACACAGGGAAGTGAAACAGTATTTGAAAATTATTTTACCAAACATTCTGAACCACTTATGCCCATCTAAAACTTTGAATATTTCAGAAGACTCAAACATTCAAAAATGATATTCTTCCTGTTAAACTATATCATGGGCTTTGACCTGATTATTTTGGACTTCAGAACCAGAAGTACTGTTGCACTTCTTGGAAAAGGGGAAAATATCACTTTCTTTTAATTTTTTTCTCTTTCTTTCCTTTGTATAAATTTATTTTATGATAAATAAGTCTGTCTTTTTGTGGTCTAATAACCAAAAAGTTGTAGTAAAAGTAGATTTCTTGATTGTTGTTAACACTGGCTTTGCACATTTTCATTTATATACTTGAAGGTCCTAGAAAATATCCCCTGGCTCAGACAGAATCTCTTCTGACAAAAATGCGCTCAGTGGCCAGCGACGAGCTCCACACCATGATGCAGAGAAGAATGAGCCAGGAGAGCCCTAGCCAGGCCACTGAGGCAGAGCTTGCCCAGAGGCTGCAGAGGCTCACTGTCCTAGCAGTCAACAGGATTATTTACCAAGGTAGGACGGCAGAATTGGCTTGTCCTTCCTCAGACAGCGAATGTAAAGAAAAGTACCTTCAGAGGGCACCCATTAGGTTTCAAATTTTTAAACTGCATTTTTTTTTTCTGGTCTTAACGTCTACATTATTAAAGGAATTTCTTTCCTGGAATGGATAGTCTGGAATAAAAGGATGATTTTTAATATGTTAAATGGAATCCTAGATTGACTGTTGATTTTAGAGTAATTTGGTACTTCTAATATTTTAACTTTTCTTTTAAGGTAATTATAGATTCACATTAAGTTGTTAAGAAATAATAGGGAGATCCTGTGTACCTTTTACTTTGTTTTCCCCCAGTGAATCTTGCAAAACTATAGTACAATGTCACTATCAGGACAGTGACAGGAGTTTGAGACCAGCCTGAGCAACACAGCAAGACCATATCTCAAAAAAAGGAATGTTATATAGATAGAAGTGTGTAGTAGGTAGCAGATTGATTGAGGCATCATTGATAATGTATATGTAAGCCAGTGCATCACATTTACACTTTAAATACCCACCATACACAATGTCTGTTTCTCAATCATGCCCCAATAAAGCTGGGAAAAAAAAATTTAGGTAACCTCAGAAAGGCAGGGAAAAGAAAAGAATGATTGTTAATCACTAGAAAAGCAGAAAACCCAAGGGGGATATTTTGTCTTAACTTTTGTAATTTACATTTGGGGTAACAGTTCCCAGGCTATACTCCAAAACTGAACCAGGATTATCACAGTAATTGGATTGTACATACAGTGAAACAGTTCTGCAGATCTAGCTAATGCAAATTATTATGAGGTCTTTATGTTTGATTTGTACAAGAGTCTTACGGTTCTAATAATTTTGCAGTTTAACTCATCTTTACTAGTAAGTTAAATCTTTTATTTATGATTTCGTGACTTAATGTATTTTTAAATCTGCATTATTTTAGGTGAATTCTTCCTCTACTATACTGTATATACTGTCTTGAATACCCCCCCCCACGTTTATATTGTGATAATTGAATTAGTAATTGCATAAAATATTTTTACAAGCATAATTATCACTTATAATGGAAGTATTGTGATTTGACTAATAATTTTTGTTTTTTTTTAATTCAAAGAGTTTAATTTAGACATTATTGACATTTTAAGAACTCCAGAAAATGCAACTCAAAACAAGACCTCAATTTCCCAGACTGAAATTTCTGAGGAAAATATGCATCATGAACAGCCTTCTGTTTTCAACCCATTTCAAAGAGAGATGTTCACCTACCTGGTTGAGGGATTCAAGGTATCTATTGTAAGTATATCACTTGGGAAATGTTCATTCACACAAAAGGAATAGAGGTTTTATGTTTATGTACTACATTTCCAAAATCTATTTCTTTCTGCTCTTTCAGAGAGTCTTCTGAAACTCCAACAACTTAAAATTTTAATAATCAAATAATATATATTGCTGATTTCCCCATTCCAAAATGACTCACCTCATGCAACCTTGGTTTCTAGATCTGTACCCTGAAAGCCTTTTTCTAATCTTGTAGTCTAGGAAGATCAGTTTCAGAAAAGAGGAACTCTTTGATGATTACTCTGAGATATTAATCAACAGCCTGTTTTGTTTTTTTTTTCCTGTAGATGGGCACAATACCTTTATTTTATTTGTTTATTTTTAATATGGTGCTGAGGATTGAACCCAGTGTCTCACACATGGTAGGCAGGCACTCTGTCACTGAGCCATAGTTTCAGCCCATATCAGCCGGTTTTTAAAGGACTTTACTTACAGCCATACTCTTGAGTTTCTGAATTTTGAAATTTAGATCTTGGAGTAAACACATACAACACCTTAAGAATGATTTAGAGAATACTGGCTGCATCAGGCTCCATTTATTCTTATCACACCTGGGCTTCCATGGTCAGTTCATGCCATAGATAACTAACACTGATCCAGTTCTAGCAGAACTCATAAATCATGATTTTTGACACTCTCTAAATCTAAATTTTATGTTTTAGTGTCCAGCTCTGAACAGCAAAACAAACTGCAGACTCACGTAGAATTAAGTCACTCACACAGGGCTCTTAGGACTTAGAGTAATTGGAAAGTCATTTTCCGAACTCAGAATCAACTCCAATTTTGAACTCAAGGCAAGTGATTTAACCAGAAGTTGGCTAACTTCAGTGGTTGAAACAACTGAGGTAGTCATTTGTTAGGGAAAATTGATGGTCAGCTTATATACTTTCTTAATTTGTGAATGTTATGCTAAATGTTGTGGTACTAATTCTTTATTATGAATCCTTTCCTTTATTGTAAAGTGAAAGTGGGTGTATCTGCCATTGCTCTTTGATAATTTTGTTTTTGGTTTAATTTTTAATTTACAATACTAAGCCCTTGGTAATTGTTTAAATGGCATAAAACTTGAGCTTTTTTATCCATCTTTCTCTTTTTTTTTAATTGATAATATGTGTGTAACATAAAATTTACCATTTTAACCACTTTAAAGAGCACAAACTTGTGGCATTAAGTAATTCATGTTTTTGTGCACCACTATCTCTAGAACTTTTTCATTATCCCAAACTACAACTGTTCCTATTAAACGATAACTCCCATTACCCAGTCCCACCCACCCCCAATAACCACTTTTAGTTTCTAAGAATTTGACTGTTCTAGATGCCTCATATAAGTGAAATCACATGATATCTGTCCATTTGTATGCAGCTTATTTTATTTAGCATACTGTTTTCAGGGTTCACCCATGTTGAAATATGTGTGGGCACTTGACTGCTGTTTAAAATTGGATAATATCCCATTGTATGTATAGACTGCATTTTGTTCATACATGCATCCATTAATGGATATTTGGATTGTTTCCACTTCTTGGCAATTTTGAATAATGCTACTATACATGTCATTGCATCTCCATCTCTCTTAAACTCCCACCTGTATGGGTACAAATATGTCTAACTTTGAATATTGTTTTAATTCTAGAATTTTTTAAAATCTAGAATGAAACGTGCTCTATCATCTTTAGGGCTATATGAAGTTTGTATATTATCACTTAAGAAGTCTGATTCTAATTCATTCCTATTTTGATTTAAGGGTTCAAGTAAAGTCAATGGTTCTAAGCAACAGTGGATTAAAATTCTATCATCTTGTAAGGAAACCTTCCGAATGCAGCTTGGAAGACTACTTGTGCATATTTTATCACCAGCCCACACTGCACAAGAAAGAAAGCAGATATTTGAAATAGTTCATGAACCAAATCATCAGGAAATACTTCGAGACTGTCTCAGCCCATCCCTGCAAGTAAGTATCTCAGCATTTGATAAAAGTAAGCAAGTAAAGTTTTCAAAACAAGAACTGAAATTAAACTGTATTTTTATGATTAATGTCATGAATATAATATTCTTACCAAGCTATTAACCTGAGGTCTTTCGTTAGATTGTTTTATGCGGGTTGATTTGGTTTCTCTGTTTATTTCCCAATCTTTTTTCAGTGCTGAAATTAGGAAGTTCTGAGTCTGAGTTCTTATAAGATCCTTTGTAATTTATTATCATATCTTGGAGTGTTTTTTTAAATAACTGGAAGCCTTTTTAAAAGCATTTTATTATCTATGAAACACCTATACTGAGTATCTCAAGTAAGAGTACATACAGCATATTTCAAAAAATGTCCAGTCAGTTATGATGAAAAAATTTGGAATGATCAAAAGCAGTTAAAAGAACATTTAGAATATAAATAATGTCACCTTAAGAGTTATCAGTGGAGCCAGGCATAGTGGTGCATGCCTGTAATCCCAGTCATTCGGGAAACCAAGGCAGGAGGATCGAAAATTCAAAGCCAACCTCAGCAGTTTACCAAGGCCCTAAGCAACTTAGTGAGACCCTAAATCAAAAAACAAATAAATACAAATGGCTGGGGATGTGACTCAGTGATTAAGTGTTCTGGGGTTCAATTCCTAGTATAAGAAAAAGCAATCAATGGAGAGTTTAAATGGTACATTGAACCTTTTGGAGGTCTGCTAAATAGTTTCTTATAAAATTAAATATATGCATAACTCTTGACCCTGCTATGCAATTTTCAGATATTTACCCAAAAGAAACTAAAATGTATGTCCATAAAAAGACTTATACAAAAATATCCACGTCAGCCTTTTTCATAAAATCCTGGCAATAACCTAAATATGTACAAGAGGTAGATGTATAAGCAATGTGTGGTGTGTTTGTACAGCAGACTGCTGTGCAACAGTAAAGACGAACAGACTACGGATAGCCCTGCCCTCGTGGATGAATCTCAACATAGCTGAGTTGGTGAGGGGACAGCCAAGCACAAGTGACTACACAGTCTGTGGTCATTCATTTCAAGTCCAGGAACAGGAGAAACTAAGTATGGTGATAGGCTTCAGGAAAGCAGTGTCTGTGGAAGTGGTGGTGGGGAAAGGAATTGCCTGGAAGGGGTCATGAGGGAGATTTTGAGGGTGATAAAAGTAAGACTCCAATAGCTTGTTTTAGGCAGTGGTTACATAGAGCAGAGGAGAGGGAATGGGCAGGGGAGGGGGAAAGGAGGAAAAGGTGGGTCGTGAGTTGCAATCAGATTCCACGCATGTGTGAATTTGTCAGGATGAACCCAACTACTATGTATGACTGTAAAACTCTAATTAAAAAAAAAAAAAAACCTCCTAGAAATAAGTATTTAGTATCTATTTGTAGATTTTGTCAATAGTTGTTCCTCAATAAAAAAGTTAATTGATGACATATTTAAAAAGAACAGGCATCCCTTTAATACCTAGAAAACTCAAATACATCATATAGAGTTGAGACTTTCCTGGGATACCCTCAGGCACTCTTTCCAGCTGAGAGTCTCGAGTGCAAGAGGGCGCTGATTATCTTCCTTTTCCTGTTCCCTTCTGTGGAAATTTTGAGGTGGTGTTTTTTTCTTTCCTTTTACTTAGCAATGTTTCTATCCATCAAAAATCAACCCTGGGGGCTGAGGCTGTAGCTCAGTGGCAAAGCGCTTGCCTTGCATATGTGAGGCACTGGGTTTGATCCTCAGCACCACATAAAAATAAAAAAAGATATTGTGTGTGCATCTACAATTAAAAAAATATTTTTTAAAAGATCAACCCTGGTGTTAGCAACCCTCTTTTCCCCATCGGTCGCCTCCTCCTAGTCCATGTGTCAGTGACATTACTGTTGGACTCAGCTTGTTGACTTCCTTCTAAATCCATTTTGTCGCCAGGGCCAGTCACCTACTTGCTGTGTCTCTCAGATGCATCCCTTTCTCTGTGGTCTGCCTTCCCAGTCTAGCTCAGACTTTGCCGATTTCCTTGCTTTCTGTAATAACCTTCTTGCCACCTCCACACCAAATTACTGTACCTGATTTTTAAAAGCGTCTTATGGGAGTTTTCAAACATATCTATAACCTGGGAGAATCAGGAAAGGGTCCCGTAGGACATTACCCAGCTACGATTTTTCTTTGTAATATTTTGAAGCAAATCTCAGATATCTAATCATTTTACCTAGAAATACCTCAATTTGTATCTATAACTGGTAAAGACCTTTTTTACCTGCCACTCTCAGCAATATCAATAGTAATTTATTATTACCACTTAATACCCAATCAGTATTGAAATTTTCCCAATTTTTTCTATTTTTTTAAATAATTAATTTGCTTGATTCTGGATACAAGCAGTGCCCACATATTGCATTTGTTTGGTGTTTTAAATATTTTTAATCTACATCAATTCTCTTCCATCATTGTATTTTTCAGGGTCTCTTATTCTGTAGAGTTTCTCACATTGCAGATTTTACCCAGTGACCATACCCTGTGGCTCTGGATCACAGGCTGGGCTGGATCCCCGTGTTCTTGGGTTGCTCTCATATCAGTGCAGGGGGCACAGATTGCTCTGATTGCTCTGCTTTGCCTGATCCCTCCAGTCTGTAGTGTACCATCCATCTTTAACCTAAATAGCATACCAGTCATGGATGATAATTGCCAAATTCTGCTTCTCCCCTAGGAGTTAGAAAATAGTCATTTCCGTGAGTTTCTCATTCCTTTACTATCTATTTGTTAAAATTTGTCATAGAGAAAAACTTTCCCTTGTCAATTATTTGACTACCTTAAAATATTCAGTGAAGGAAAGGCAGAATAAATGTTTGTTTTTACTTTTTTTTTTTTTTTAATAGTGCTGGGGGTGTAAACCTGGCAAACATTCTACCGTTGAGTTACTCCCCCAGCCTGTGTTTGTTTTCCTATTTATTAAATTTTAAAGTAATGAGTTGATTCCCTTGTACCCTCTAACTTTTATATTGTTTCAATTTGAGTCCTCAAGTAGTTTAAAATAAATTTTATGTGTTTTAATCTATTAAAGTTATTATTATTTGATATTCAAACTAATGCTGCAGAGATTGAAGTTTTTGTGTCCTTTTAACATGGCCTTTTCCACTTTTTACAATTTAATAAGATGGACTTCCCTGATTTCTGGCACAGAAAGATGTCCCAAGTCTCCTGTAGATTTTCTTTCTCACAACCTGAACCACACTCCCCAAGAAATCCCTGTTCTTCTTCTCAAGATCACAGTATTTAGGGACTACAATTCTAGGTACTAAGTGCATTCATTTCCTCTAGGTTTTTATTTCTTCTCAGTCACTTTAGTGGACAAAGCTAGGAAATAGGTATTTTTTTTTTTTTTAGAAAGAAACAGATATCATGAGTTCATCTGATAATTTTTCCTTTTTGTGGATTTTATATTTGTAGTTCTTTTTATTAATGATGACAATCCAGATGACATTAACATAATTACTTGCTTTGTTTTTCTGTATATATAATATTTTCAAAATAAGATCGTCACTAACAGTTATAATTAGTGATGGTAACTAATGTTACCACTAATAACAATCCCACTAGATGTAACCTAAGATTCCTTTGTGGTTCTCTTTGTTCTTAGGTTACTATTAGAAGTATATGTTGAAAATGAAGTATTATAAAATAACTTAAAATAGTTTATTTGGTTAATGCCATCAACTTTAACCAACTAGTTAGGTTCTTTTTATTTTCTATTTTTACAGATTCCATTGGGTTTTTGTTTAATTTTTAAATTTAATTTTTTTTTAATTTGTTTAATTTTCCCAAAGCAGATTGTGAAACAGCATATTCAGAGAGCTTCTGGCTTTTTACCTGTGCCCTCCCCTCCTCCTTCTCCCTGTAGGTAGTGTGTTCATTTATTTTATTTCTGTTAAAGGTATAACCAAGTCTGTCCACAACCGCACACATACCTCTGTCGGTATCACCCCCTCTACTCAGCCTACAGGAAGGTAGTAAGCAGAAAAGCCTCTTCTGCCCTTACTTGCTTTACTTAAGAGTGTGTCCGCAGGTTGTTATGTGGTAGTGTGCAGAGATTTCACCTGCATACAAGATAGCATCCATTTGTAGTCTGCTTGGGTCTTAAAGCCCCATGCTGTTTGTCTGCTACAGCAGATCAGTTTGTAGTCTCCACTCCTTCTAGGTAGTACTGTCACTTCTCTTGTTGCTTCTTCACATCCTGTGCAGCCTACTGCCATGCTGCTTTATGCACAGTGCCCTCTCCTGTGTCCATGAGCCCCTTCCCCTATTCATCCCTAGACCCAGCTCACTCCATAGCACCTTCAAAACCATCCTCCCTTTGTATAGTCCATTTAGAACTCTTCCTTCTGAGAACCTTCATTGAAAATTTTTATTTTATGCCCTTTGGCGTTTTATTATTTTGTAGGGATACATGTTTAATAGAGTCAGTTCCTTTTTGTTTTTGAGCTTAAGTCTTGCTACTGTTGCTTAAGTCTCAAGCTCATAGTTTCAAGACATTCTCCTACCCCAAGCCTCCCAAGAAATCTGTTTTGTGAGGGCTAATTAAAAAAGAAAAATGTTTGCATCTACCCCCAGTAACACCTTTTATAGTCCCAGAAACTATAATCAATGAACCAATTGATCAGAGGATGTTAAAATGAGATATTAGGAACAACTTAGTGTTAAAGAAAATCATATGTTTCTTTGCATATTCAGAATGAATAAAAACATTTCTGATAGTCTTTCAAGATAACTTTAGAATGCCACCAAATACTAAACTGAAATATTTTACAAGTTATATCAGGAATGCTACTTTTAAGACATGTATGAAAATATTCCAGTCATTTACCATTTTTCTTTATTTGCCAACTCTTCAAGCTTTTACTCACACAGCATCTGTTCCTTTTCCTCTTTTGGTCAGGTGACAGCTGTCTTGTGACTAATGCAACTAAATGTTGCATTAAAATGAGTTTGATATTTTCACCATTGCATGTGTTCATCTTAGCTTTGGGGAAATTACGTGATGTGATTCCATGTTAATTTAAATATTACCCAAAATGTAATCATTTCCAGATCCATCTGTTGACATTTAATACTGTTCTCAGTTTAAAATGTCATAAAACCAAATGCAGTGGTATTGGTATCAATGCAAAATTTTAAAGTAAAATGGACATGTTTAAATTGTTCACAAAATTAATATATTGTATACACATTACCATCTGATAACATGGAAGGGTCACTTTATTTTATTTATTTATTTATTTATTTATTTTTGTTGTTGTGTTTTTAAATTTTTTTATTAATATATGACAGTGGAATGCATTACAATCCTTATTACACATATAGAGCACAATTTTTCATTCCTCTGGTTGTATAAAAAGTATATTCATACCAATTCATGTCTTCATACATGTACTTTGAAAAGCACGAGCCCAAGTTGGGTTTCAGTTTGGACTGCAAAGGACAATTGTCTACTTTATGTAATGCTCTAATTCTGGTTGAGGGGCTGCTTGTAGAAGACTGACCCAAACCACTCCCCTGAACATGCATGTGGAACTCGGTGCTCAGATCTTGCTGGTTCCAGAGCTTTCCACCTCTTGCTCTCTCTGAGAGCAGTGAATAGATGAGCCAAGATAGGCTTTGTTTTGGAAATTTCACCAACTTCTCTTCTACTGAGCAAAAATCAAAAGAAAATGAATGGATAAGCATATTTCTTTAACATTTATGGTTTTTAAAAAAAGTTTCCCTTCTTTCTCTGAGAAAAACTAAGAAGTCTTTTTCTGTATCCCCAGCTATATTCCCATATCTTGTATTCCTTTAACAAATCCTCTCCAAAATTCTGTCCCCCAAAGTTAGCTAGCTAGTGTGCTACTTTTTAACCTCTTAAAACGGAAAATGTCAAATATACAGAGATAGACAGAGTAGTATAATGAACACCATGTCACCATCACCTGGATTTAACATTCATTAGTATTTTTATTGTTTTGTAGTCATGTCTTCTTTTTCTAAGTTATTTTAAAGTAAAATATGAAAACCATGGCATTTTCTACATTTTTTGTTTAAAGGCATTTTGTTCTGCAATAATAACATCATTACACCTAAAAAAATGTCATCAAATATCCAGTGCCTAATTAAATTTTTTTCATTTGTCCCTGGAGATGTCTTTTGTACCTGATATATTCAGATCAGATTCAAACAAATCAGTCTAGCAATTTAATTTAATTTACTATTAAATAATTTATTTGGAAGAAATAAAAATTCCTTATTACTAAAAAAAATATTATTTTTTTAAAGCATGGAGCCAAGTTAGTTTTGTATTTGTCAGAGTTGATACATAATCACCAAGACGAGCTGACTGAAGAGGAACTAGACACAGCAGAACTACTGATGAATACTTTAAAATTATGTGGTCACAAGTGCATCCCTCCCAGCGCACCATCAAAACCAGACCTTATTAAAATGATCAAAGAGGTGAGTCAGTGGAACCATGATTGTTCCCATTACGATTGAGTATGATTTTGAAAAATGTTTTAATTGTAGAGTATCACTGATGGTAAACTTTAAGTGATTTTTTTTTAACATATGGTGCTTTTTCACTTTGAGAGAAAAAAAGTTGGTATCTTAAGGAGTTTTTTATTCTCTGTACAGTCATCCTTGTCCATTGTCAGTAGCCTTCAGTGAAGGGAAAATTCTTATGGTGACAAGCAAGTTGATCTATACCTTGAGTTATGGGTTCTTCAGTGAAAAGGCAAAATAGGGGAGCAGGTGGCATTGTTATTCCATCCAGTTTAGAAGTGAACTCTTCTACCCTCACTTCTATAACCCAAATCATACAGTAATAAAGGATAGTGCTAGCATTACTTAGGTGCCTTATATATTTTAAATATTCTGGTCTGAAGATATTTTTTCTTGGGTAACTGATTTTAAAATTAGTTTCTTGGCCTCCATACCATAACATTGGCACATGACAAGAAAGAAATTTTATGTAATATATTATCATACAAATCTTTTAGGAACAAAAGAAATATGAAACTGAAGAAGGCGTGAACAAAGCTTCCTGGCAGAAAACAGTTAATAATAATCAGCAAAGGTAAGATTTTATGTGTTCCCAAGTCATATCCTGTGGCGATTCTTAGGTCTCATGTATACTTTTAGCTTTTCTGATTTGGTTTGGTTTTTGGTTTTCTGAGATTTTGGGAGGTGGGGCAGTGTTTGTGGTGCTGAGATCAAACGCAGGGCAAGGTGCATACCAGGCAAGAACTCTACCACTGAGCTATACTCCCAACCCTCGAGTAATCTTTCAGTTTAAAAGTACTGTGTTTTGATAAATATTTAATATTCCATATTCACTTAACTTATGGACAATCTTATTATTTAGTCTCTTTCAGCGTCTCGATTCAAAATCAAAGGATATATCTAAAATAGCTGCAGATATCACACAGGCAGTGTCTCTTTCCCAGGGAATTGAGAGGAAAAAGGTGATCCAGCACATCCGAGGAATGTACAAAGTTGACCTGAGTGCCAGCAGACATTGGCAGGAGCTCATTCAGCAGCTGACACATGATAGGTGAGCAGGAGAGGTGGCTTAAAGTTGTTTACCTGTGGGTTCTGTAAGTGGGTATTAAACACTGTTTTCACTCAGAAATTCACATTCACAAAATTGTTTCAATAGCTTAAACATTTTTTGTTTAATCACAAGTGTTTTCTTTTTTTATTTTGAAGAATAATCATAAGAGTTTATTTTTTTAATTCTTGGAGAAAAAATGTAAGGGGGGCATTAGCTCTTTCAGACAGTAAAATTTACTTTAATTTTAAAATACGGTCTTTGCAAATGAATAGGAAAATCACTGAAGTAGGATAATTGAAAAAAATGATCTTTGTCTAACTAAGACTTGTTTAATGTGATTTAGAAGATGCATTATGAGTACTGAAAAGAGGGAAATTTAAGTATTATTTTTTAAATTATTTAAGAAAATTGATTTGTATGACTTAGGGTACTAAAATACACTATTACATGCTGAGATAAATTATAGGTAGATGAAAGAATTAAACTCAAAAAGTTTATAATGAGGAAGAAAATAGAGTATCAACTCTGAAGAGTAGGTAACTTTCTACGCTCTAATGCAACAGAAGAAACTGAAAAGAAATTATTGATTTTGAACTTTAATTTCTTTCTAGTGTAGTTAAAGATGAAAAAGCATTGAAGTCTATTTTTAGCAAGTTTGTCAAAGAGTTAATATTTCTATTGTTTGGAAACCTTATGCATATTTAAAAGGAAAATATCATAATCCTTAATTTCAAAAAAAGCAAAAGCACAAACAGCACGTGTACTAAAATTGGAACAATACAGAGAAGGTTGGCATGGCCTCTGCACAGCAGGATGACATGCAGATCTGTGAAGCACTGCATATTTAAAAAAAAAGATATGAACATACTCCTCATGTGAAACAAATAGAGCTAATAAGCAAATAGGAAAGCATTCAGTATTGCTGGAGGCTAGTTTGATTTTTTTAAGCTTTCAGATACCCCATTTTCCTTTTTACATTAAAAATATTTTTTCAGGGGCTAGTATTCACAGCAAGATAGTAACTGAGAATATTAATTATCCTTGGGCAGAGGTCTGGTGGCATTGTACACTGTGACAATTTATGTCAGAACCCCACATTCTTTTTGTTTTGTTTTGTTTTTGTGCTGGGAATTGAACCCAGAGACTCTAAACCACTGAACCTCATCCCCAGTCCTTTTATTTTGTATTTTGAGACAGGGTCTCACTGAGTTGCTTAGGGCTCGATAAGTTGCTGAAGCTGGCTTTGAATTTGCAATCCTTCTGCCTCAACCCCCTGAACCCTTGGGATTATAGGCATGTGCTACCATACCCAGCTTCCCCACAAACATTTCTAACTCTAAAAATGTTTCAGTGATTCTATCATAAGGAAAATATTCAATATACATCAGACAATAAACATAAAGGTTTCCATCTCTGTATCAGTCACACTAGTGAATTGATTGAAAAGAATGTAAATGAAGAGTACTAGAAACTTGGTTAAATACATCATGATGCGTCCACTCAGCGTGATATTCAGCAGACACTTGAAAAGATGATAATGAAGGTTACGCTGTGTTCAGTGAAAGAAGGCAGGACATAGAAATATATGTCATGGTTTTAACTGCAAATTAAAAACATGCATGTTTAAAAATGAAAGAATCTAAAGTTTAGGGTAGTAGGATTAAGAGTGATTTTTTCTCTTATTTATTTATTTTTTTAATATTTATTTTTTAGTTGTAGTTGGACATAACATTTTTTTTTTTTTTAATTTTTTATTGTGGGTTGTTCAAAACATTACAAATTTCTTGACATATCATATTCCACACTTTGATTCTAGTGGGTTATGAACTCCCACCTTCACCCCATACACAGATTGCAGATTCACATCAGTTACACATCCATTGATTTACAAATTGCCATACTAGTGTCTGTTGTGCTCCGCTGCCTTTCCCATCATCCACCCTCCCCCCTCCCCACCTCTCCCCTCCCCTCCCCTCCTCTCTCTCTACCCCCTCCACTGTATAACCCTGAGGGTCTCCTTCCATTACCGTGCAATTTACCTTCTCTCTCCCTTTCCCTCCCACCTCTCATCCCTGTTAAATGTTAATCTTCTTCTCCTGTTCTTCGTCCCTACTCTGTTCTTAGTTACTTTCCTTATATCAAAGAAGACATTTGGCATTTGTTTTTTAGGGATTGGCTAGCTTCACTTAGCATAATCTGCTCTAATGCCATCCATTTCCCTGTAAATTCTATGATTTTGTCATTTTTTAATGCAGAGTAATACTCCATTGTGTATAAATGCCACATTTTTTTTATCCATTCGTCTATTGAAGGGCATCTAGGTTGGTTCCACAGTCTTGCTATTGTGAACTGTGCTGCTATGAACATCGATGTAGCAGTGTCCCTGTAGCATGCTCTTTTTAGGTCTTTAGGGAATAGACCAAGAAGGGGAATAGCTGGGTCAAATGGTGGCTCCATTCCCAGCTTTCCAAGAAATCTCCATACTGCTTTCCAAATTGGCTGCACCAATCTGCAGTCCCACCAGCAATGTACAAGTGTACCCTTTTCCCCACATCCTCGCCAGCACTTGTTGTTGTTTGACTTCCTAATGGCTGCCAATCTTACTGGAGTGAGATGGTATCTTAGGGTGGTTTTGATTTGCATTTCTCTGACAGCTAGAGATGTTGAGCATTTTTTCATGTACTTGTTGATTGACTGTATGTCCTCCTCTGAGAAGTGTCTGTTCAGGTCCTTGGCCCATTTGTTGATTGGGTTGTTTGTTCTCTTATTGTCTAATTTTTTGAGTTCTTTGTACACTCTGGATATTAGGGCTCTATCTGAAGTGTGAGGAGTAAAGATTTGTTCCCAGGATGTAGGCTCCCTATTTACCTCTCTTATTGTTTCTTTTGCTGAGAAAAAACTTCTTAGTTTGAGTAAGTCCCATTTGTTGATTCTAGTTATTAACTTTTGTGCTATGGGTGTCCTATTGAGGAATTTGGAGCCCGACCCCACCGACTGTAGATCGTAGCCAACTTTTTCTTCTATCAGACGGCGCGTCTCTGATTTGATATCAAGTTCCTTGATCCATTTTGAATTCACTTTTGTGCATGGCGAGAGAAAGGGATTCAGTTTCATTTTGTTGCATATGGATTTCCAGTTTTCCCAGCACCATTTGTTGAAGATGCTATCCTTCCTCCATTGCATGCTTTTAGCCCCTTTATCAAATATAAGATAGTTGTAGTTTTGTGGATTGGTTTCTGTGTCCTCTATTCTGTACCATTGGTCCACACGCCTGTTTTGGTACCAGTACCATGCTGTTTTTGTTACTATTGCTCTGTAGTATAGTTTGAAGTCTGGTATCGCTATACCGCCTGATTCACACTTCTTGCTTAGCATTGTTTTTGCTATTCTGGGTCTTTTATTTTTCCATATGAATTTCATGATTGCTTTCTCTATTTCTACAAGAAATGCCTTTGGGATTTTGATTGGCATTGCATTAAACCTATAGAGAACTTTTGGTAATATCGCCATTTTGATGATGTTAGTTCTGCCTATCCATGAACAGGGTATATTTTTCCATCTTCTAAGATCTTCTTCTATTTCTCTCTTTAGGGTTCTGTAGTTTTCATTGTATAAGTCTTTCACCTCTTTTGTTAGGTTGATTCCCAAGTATTTTATTTTTTTTGAAGATATTTTGAATGGAGTGGTTGTCCTCATTTCCATTTCAGAGGATTTGTCGCTGATATACAGGAATGCCTTTGATTTATGCGTGTTGATTTTAAATCCTGCCACTTTGCTGAATTCATTTATTAGCTCTAATAGTTTCTTTGTAGAGCCTTTTGGGTCTGCTAGATATAGAATCATATCATCTGCAAATAGTGATAATTTAAGTTCTTCTTTTCCTATTTTTATGCCTTTAATTTCTTTCGTCTGTCTAATTGCTCTGGCCAGTGTTTCGAGAACTATGTTGAAGAGAAGTGGAGAGAGAGGGCATCCCTGTCTTGTTCCAGATTTTAGAGGGAATGCCTTCAGTTTTTCTCCATTCAGAATAATGCTAGCCTGAGGCTTAGCATAGATTGCTTTTACAATATTGAGGTATGTTCCTGTTATCCCTAGTTTTTCTAGAGTTTTGAACATAAAGGGATGCTGTACTTTGTCAAATGCTTTTTCCGCATCTATCGAGATGATCATATGGTTCTTATTTTTAAGTCTATTGATGTGGTGAATAACATTTATTGATTTCCGTATATTGAACCAGCCTTGCATCCCAGGGATGAATCCTACTTGATCATGGTGTACAATTTTTTTTATATGTTTTTGTATCCGATTCGCCAGAATTTTATTGAGGATTTTTGCATCTAGGTTCATTAGAGATATTGGTCTGTAGTTTTCTTTCTTTGAAGTGTCTTTGTCTGGTTTAGGTATCAGGGTGATGTTGGCCTCATAGAATGAATTTGGAAGTTCTCCCTCCTTTTCTATTTCCTGAAGTAGCTTGAAAAGTATTGGTATTAGTTCTTCTTTAAAGGTTTTGTAAAATTCTGCTGTATACCCATCGGGACCTGGGCTTTTCTTAGTTGGTAGTCTTTTGATGGTTTCTTCTATCTCCTCAATTGATATTGGTCTGTTTAGGTTTTCTATATCCTCCTGACTCAATCTGGGCAGATCATATGACTTAAGAAATTTATCTATACCTTCACTATCTTCTAATTTATTGGAGTATAAGGATTCAAAATAGTTTTTGATTATCTTCTGTATTTCTGAAGTGTCTGTTGTGATATTGCCTTTTTCATCCCGTATGCTAGTAATTTGAGTTCTCTCTCTTCTTCTCTTCACTAGCATCGCTAAGGGTCTGTCGATTTTGTTTATTTTTTCAAAGAACCAACTTTTAGTTTTGTCAATTTTTTCAATTGTTTCTTTTGTTTCGATTTCATTAATTTCAGCTCTGATTTTAATTATTTCTTGCCTTCTACTTCTTTTGCTGTTGTTTTGCTCTTCTTTTTCAAGGATTTTGAGATGAAGTATGAGATCATTTATTTGTTGGTTTTTTCTTTTTTTAAGGAATGAACTCCAAGCAATGAATTTTCCTCTTAGAACTGCTTTCAATGTGTCCCATAGATTCCGATATGTTGTGTCTGTGTTTTCATTTATCTCTAAGAATTTTTTAATTTCCTCCTTGATGTCTTCTATAACCCATTGATCATTCAGTAACCTATTGTTCATTCTCCAATTGATGTATGCTTTTTCCTTCCTTCTTTTATCGTTGATTTTCAGTTTCATTCCATTATGATCAGATAAGATGCATGGTAATATCTCTACTCCTTTATATTGTCTAAGAGTTGCCCTGTGACATAATATATGATCTATTTTTGAGAAGGATCCATGTGCTGCTGAGAAAAAAGTGTAACTGCTTGATGTTGGGTGGTATACTCTATATATGTCAATTAGGTCTAGGTTATTAATAGTGTTATTGAGTTCTATAGTTTCCTTATTCAACTTTTGTTTGGAAGATCTGTCCAGTGGCGAGAGAGGTGTGTTGAAGTCTCCCATGATTATGGTGTGGTGGTCTATTAGACTCTTGAACTTGAGAAGAGTTTGTTTGACGAACATAGCTGCACCATTGTTTGGGGCATAAATATTTATGATTGTTATGTCTTGTTGGTGTATGGTTCCCTTAAGCAGTATGTAGTGTCCCTCTTTATCTCTTTTGATTAACTTTGGCTTGAAATCTATTTTATTTGATATGAGTATGGACACGCCTGCTTGTTTCCGAAGTCCATATGAGTGATATGATTTTTCCCAACCTTTCACCTTCAGCCTATGTATGTCTTTTCCTATCAAATGCGTCTCCTGTAGGCAGCATATTGTTGGGTCTTGTTTTGTGATCCATTCTACTAGCCTGTGTCTCTTAATTGGTGAGTTTAAGCCATTAACATTTAGGGTTATTATTGAGATATGGGTTGTTCTTCCAGCCATATTTGTTTATTTCTGTTACTAAACATTGTTTGTTTTCCTCTTTGATTGTTTCCCCCCCCCCTTTACTGTCCTACCTCCCACTGTTGGTTTTCATTGTTATTTTCCATTTCCTCTTCCTGTAATACTTTGGCTAGGATGTTTTGAAGAGATGGTTTTCTAGCTGCGAATTCTTTAAACTTTTGTTTATCGTGGAAGGTTTTAATTTCATTCTCCATCCTGAAGCTTAATTTCGCTGGATACACAATTCTTGGTTGGAACCCATTATCTTTCAGTGTTTGAAATATGTTATTCCAGGATCTTCTAGCTTTCAGAGTCTGTGTTGAAAGATCAGCTGTTATCCTGATTGGCTTGCCCCTAAATGTAATCTGCTTCCTTTCTCTTGTAGCTTTTAAAATTCTCTCCTTATTCTGTATGTTGGGCATCTTCATTATAATGTGTCTAGGTGTGGATCTCTTATGATTTTGCACATTCGGCGTCCTGTAGGCTTCTAGGATTTGGGATTCTGTCTCATTCTTCAAGTCTGGGAAGTTTTCTTGTATTATTTCATTGAATAGACTGCTCATTCCTTTGGTTTGGAGCTCTGTACCTTCCTGTATCCCAATGACTCTTAAGTTTGGTCTCTTAATGTTATCCCATATTTCTTGGATGTTCTGCTCATGGTTTCTTAACAGTCTTGCTGAGCTGTCTATGTTCTTTTCCAGTTGAAATACTTTGTCTTCATTGTCTGATGTTCTATCTTCTAAGTGTTCTACTCTGTTGGTAGTATTCTCCATTGAGTTTTTAAGTTGGTTTATTGCTTCCTGCATTTCTAGGATTTCTGATTGCTTGTTTTTTATAACCTCTATCTCCCTGTATAGTTGATCCTTTGCTTCCTGGATTTGTTTGCGTAATTCGTTGTCGAAGTGATCTTTCATTGTCTGATTTTGCTGTTTAATGTCTTCCTTGATACTCCAGATCATCTGAAGCATGTATATCCTGAATTCTTTATCTGACATTCCATCTGCTGCAGCTGTTACCTCTTCTAAAGTTGCGTTGACCTGCATTGCTTGTGGTCCTTTCTTTCCTTGTCTTTTCATACTGCTTGCGTATCTTTCCTGCAGGTGCGGGCGGCGGCTCTGCTCTCTCCTTATTCCAATTGGGGTGTCGTGGCTACCACGCCGGCAGGTCACTGGGCCTGTTCTGGGAGCTGGTGGCGGCTCTGTTCTGCCCCTACTCCAATTGGGGTGACGTGTCTGTCGTACCAGCAGGCCACTGGGCCTGTCCTGCTGGTCGGTCGCAGATCTGCCCACCTTTCGGGCACGAGTGGAGGCTCTGCTTTGCCCCTACTCCAATTGGGGTGTCGTGACTACCCCGCCTGCAGGATGCTGGGTCTGTTCCTGGCAAGGGAGGCGACTCTGCTCTGTCACTACTCCAATTAGGGTGGTGTTTGTACCCCGCCGGCAGGCTCCTGGGCCTGATCCGCCGTTCTGTTGTAGGTCTGCCTACCTTGAAGGCGCGGGCGGCGGATCTGCCCTGCCCCTCCTACCACGCCTGCGGACCCCTGGGCCTGATCTGCAGGTTGATCACTGGTCTGCTCACCCTGCGGGCACGGGTGGCGGTTCCGCTCCACCCCCACTCCAATTGGGGTCACGTGACCACCACACCGGCAGGGCCTGATCCGGGCGTGGGATAAGGATCTGCTCTGCCCCTACTCGAGTTGGGGTGACGTGTGTACCACACTGGCAGGCCACTGGGCCTGACCCGCCAGGCTGTCACAGGTCTGTTTACCTTGCAAGCGCGAAGGGCGGCTCTGCCCTGCCCCTCCTACCACGCCCATGTACTACTGGGTCGTGGGTCTGCCCACCTGGCGGGTGTGGGTGGCGGCTCCGCTCCGCCCCCTCTCCAATTGGGGTCACGCGGTCACCACGCTGGCGAGCCGCTGGGCCTGCTCCGGGGGCTGGCGGCGGCCCGGCTCCTTCCCTCTGGCTCGAGGACAAATTGAGGAGACTCGGGTGACTGAGCCTCACCCCCCTTACCAGGAGACCAACTGCTTATGTCACCGCTGGTATTGATGAAGATCTCTCCTCCACCGCTTTCTGCTGACATCAGATCTCTGCCATGTTGGTATCCTATGCGAATGGCAGCATTTCGTTCCCCTTGCCAGGCAACCCAAGCAATGGGTGAGTCCTGACCTGCCCTCAGCAGGACCCGGACCGAGACACAGTTTCCGCGGGCTCCTAGCCCCGGTCCAGGGAAGTTCCGGGAGCCGGAACTCGGCCGCTCCGTGCTCGGTGTAAGCTCCTATAAGTGTAGGCTCCAAGAAGCAGCCCCCGCGGGCTCAGTTCCGGGAGCCGGAATTCGGCCGCTTAGTGTTTGGTGTATGCTCTGATAGTAGCAGGGTCCAAGAAGCAGCCTCCGCGGGCTCCGCAGCCCTGAGCCAGGGCGGTTCCGGGACGGTTCCGGGAGCCGGAACTCGGCAGCTCTGTGCTCGGTGTAAGCTCCTATAAGTGTAAGCTCCAAGAAGCAGTCCCCGCGGGCTCAGTTCCGGGAGCTGGAATTCGGCTTCTTGGTGTTTCGTGTTTGCTCTGATATTAGCAGGGTCCAAGAAGCAGCCTCCGCAGGCTCCGCAGCCCGGAGCCAGGGCGGTTCCGGGACGGTTCCGGGAGCCGGGACTCGGCCGCCCCGCGCTCCGTGTTCACTCCGATAAGATCAGATTTTAAGAAGCCCCCAGGCGCTGAACCCTAGCAATCTGTCTGCAAGCCGCAGGCGAATTGCAGCCTGAAATTACCTGTTCTATGGCTGAATGAGCTGCGGTCAGTCAAAAACAGGTGTGGTGACGTCAGTTTACCAACATGGTGGCTGCTGGCCTCCTCTGTGGTCTGACCGGTGTGGAGAACCGAGATGGACCGCTTCCTTCCCCGTCTCGAACCCAGAATTCAGCCCTGAGTGCGGTGCTTGCGCGTCTGGCAGAAACTGCAGCGCTGTAACCCTGCGTCTCTATCCCAGCGCGCCTTGCAGACTCTAGCCGCGGGGCGATTTGCTGAATAAGCAGTGTTACCCTCCGTGCGACAAACCTCTCGCGTTTGAGTCCCCGTAGCCGATCCTCATGCGATGGAAATCCTTCCTCCAGGTTCCGGCGCACCCCACTATTGCTGGAAATTCCTAACAAGATATCCTTTAGCCGTCCTGACTTGTCATACTCCCACACAGTGAAGCAGCACACGGGGGTAATGCACTCCCCTCGCCGCCATCTTCCCTCCTCTCACCACTATTCTATGGACATAACATTTTTATTTTATTTATTTGTTTGTTTGTTTTTTATATGGTGCTGAGGCTCAAACCCAGGGCCTCACATGTGCTAGGCTCTACCGCTGAGTCACAACCCCAGCCCTCTTATTTATTTCTGAAAATATATTTAATATTTAATATTCTTGTCAGCTAAAATATAAATTTATTTTAAAACATTTTGTAAGTGATACATATCACAAAAAAGCTAATTTTTATATTAGGTAATAGACACAATGGGAAATGTAAAAAGTTAATTTGGAAAAAAGTTTTTTTCATTAGTTAACCATATAAAATCTAATGTATTATATTATGTTGCTAAAGTTTTCATAGTAGGGGTGATATGTCCTTTATAAAAATTGAGTAGACACAAGAAACTAGAAGCAGAGCTTGCTCCAGAAGGGTGCTCAGAAACTGGAACTCAGGAGCAGAAGGATACACATTTTTTATATTATCCTTTTGTTCTATGTATATGCAATCCCTAGCCTGTTTTTTTTTTTTTAATTTAATAGATCCATTGCGATTTTTATTTACTCAATTTCTATCATGATTTTTAAGGCTGTTAGAAATAGACTATGTAAAATAGACTTCAATGACTTTAATTGGGTGGCCAATTAAAATGTTCCTTTTTTTCACTTTCAGAGCTGTCTGGTATGACCCCATCTACTATCCAACCTCATGGCAGTTGGATCCCACAGAAGGGCCAAACCGAGAGAGGAGACGTTTGCAGAGATGTTACTTAACTATTCCAAATAAGTATCTACTGAGAGATAGACAAAAATCAGAAGGTAATAGTGGCTTCTTCCTCAGCACATTAATAAGGCAGATAACTGGTCATTAGATAATATGTATGTCTTCCCCAATAGATGTGGCCAAACCACCACTCTCTTACCTGTTTGAAGACAAAACTCATTCCTCTTTCTCTTCTACTGTCAAAGACAAAGCTGCAAGTGAATCTATAAGGTAAATTTGAATCCACAGACATTCACTTTCTTGTGAATGTATGGTTTTTTGTAGCATTGCTGTAGTATTCATTTTATATAATGCTGTGGTTTTAAGAAAAGTCCTAAACAAGAGAGGCTCAAAACAGGACATGGTTGGATAGCCAAATTCCAAATGGCATTACTGATAGCACAGTCTATTACATCTCAGTTGTCATACTGTGTCTGACCTTTGTTAGCATACTTATATTTTTGTAGTTGACTTTTTTTTATAGCTCTTTATAGAGTAGATAGAGCTGCTGGTGATCTCATCAACAGGCAATATATTGTAGCAATTAAAGATTCAAATTCCAGAACCAATTCTTCCTAGTGATCTGATCTTGGGCAAGTTACTTATTAGCCTTTCTCCCTCAGTTTCCTTACCTATTAAAGAAGGGAAATAATCATACTCAAATTTTCATAGCATTTAGTGTTATGTTTGTCAGTATATATTAACTATTGATAGTATTATCACTACAGTTGCTGGGATTGCTATTATTTTCATGCCCAGTTTATATATAAAAAACTAAGCCTCAAAAAAATAAGTGACTTGACAAAAGAATAGAGAACTTAGTTCTGACTCCATAATCCCCTAGTATACTAGGTTTTCTTTATGTATTGAAGTATCAGTGGTATCAAACAATATCTATTTATTTACTGAAGATCTGAGACATTGAAGTCTATTTTACATAGCCAAACCCTTATATTGTATATACAGGGATTATAAGCATTTCTAAAGGGTTCAGTCTTTTCCTCCTCCACTGGAATGTTAAGAAATGGCATAGTATTGTCCTGTGGGTTTTGACAAGATACCTCATGCTATTGAAACACTAGTTCACTTTGCTGAAATCTTCCACTAGATAAAACTTACACTCTAAAAGTGGTCAAAACATTTAATCACAGTGATTTTAAATATGTTTTGCCAGAGTAAATCGAAGGTGTATCAGCGTTGCACCATCTAGAGAGACAGCTGGTGAATTGTTGTTAGGTAAGTCAATTTTGAAGAATTTTATACACAATTTATCCTTAGATAATTTGAAGTGTTTTGACACATTTACATTATATCAGATAAATTTTCTCTAATACCACATGGCTATGACATTATATAGACAATAGTTTCCCATCATCTGCAGGAGATACATCTTAGACCCTGAGTGTGTGCCTAAAACCATAGAGCATACTAAACCCAGTGTATCCTTTTTTTTTCCCCTATATACTTTTTTTCCCTATACACCTGTGATAAAACTTTGTGAATTAGGCACATTAAAGATTAACAACAGTAACTAATAATAAAATAGAGCAATGATAATAATATTTAATAATAAAAGTTACATGAATAACTCAAAATAACTCAGAATATTTTATTGTACTTTCATTTTTTCACCTGAAAGGAAACACTTGTGGCTTCTCTTTGGCACATCTGAATTTCCAACATCACCATTCTTTTGCTTGGGGGCCACTATGAAGCTGAATAAGTGTTATTTGAATGCACTATAACACCACAAGTGTCGATCTGATAACTGGGATGGCTACTAAGTGACTAATGGACAGGTAGCATATATAGCATGGCTGCACCGGACAGAGGGCAGATTCATGTTTCAGGCAAAATGGAGCAGGACAAGGTTTTATCATGCTGCTCAGAATAACATGTAATTTAAAATTTATGACTTAATGACTTATTTCTGGAATTTTCCACTTAATATTTTTGGACCATGGTTTACTGTGGGTAATGGCAACCATCAAAAGCAAAACCACTGATAAGGAGAGACTACTATAAAGCTTATGACTTATAAATTATAAGAAATTACATCTTGCCCAGGCACAGCAGCACATACACTCAGGATGCTAAGGTAGTAGGTAGGGTCACAAGTATAGGCCAGGCTGGGTAACTTAGTGAGGTCCTGTTTCAAAATAAAAAATCCAAAGGCTGGGGGTGTGCCTCAGTGGTAGAGCACCTCTGGGCTCAACCTCCAGAACTAGAAAGAAAGAAGGAGGGGAGGAAGGGAAGAAGGTAGAGGGAGGGAGATGACATTTGGTTTCTGAAAACACATAATTAAAATTTTAATTTTAATTAATCTGATATCTTTATATGTGCACATTTTTAATCTAATCATTCCTTTTACAATATACCAATTTAGACTTTTAAAATAAAAATATATTGGTATACTTATATTTCTACTATTTTAACAGATACACTTATACATAAGACATATATATTATATACCTTGATATTTTTCATAATTTATATTCTTTCTTGTGCTTCCGAGAGAAAGGCCAAGATTGTTAGCTCATAAATACTTTTATAGTTAAATTTGATGGGGATTTTTTTTCCCTCAAGAAATGAAGAAATAGTTATAAATACTTGGTCTCTATTCCTTTAAAGAGCCCGTATGTATGCTGTCAGCCAGCTGTGCTCAAAGCTGGTCCTAAATCAGCAGCAGCAGGATCATCACATGGGAACTTACTAGAAATGCATTCTTGGTCCCCAGCCCAGAACTCCTGAATCAGAAACTCTGTGGAGGGTGGAGTCTGTGTTTGGATGAGTTCTCTGTGACTCTAATGCACACTCAAATTTGAAAAAGCTGCAACCTCCATGGTCCAAGATGGAGCTCTGAGCTCGATGGGACTGAGCCCCACCATCCCATGGATGGAGATACCATCCTTCTCAGAGCCAGCTATGCCACTGCTGCATGGGCCCCCAGTACTCAAGGGTGACCAGCATGCTGGCAGCAGAGCCCCAGGGAAGTTCCTAACATTTTAAAACATGGTATGTGTTAGCAACAGGCAGCCTAGGAAGCAGAAAAAAGTGGGAGCTATTTTGCTCTATTGAATGTTTCAATCGTTAAAACAACTAAGGATTATTATTAATCCTCTTTTGCTAGAAAATTTGGTTTACCCCTCGACTTCAATTAGTGTGTGACAAAACAAAGCAAATCAATGTGCTTGTAATATAAAAAGTATAATTATAATAATAAATAGCCAATATTTATGTAGTGTTAAGTGCCAGACATTTCTGATAAGCATTTTTATATATTTTAATTTAATTTTCACAATAATTCTATAAATTACAGCCTCCTCCCCAACATACACATCTTTTTGTTAATAGACACATTGAGGTTAAGTAACTTGCCCAAGATCTTATGGATACCATTTAAAAATATTTACTGAGTGCTGGGAACTATGTCTAGATGTAGAGTTCAAAGTCAAGCCCAAGGACTCCAGAAGTACTGCTTTAATCATATCTGATAACAGTGTGTGTACGTTTGTAAACTCTTACTCTGCAGGTAAATGTGGAATGTATTTTGTGGAAGATAATGCTTCTGATACAGTTGAAAGTTCGGTGAGTAGAGGCTTAAGTTTTCACTTACATTAAGCCTAAACAAATTTCAAAAATATATAATCCATTATGAGAGAGCAGGCAGAACTATTACGGCTTATCCATTGTCACTCCGTGTGTAGATTAATCTGAATGACAAACATTTTTAAAAGATAATTTTAAAAAGAAGATTGTGCCATCTCCTCTGTCTCTCAGCAGTTACTATTATGTGTCATATTCTAAAGTGCTCCTCTTACTTCAGCTTATGTCCATTCTGTCTCAGCAGTGTCCTTGGTTAGCCACAAGTAGCTACTCCCCACCACTCCCAATTTACTATGAAGTACCTTTGCCTTCAAAAAGAAAGAAAAATTTTGTGTAATTGAATAACTTAAGTCATCCTGATATTCACGTAGCTTATTCTTCTAGAAATACTGATCTTAATTAGAAAATAAATAAAAGAACTCTTAAGCCAGGCACGGTGGCACATGCTTGTAATCTCAGCAGCTCGGGAGGCCGAGGCAGGAGGATTATGAGTTCAAAGACAGCTCAGTGAAAAGCAAGGAGCTAAGCAGCTCAGTGAGACCCTGCCTCTAAATAAAATACAAAAAAGGGCTGGGGATGTGGCACAGTGCTTAAGTGCCCAGAAGTTCCCAATACCAAAGAAAAAAAAAAGAACTCTTAATTCATATTTTCCTATAGTAAGTCTTTTTAATCCATTTGAATTACTTTGTATACCATTAAAATATTTTTTGAGATTCCTATAATAAGAGAAATAAGAGTTTTTGTTTTAGAAAAATCCTAAAGCCTTGAATTTCTAAGGCTATTAAATAAGATTACATATGGTTTAATGATGACTATATTTTTAATGTAATTAATTCATGAAAACATCAAATTTGATTATAAAACCAATAATGTGAAAAAGTCAAGAAAATATTTAATGTAGTCCCCAAAATTGAGAGGCACTCTTTCCTGATTTATATAGAAATTAACTCAGGGTTTGTCCCAGTTAGTAAAAGTATACTTATTTTTCAAGTTGTATCTTTTTATCAGCCAAATAATTTAATAGTTGATATATGAGATCACATTTTCCTGTGTCCAGAAATGACATTTTCCTTCTTTTAAAGACTTCTAAAAAATGCCTTTGCCTTTTGATAGCTTGAAGGACCTTTCCTTCTTCTGTGCTTTTATAGTATTATTTCATCCTATATGACATTTACTATCTTGCATTTAAGCATTTGTACAGTTTGATTTCACGCAGAGCACTTAACAAGTACCTTGCACAAGAATGTTTAGTTGTGTGTGTTGAATTGAATTGACATTGAAGCTAAACAAAGAGGAATTTTATTTAAATTTGAGAATATTATGCTTTCATTAAATTTTTTTATTTTATTTATAATGTATTGACTCTATTCTAAAAATTATTTGGGACCCAGGGAAAACACAGAATATAGCAATTCAAATTTTAAAAATTTAAACATGCTTTTGAAAATAGAGAACTTGGTGTAAAATATTAATTGCAATTGAATTCTAAATTTCACTCTGAGTTTCCTGTTGGCCAACACAAAAGGAGTAGACAAACATAGTTTTCCAAAAGTGAAAATTAATAGGGGGAAAACTAGGAGGCACTTTATTTGAGGATATAAAGTCTTATACTTTAATTACAAACATTTTTCGTGATTTCTCTATTACAAGCATTGAGTAACAATTCATGTATTCAGTTTTAATTTATAAACTATTATACTCACATTGTTTCAGTTTTTCTTGGTTTTATACTTTGGAAGGAGACAGTAATGGTATGATGTGTAGGACCCATGGCCCCACCTCTAATTCCAGAATGTGGGGGATTGTCTGAGCAGGCTAGGATTAGGGCCTTCCAGGGGTCACTTTTTCAGTCTCCCCCAGGCAAGTGGGAAGGGTCCCTGGCTCTGGTGGGTGTTGATCTTCGAGAGTGCCACACTAGTCACAGCAGTGTTCCTCCAGAGACCCTGGTTTGCCTTTGTAGGATGGCTCTGAGCACGGGAGCTTCGTCTCACAGCTTGGAGGTCTCCAGGCCACTCAGACAGGCTACTTGACTCAGACCCATGTGTGGGCATGGCGTCTGAATTCTCAGAAGCCTCCTTCTGTTCTCCACACAGCTCAGACCAAGGAGGGACACTTCCTGGTATTCTTTATTGACAGGCACACTGGTTTCGTCTGTACTTTTGCTGGGAATGTGTCTGGTCATGGATTTTAGCTTTCTGAAAGAGTCTCTGTTCAACACTCTGATTCCAGAAAACACAGGCCTCATCTTTTGTATGTGATAGATGTTCATTCATTTCATTTCTGGAACCAGGATTTGTGCATACATGTGTATACCTGCAAACACACACGTAACCAGGCAGCCAAAGTGTGACTTCTGCTCTTTTTTCCCCCCCTCTGGGGATTTCACTTGCCTTCTTTTCTTTTAGGCTCAGCTATGCATTTAAAAGATTTGCTTAGCAAAAAAAGTTAACCTGAAAAGACTACATAGTTATGGTTCTAACTATATGACATTCTCCAAAAAGTGAAACAGGGAAGAGCTCAGTGGTAGCCAGTGTTAGGTGGGATGAATAGATCAAGCCAGAAGGGTTTTAGGGCAGTGAAACTGTTCTGAATGTTTCTTTAATGGTGAATTGTTCTCAATATCTCACTTTACATTTGCCAATTACAAGAATGTATACCAAGAATGAAGCCTCATATAAACTGAAGACTTCAGGTAAAAATAAGAATCAATACTAGTTCATTAATTATAATGAGTATTCCACATGCAATGTAAGATATTAATAGCTGAAAAACTGAGTGCAAGCAGCTGTGGTGTTAGGGGAGGGGGCACATGGGAACTCACTTGCTCAGTTTTTTTGTTGTTGTTTTTTTTTTTTAAGTTTAAAACTGACCTAAAAAGAAGTCTTAAATTTTTTTTATTCCTAAGTTTTATCTAGCATTTATAGTGGGAGAGTATTCATCTTATCTTTCATTTTGCCACAAAAGAAGGATTTTTTATTTCATGTTGATATTTTTAAAATTTTTTAATTAAAATTCTGATTTATATTTCATGTAAAGCAAACACTTCTATTTCTTTTGTCTTAGAGCCTGCAGGGAGAGTTGGAACCAGCATCATTTTCCTGGACATATGAGGAAATTAAAGAAGTTCACAAGCGTTGGTGGCAACTGAGAGATAATGCTGTAGAAATCTTTTTAACAAATGGCAGGACACTTCTGCTAGCATTCGATAACACCAAGGTAAATCCAACTTTATAAATAGATTTATACTGTTTAAGTGATCCCAAGACCAATATCTCTATTCATAATGATTATGTGAAAGTTTATTTAACCTTCAGCTCACTGTTCTGAAAGCCCCCTATTTTTTTTTGTCTTATTTCTTAGTCCTAGTTAAAGTAAACCCTTGGTTGTATGAGCATTCTTTTTGACCTCCAAAATTGCATTAAATTTGGATTCCCCAAAATGACTGAAAGAAGTACTTCAGCTTTCTCAGTGCTGCAGTTGTCCCATCTTGGATAAGCCTTCTCTTGACCCACGTCCTTCAGCTACTGTTTCTCTGCTTTCCTTATAGAGAACCCCCTGGGGCACTTGGGGCACCTGTCCTCCAGTCCTCCCTTGCAGAAATGCTGTAGTCGCTTCCTTCTCTCCACTATGGTCAGGGCCACTAGGGCCAACATGCTGCTAAACCCTATGCTTGTTTTTCCTGGTCCTCATCTTACTGGGCTGTCCGCAGTGATTGATGCAGGTAATTGGTCTGTTCTTCTTAATGAAAACCTTCTCTGGGCTTCTGGGCCACCACTTCCTCTTGATTCTTCTTTTCCTTCACCAGCCATTTCTACTCAGTCTTATTTGAAGATCCTTCCTGGAGTGTCTCAGGACTCATTCTTCAGGCCTCTTCTCTTTTCCTCCAATCTATGGCTTTAAAATGCCCTCTGCATCCTGATGATCTACAACTTATTCTCAGTACCTTAGTACCTTACAACTTTATCTTCAACACATAAGTGACACACTCACATGTTAACTCCCAGCTTGGCCTCTCCATATGGAAGTTACTGATTGGCATCTTAAATGAAACATGTAGCAAAATGAACCTCTAAAGTCCCTGCTCCACCACTGCCTCCTAGCTTTCCCCATCTGAATATTTGGCAACCATCTCTGTGACATCCAGGCCAAAATCCTTGAGATTATCCTAGGCTTACAGTTCTTTCATCTCCATGTCTATTCTTAATACATCCAGAATTTTCTTCCTCTGGTACCATCCTGGTCTAAGCCTCTATCTTCTCTGCCTCTTAACTGGTCTCCCCATTTCCATACACACTCCACTCTAGACTGCTCTTGACACAACAGCTGGAGTGTGTTGGGTCATGCTGTTGTTCTGCTCGAAACCCTCCAGTTACTTCCCATGTCACTCAGCCCTTACAGTAGCCTAAAGAAGCCCTGAATAATGTGTACTTTGTTACCTCTCTGACCTCATCTTCCACCATTCTCTCCCTCACCTCTCTGTTCCATCCATGGTGACTTGGCAAGCTTTAGATTTTTTTTATTTGTTTTAGTTGTTGATGGACCTTTATTTTATTCATTTATTTATATGTGGTGCTAAGAATCCAACCCACTGCCTCACACATGTGAGGCAAGTGCTCTGCCACTAGGCCCCAGCCCAGCCCAAGCTTCAGATTTAAGCTACAAGTTTGGGTTATTAAACTCTGGTTCTGCCTGTTCCAAAACTACAGCCACAGCTTCTCATTGTTGTCACTTTCTTTTAGTTCTATCTCTCACTCTCCCGCCTTGTGTCTCTTCTTCCTATGCCTGAGCATTTACCATGAGTATTTTGCATGTTGTCAGCAAAACCTTGGTTTTCTGGGTTTTTTCCTCCCATGCATTACAAACTATCATTTAACTGGTTTAGAAGAATCATAATACTCTTTTACTGTGACAGAACTTTTGTGAATCTCTACAAAAAAGAGTTCATATTTGTTTTCATTCAGTACTGGAAATCCCATTTACCTAAGATATTCCACTTGATTTTTAAGAGAGAAGTATTTTCACTCCACATTACAGATATAACTCAGCACCAAGTCTAAGCAGAATCACAGACTCTAAACTGGCTCAAGAATCCAGTGCAGAGCCTTGCCCTTCCTAATACACCATGTCATGTTTATCCAAAAGGAAAATCTTTTTTCTTATTGACATTTCAGTATCTTTATGTAGGGCACTTTCCTGCACAGGTTTTCCTTAGAAGTTATTAACAGATAATTATTAGGAGATTTTTCTAGCAGCAAAGCATAATGGCTAAGAGCCCTGCCTCTGGAGGAAGACCTACTCTGAATCTCAGTGTTCCACCAGTTCATTTTATTGAAGAAAACTTTTTTTCTTGGAGGACTTGGGATTGGTAGCATGTTTTTAATGTCATGGTTCTTTGTGGGGAAAGGGTGTCAATAGCCTAAACAATATCTGGGTCTTTTTTTTTTAATCCTTCCCTTTTAGGTTCGCGATGATGTGTACCACAGTATACTCACAAATAACCTACCAAACCTTCTGGAATATGGCAACATTACTGCTCTGACAAACCTGTGGTATACTGGACAAATTACCAATTTTGAATATTTGACTCACTTAAACAAACATGCTGGCCGATCCTTCAATGATCTCATGCAGTACCCAGTGTTCCCATTTATACTTGCTGACTATATTAGTGAGACCCTCGACCTCAGTGACCCCTCTATCTATAGGTGAGTAAAAGTATCATCCCCTTTTTATTTCATCCAAACATGGTATTTATGTCACTAAGATTTTTTTTTATTAAAAAAATTCAAACAGGCACAAATATAAAATGGCTATATAATAAAACCCCATATTCTTATCACCCCAATTCAACAATTATGAGTTACAAAATCTTTATAATCTAGGGATGGCAAAATGGTGATTTCCTATTCTCTCATTTCTCATAAATTAGAAGAAAATGTACAAGATAAACCTATGATATTTTGTTGTGCCAGAGAATTAAAAAAACTAATATTGTATTGTCAAAGGGCACAGAAGCAAACTGAAGTGGCTCTCATTATCAAAGATAGGACAGTCTAAGAATCAGAAAGAACGACTGCAAGCAATTAAAATTCATTGAGCAGACACTAGTATGGCAGTATGTATAAACATGGATGTATAACCAATGTGATCCTGCAATATGTACACATGGTAAAAATAAGAATTCATACCCCACTTGAATCAAATGTATGCAATATGGTATGTCAAGATTATTGTAATGTTTTGAGCAACCAATAAAAAAAAATACATTGAAATGAAAACATAGGTTAAGTTTCTAACTACCCAGATTAAGTATCTTTAGCTGAAATGCTAAAGTCTAGAAGTGTTTGACATCTTTAGGATTTGCATAGCCTTTACCAGTTGAGCATCCCTAATCCAAAAATCTGAAATGCTCCAAATCTGATTTTTTAGTATGGTGCTTAAAATGTCTTAAATTTTAGAGCATTTCAGATTCCAGATCTTCGTATTAGGAATATTTAATTTTATTATATCTTTTATATCTTTTAAAAGGAAAACAAGACAAAACAAAATAAACCTCATTGGTCCATTGGTGATTAATAGAGCATCAATTTCTTAGTTTGAAATTTGAAAATTAAAGGACAAGAATTCAGCATTTTTCTGCTTTTCCTAAATGAACTGTATTTTATAGTAACCAAAATAGGCCTAGTTCATGAGAGAATACTTTGTTTATTTAGCTTGAAATTTTTTTCTCTTGTGTAATTTAAGGAAAATTTTATTCCAAATATTTCACTTGGTATATTAACCTATCTTAATTATAACTGCCAGAAAAAAGGGGGAGGGCCTGACTCAGGCAGTTCTCAAGAAATTGGGTTCATTTTAACACAATGTCAATTTTAAAAAGAGCAAATGGCGTTTTTATACACTGCAGTGACATTTAAACATTTTATACATTTCTGGTATGAAGAAATATGCTCTTTCTAAAAGGCAGTTTGACAATATCTATCCAGAGAACTCTTAAAATGTGCATATTCTGTATAGCAATTTAACTTCTAGGAATTTTTTCTTAGAAAATACTGAAGGATAGGGGCTCTACCACAAAGAGTCCCACTAGCCATAGGTTTCATGAACCTAGGAACCACATTTGCCTGGATCATTGCATTTTTTGGCATCTGGTTCTGCTTGCAAAGATTTAGCCACAAGTATAGTCCTCAGATCATTTTTTCAAAGTAGCTAAAATTTAGAAAGAAAACTAAATGCCCAACACTAGGTTTAATTCGATTGTTACATGTTATAGCTATTAAAATAATACCATAGCCAGTCATAATGGCACACACATGTAATCCCAGTGACCCAGGATGCTGAGGCAGGAGGATTGCAAGTTGGAAGCCAGACTTAGCAACTTAGCAAGGCCCTAAGCAACTTACTGAGACTGTGTCTCAAAATTCAGAAGGGCTAGGATGTTAGCTTGGAGTTCCCCAGGGTTCCCCAATACTATATATATATAAAATATTATATTATCAGCATTGAATTTTTTTACTTTAAAAAGCAGTAAATATGTATATAGATCAACAAAAAAAATCTGAGCAAGTATATATGAAAATAATTACCTGTAAGTAGTAGTATTGCAACTGATTTTTAGTTTATTCTGTTTACTCAATGATAATTTCTGATTTGTCAGTCACAACAATTAATATAAATTACATACCAGGATCTTTTTGTTAAAAAACCTTTATTCTATTTATTCATTTGTATGTGATGCTGAGGATCAAACCCAGGCCTCACATGTGCTAGGCAAGCACTCTACTGCTGAGCTATATATAGCCCCAGCCCCACATGCCAGGATCTTAAACAAGATTTTCTCTGATTTTGGGATGTGAAATCATATCTATTCTATAAAACTGTTCTTACTTTTGACCAAGTTTTTTAATAGAAAAGCCTTAACAGAATTAACATTTAATATTTCTAAGTTTCATATCCCTAGGAAATAATAACTTATCCAAAAAAAAAAAATGGCTGTTTCTGTATCTCGTAAGCAGAACTGGTTTGACCTACTGAACTTGAGGTTTGTCTTGCTGCTGACCTCGTTACAGTACCAGATGATGAAACCCCAGTTATCCCATCCCTGTGTCAGACCAGATGGCCCCCAGCCAGAACAGCCTGTCCCTCCTCATCAGAGTTGTTTCTCTGACTGTTTCAAGGGCCACACAGGATGCCACTGGATTCTAAAGCATGGAAAAGTGAGGACATGGTCCTGGCATTCTCTCGCTTCCAAGAATGGCAGCATATGGTATCCAGCCAGGGGGAACACCCACACTGCACAGTCACATGTGTGCACGCATACCCTCACTGTGCTCAGTGCATCCCTCAACTCCTGATTAGATTGCATATTTATTGCAGTACTCATTCCAAATCTCAACTTGGTAATTTTAAGCATGTATCATATATTCAATTTTTACTAACTAGGCTCATAATTACATAGCCTCCCCTCATGATCATAATTTCTGTCCAAACATCCCTTTATTCTGCCTGACTCATGTAGAGTCTGGAAAATGGAACAAGAACTTTCAGGGATTGACAAAACCAGCTGCCATGGGCAGCAACAGTTATGACTTGGGGAGGCTGAGGAAGGAGGGGGAGTAGCTCTTCTTGTTGAGGTTACACATGAGTTAGGAATTCTAAAACATTACAGACTTGATGAAGAATTCTCTTAGTTGTTTAAACAGCCATAGTTTTAAGTGGTGACTGTTGGTTGCAAAGCAACACGTGTAAGCATAAAATAAGGGCCAAGCATTTTGTGGATCCCTTGTTTACTCCCAGAATGAAACACAGCTTAGTCCTGGCAGTATTGAGTTGTTTCAGACTTTTCCCATTATCCTTTTCTTTGTAGAAATCTCTCTAAGCCTATAGCTGTGCAGTACAAAGAAAAAGAAGATCGCTATGTGGACACATACAAGGTAGCTTTAGCTTCTGTTCTTACTATGATAAATGAAAAATGGAGTTTTGTTTATAGACTTGTGATTATCTAATTTTAAATTTATAGTATTGCTTTTTCTTTTCATTTCCTTGTACTTTAATTGACAACTAGAAATCATTATATGAAATTAATTTTCTGAGAACTCAAGAGAATTAAGAAAAAGAATACCTTTATTTTGGCATAAATTGAAAGCTAATAATCCATTGTTATTCAAATACATAATTGTATTTCTTATAAAAATCATAAAGCTTTCCAGGGACCTGTTATTTATATCCCCCAGTGTAATTTACATATCAATATTAAAGTATTGATTGTATATAATAAACCTTATTAGTAATTAAAAAGTATGCATTGGTTTATCAAAACAGAAATTTACCAGATTTTCAATTTTAAAAGTAAAAATGAATTAATTACCTTTTTCTGTGATATTAGTATTATTGGAATTCTGTTGGAAATGCAAAAAGCTCACTTGCCACAATTATGTTCTTCACAACAGTGTCAAGATAAAAGCAGCTAAAACAGTTTTCTCATATTCACGCATTATTTTATATCACAGTTCCCAAAACATTCCTCTAAGAACCTGTGACTGTCACAGTTTGATTTTGCACTTGAAAGTGGGGCTATCTATAGGAGTCTGAAAGGGACTCAAAGATCCAGTACACCTGGCTTTGTGGAGCCAGGCAGAACCGAGGGGAGATGTACACAGTGATGTGAACAGATGTTTGATTGAACTTCCTCCTTCATGATGGGAATACAGGAGTCATAAAAGATCACCATGTTCTTTTCCACCTCTGTGTAACACACTGCAGAGCAGCCATGCAGTATTATAGTAACTATAATAATGGGTGATGTCTGCATTTCTATTGCATTTCCCCTTCTGGAGAAACATTCTCTATGGACAAGGTGAAATGCTATTCAAATGCAGGCCTCTCTAGAGATGGGAGCAGCTCCTGTTCCTTGGGTGCTTGATCCACTTAGATGTTGGGAGCTGGTGTGATGGAGGGAGGATGCAGGGCAGGTGGGTTTTCTGAGTAATTACGAGCACATAGGTACGATGCCGGGTGAGCTCAGGTGGTCAGGCTCACAGGGCTCTGGACAGACTCCTAGACTCTCTAGGCGGTTGAAGTCTCTGGTCAGGAGAGAAGAGCATGAAAGGGGTGGCAGGGAAGGATGAAAGGGGAAGCAGCACTTTCCCAGTATTGCCTGGAGCCCATGATCATTAGTCTTCTGGGGCTTTGTTGCTTTCAGTATCTGGAGGAAGAGTACCGCAAAGGAGCCAGGGACGATGACCCCATGCCCCCGGTGCAGCCCTACCACTACGGCTCCCACTACTCCAACAGTGGCACTGTGCTCCACTTCCTGGTCAGGATGCCGCCTTTCACCAAAATGTTCTTAGCTTATCAAGGTAAGGATGTGTTTTATAACTGCACAGAAAGTCTGTTGGGTCATCAGAACAAATAAATCTTTTGTTTTTTCTGACTTCTTGAGAACTTATTGAGACTAATGACACCACAGGAATTCTATTTATTCCTTCACCAAAATCTTCCTCAAAAGAGCTGTAGTACATGAAATCATCTTGCTATTGTCTCAATTTTTAGTTTCAATTTAAACATGTCTGCTTAAAAACCTGCAGTTCACTTTTTAAAAATTGAGATGTATTTTACAAACCATAAAATGTTCCCTTATTTTATAGTGTATGCAGTTCATTTTTAAAGATTTTTCAATATTATTTTAAATCACCAGCAAATGCCATAATTTCATTCTTCTTTGTAGCTGAATAAAACTCCACTGTGTATGTATACCACATTTTGTTTATCCATTCATCTGTTACTAGGCACCTGAGCTGGGTTTATAGCAGTTACACTGCTATACACATTATTAATATGCCCATATACTATGGTATGCTGATTTCAGCACTTTAGGATAAATACCAAGGAATGGCATAGCTGGATCATATGGTGGTTCATTCCTAGTCTTTTGAGGAAACTCCATACTGCTTTCCAAAGTAGCTGTACTAATTTGCAGTCCCATCAACAATGTATGGGTACCTTCTTTCCCACATTCTTGCCGGCATTTATTATTATTTGTGTTCTTGATGATTGCCATTCTAACTGGAGTGAAATGAAATCTCAATGTAATTTTGATTTTCATTTCTCTAATTTCTAGGAATATTGAACATTTTTTCCATGTATTTGTTGGCCATCCAAAAGCTTTATATTAATTCAGTGTAATTCCCATAAAAATACCAATGACATTCTTCACAGAACTGGAGAAAAAAAAAACCAGTCCTAAAATTAATTTGGTAGAATAAAAGACCCAGAATAGCCAAAGCAATCTTAAGCAACAAAAATGATGCCAGAAGCATCTCAATACCAAATCTCAAATTATTACTTTGGAGCTCTAGTAACAAAAACAGCATGGTATTGGCATCAAAGCAGACAGGAAGACAAAGGGAATAGAATAGAAGACAAGAGACAAATTCACATAGATACAGTCATCTGATAATTGACAAAGGTACCAAAAACATATGTTAGAGGAAAGACAGCCTTTTAAATAAATGGTGCTAGGAAAGCTGGATGTCCATATGTAGAAGAATAGAACTATATCCCTATCTTTCACCCTGCACAAAAGTCAACTCAAAGTGAATCAAAGACCTTAGAATTAGGACAGAAACTCTATAACTGCTAGAAGAAAATATAGGCTCAACACTCCAACATATTAGTGCAGGCATAAAACACAAGAAATGAAACCAAGAATCAGTATTTGAGGTGGCATCAATTTAAAAAGCTTCTGCATAGCAAAGAAACAAGAGCATGAAGAGAGAACCCATAAAATGGAAGATCTTTATCAGCTGTTCCTCCAACAGGGCATTAATATCCAGAATATATAAAGAACTCAAAAGGCTGAACACCAAAAACAAAATAAATAATTTCCCCTGAGGCTGGGGAAATAGCTCAGTTGGTAGAGTGCCTGCCTCTCATGCACTCTACCTGGGTTCAATCCCCTGCATTGCAAAAAGTAAAATAAAAAATAACACAATTAATGAATGAGCAAAAGAACTAAACACTTCTCAAAAGAGAAATATAAATGGACAACAAAAATGTTGAAAAATGTTCAAAATCCCTTGTTTTCCTTCTTTATAATTCATTCACTCAGTAAAGAAATTATTGTGTATCCATTATGTACTAGTGTGAGTGACAGCCAGGCTCCTGCTTTTATGGAACTTTTATTATACTTGGGTAAATGATAGTAATCAATTAAGCAGCAAATGATATAAACTTATTAGTTATGTACATTATGAAAAATAATGGAACTGGTCTCAAATTATATATGGAAATACTTATTTTCAAGGATATAAATTCTCTCTTAAACTATGAACAAACAAAATGAACATTATTTTGATCTTTTTGAAGTAGCAAAAGTTATGACAGGCTTCAAATGAAATTAAGTCTCTGTGTCTCAACTATATTATTTGTATTTCTTTGTAGATCAAAGTTTTGACATTCCAGACAGAACTTTTCATTCTACAAATACAACTTGGCGCCTCTCATCTTTTGAATCCATGACTGATGTGAAGGAGCTTATCCCAGAGTTTTTCTATCTTCCTGAGTTCTTAGTCAACCGTGAAGGTACAGAGGCAAATCATTTCTTTTTTTAAAAAATATTTTAGTTATATACGGACACAATATCTTTATTTTGTTTATTTATCTTCATGTGATGCTGAGGATTAAACCCAGAGCCTCACATGTGTGAGGCAAGCGCTCTGTCACTGAGCCACAGCTCCAGCCCCCAGCAGCAAATCACTCCTAACTTGTACTTCTGAGAGAGTGTGATAATGTTTTCATTCCCCCATAATGAAAATAGCTGTACACTGATCTCCTGGAGCTCTGCAGGTGCCAGGGATAGGACCTCCAAAACTGGCCCTGGGCTGCTCCAAGAATGCCTGGGAGCCCTCAGACAGCCCCCATCTCACTCCATGGTAATTTTAAGCCCTCAGTTTATACCTCACATTGTATCATTTCAAAACACTTTCAAAACTGGTGAAAAAAGATCTTTCTACTGTATTCATCTACAATCAAGAAGTAGACAACACTTCGATTGTATAGGGATCTTACTCAGTTTTCAAAAGGTCCTTTTTAATTTTTGTCTGTTATGTTGTTTAGCTTTTCTGTCCATAAAATGTAGCACAAAAACATTTTTATTCAAAGGTATTTCTTTTAGGACGATTTTTTTTTTAAATAAACACTTCCAAGGATTTTTTGGGGCTAATAGACTGAGACAGACAGAGATGATCTCATTCATGTAACAAAAGGATCTTGGTATTCCACGTGCTGGTATCACTTTGTTGGGACAGCAATGCATTGTAGAAATGAAATCAGAACAGATACCTATGAAATTAATAGGCACTCTCAGTTTATTCTAGGATTGCATGTGCTTTATATTGGTTGGGTTTTTCAAAGTACAGTATACTATTTACTAAATATTCTTAAATAATTATAATTCATTAAATAAATTCATTTAAATGTTAATACAAAAATCCCAAAAATGCTTATTTAAAGCTTTAGTTTGTTTTTAATCAAGTTTACAATTGACCAGATGTTTAAGAACTTATCTCATTTGAAGATTTGATTAATGGGAATTTGGAATTTGTGGGCAGTGGTTTTCTACGTTTTCTTCATCTAATATGTGGGTATAAAGTGGTACATGGATCAAGTTGAAAGATCTTAAATTTAATCCGGACAGCATTTATGCACACAGCCCTCTCCGTAAATCAGAAAGTGAGCGAGTAGTCGTGTTTCTTACTGCAAAGGTCAGAGCTTCTAGCTTGGGAATACTCATCCGCTGAGGCCAAGACTCTTGAGACCTGCTTTGTGCGTTGAGTGAAGCATGCTTTGGGAAGTAAACATTGATATTAATCTTCTCGTTTAGGTTTTGATTTTGGTGTGCGTCAGAATGGTGAACGGGTTAATCACGTCAACCTTCCCCCATGGGCACGTAACGATCCTCGCCTTTTTATCCTCATCCACCGGCAGGCTCTAGAGTCTGACCATGTGTCCCAAAACATCTGTCACTGGATTGACTTGGTGTTCGGGTACAAGCAGAAGGGAAAGGCTTCTGTTCAAGCCATCAATGTTTTCCATCCTGCTGTAAGTGACTCTTACAATAATCTGCGCATATGTAAGAGAGAACCTAAATATTTTAGTTATCTGGTAGGCTGTTTCTTTAAAATACCCAACTTATCAAACATAATTGGCAATTATACTGATTTGTTATTATTTTTACCCAAGATTTCTGAGGTTTTATATTTCAACTTTTAAGAAATATCTTAGGTGCATGTTAAAGGTTCCTCCAAACCACCCCCAGGTTCAGTAATTTACTAGGTGGACTTAAGGACTTATCATGCAAATCAGGCTTGTTATGGGGAAGGGTACAATGCAAAATCAGCAAAGGGAAGAGGAACATGGGGCACAGTCTGGGGGAAGCCAGCACGAACCTCCTCCAGTCTCCTCCTGGCGAAGCACAAGAACACACTTCCTCCAGCAACAGGTTGTGATACACGTGAAGTATTGTCTGCCAGGATGCTTGTCAGAGACTGAGCACCAGAGTCTTTCGGGGCTGGTCACACAGAGGCACCATCTGCTTTGCACATGCTGGAGCTCCAGACTCCCAGAGGACAGCAGGTGTTCAGCATGCACAGCGTTGTGCAGTGTAGGCACGGTGGTGGGAAGGCTCTGACTGCCAGGTTCCCAGACACCAGCCACGGGCCGCCTGGCAAGCACATCTTTCCAAGGAGAGCAGTCAGCTTGCCATGTTAACTCTTTTCTGGCACACTCTCCTACGCACATGCTCTGTTTGAAAACAACATCATTTTTCCTCATTACAGAAACACTGCATGTGCCTTGGTAGGAAAATTACAACATGCAGACTGGCAAAAGGAAGAAATTTATAAATAAGGTTTGATGTCACCATCCCAAGAGAAATATGAAAACCATCTTCCAGACTTTTTTCTGTACATTATTCCAGTAGTATAATAATATGAGTATAGTTGGGTACCCTTTTTCTCTCCTGAACAATCAGTCTTAAATTACTCAGATCACTAGATATCATTTCATGTGATTTTTAATGGCTACTTACTACTCCAAAGTATGACTGTGATTTATTTTACCAGTATGCTGTTGGATATTTAGTTAGAAACTGTTTAATATCCTTGAGGTTATTTCTGTGATTTCCTAGAAGTATAATTGTAATACTTTCACGTGTATTTTTTATGTTGTTGGATAGACTAACCTTTTATTTTGAAACTCTTATCTACTCAAGAAACATTTTTTCTTGCTAGCTTTGGGGTGCAGAGGTATTGAGGGTAGATGAGGTTAGGAGGAGAGGTGGGGTAGATAGGTGTACCCTGCTGTGGAAGAGGGGTTCTTCTGAGGCCTGTTTAAGGAAATGTCTCCAGAAGCAGAATGTTTAAAAAGCAATTGATGATGAGAACAATATTTGCTGATGCTGCCTAGGGGTCACTCAGTACAAGTACAGAGATTAACTGTTAATTCACTGCATGTGATGTTTAACCTCATGACTTCCCTAACTTTAAAATCAGCAGGTTGAAGTTGACTGATCTTGGACTTCCCCTCCAACTGTAATTTTCTCTATAGGTTGTGACAAATTTATAAGTGTTTTATAACAAATGTAGCTAAAATGCACAAACAACTCTATACCTATGCTTATTTATGCCAGAGATTCATTCTAAAAAGTAGTCTAAAAATAAAATTCTCTTTAGTCCCTTTTGCTCTGTAATTATTTGGGGCACTACTAAGGTTATATAAAATGAAATTCCTTAAGAGATTTATTGTCTGGAAAAGAGAGTAAGACAGGTTTATTGACTATTCCAATAGAAGATATATGCTTTGGGAAAGTTTATTTTGAAAAAGGAGATAATAATTTTATACAAAATAGTAGTAGAGGAGGAAAAAGACCTTTTCCTTCTACCCATCACTGACTGAGGCTTCTGGAATAAAAAGGTAACAAGAGAAAGGCATTCAGATTTATCTCATTTGAAGTTTATGTGCCATAAGAATGTTAAGAAAATGAAGACCCCAAAAGTGATTAAACCCGGTGTTTTTATGCTGAGTTTAATGGAAAGGGAAGCATGGTGTAGGATAAGATAAAAGAAGTCTGAGCCTCATGCAAGAATCGAGGGGAAATCGGGAGGCCTACTGGCTCCGTCCTCTCTGTGTGTTCTCTACCCTGACTGTGGAGTTCAGGATGCTCTTCCATTTGGAGAGGGGGGGCACCTCTCACAGGAGGGTCTTCTGACCTGCTTCAAGGCAAGGTCAAAAAACCCTTTCTAGGTTTCATGATCAGCTGCAGGGAAGATCAGAGAGTCCTTTCTCTGGCTTAAAACATTTAGTGTGCCTAGCTGCTGTGTTTTGGAATAACATGTCCTGAATCCCACTGAGTATAAAATGAAGGGTTCAGATATAGTTTTTGAGCTTCATTCATATTTGATCCTAAAATACGACTGACTTTTACAGCAGTTAGGAACTTTTGTACCTTTTCAATTATTCTTAAATAAAATCACATTAAAAGTACCTGGAAAAAACCTATCTGAAGGCTGAAGCTGCAAGGAAGTTTTCACCTGACTAGGAGGTTTTTCACTAATTCATTGGGTCTTCAGTATTTGTAAAAGGATAATGTTTATACTGTTTTTCTAGGGGCTGAATAACATTCAGCTCATGGGGTGATGTAGTGGTTAAGTGCATAGTCTGAATTCAGAATTGAGTTCAGATCCCCACTCTGACTCTACCACTTGTGGGACCACTTAGGCAGATGGCTTAACCTCTCTGTACCTAAATGTGTACTTTTATAAAGTGTGAATCACAATAACAACCTCTTATGGGAGGAATCAAATTCATATTAGGATAATGGCTACCATACAATTAAATACAAATAAATGTTGACTTTTCCAAAAGACATATAGAAACACCTTTTACCTTCCTTAATTCATCATTCATAATTATTCAGGGTTCTCTTAGAAACTTATAGCACCAAATGTAAAGAAGCAGTATTGTAAAATAAATTTGAAAGGAGCTCATCAGATTTTTTGAGTACATACAGTCAGGCAGCCCTGTGAATGGCTCTAGTTCAACAGGCATTTGCAATGACTATTGGTCCCTGATGCTGGGGGTAGAGAGTGAGGGCAGTAAAGATGAAGATTGTTTAACTTGAAGTGTTTTGGCATTTTATTTTGGTGCTTATAGAAATGCTATTACCCAGATATGTAAATTAAAGTCAGCTGTGACTGGCTTAATGCCAAAAGCTAGACTGTCCACGTGGGTATGCACAACATGAGACAGGTCTGTGGCCAGCTGCCAGCTTTGGATGTGAAGGAGTGAATACATAGCACCTCCACCTGACCTCAAAGTGTGGCCACCCAAGAAACACAAAATAGCACCCCTTCCGTCAACAGGCTTGGAGCTTTCATTGCTACTCACCAGGGGCCACTTGCAATTTTCATTGTATTTTAACTTCAGTTATTCCTTTTATTATATATTACTTTGGACAGCAACTTCTTTAGTAGTTTCATATTATACATGAAATCTTGTACGATATTCTCAGGCATTAAATTTAAATTGTTTTATTAACAAACCTAGTTAGCATCAAATAAGATACATTGTTTTTAATTCACTCACTTAGAGACATTGATTATTCCTATTCTGATCTCAGACCATTAATAGGTAGCTAACCTGATTAAATCATTTGCATTTGAAATAGAGAGGAGCAAGCCATTGTCTAAAGAATAAAACCAATGTGGTTTCCCTTTGTCACCAAGCCAAGTCTTGCTCATCGGATGTCTTATGCTCTTTTGCTCTTTCACCCTGCAGACGTATTTTGGAATGGATGTCTCTGCAGTTGAAGATCCAGTTCAGAGACGAGCCCTAGAGACCATGATAAAAACCTATGGGCAGACCCCTCGTCAGCTGTTCCACACAGCCCATGCCAATAGACCTGGAGCCAAACTCAACATTGAAGGAGAACTTCCAGCTGCTGTGGGGCTGTTAGTACAGTTTGCTTTCAGGGAGACCCGGGAGCAGGTCAAAGAAATTACCTGTCCGGTATGTCACTCATATTTTAGTAGAATTCAGCAAAACCTGATGGGACTCCTATGGTTCTATGCCCTCATGTGGGCTCTGGAGGCCCAGAAATGAATAGGCGTGGTCTTGGGTGTGAACAGCCCTGCAAGAAGGCTCAGGCAGCTAAAGCAGTATCCTATGTGTGGTAAATGCTGTGCCACTGAGAGAAAAAGAGTGCCTTCAAGCTCAGAGGGAAAGAATTGGTCATGTCAGACTATGGCCTCCCTTGGGGAAGACAAAGAAGGGTTATTACGAGGGAAACCCTCCCAGGGTGCGACACATAGGAAGAGGAGAGGAGCCCTCAATACTGGCGTACAGTGACACATGAGGATGCCCGTGGAACACACAATCTGGGCCTGGTTGTCATCTTAAGCCATAAGCTTAAGGGCTGGCATGGGGCTCAGTGGTAGAACCCCGCCTAGCACGCCCTCAGTCTTGAGTTCAAGCTTCAGCACCACCACAACAAAAAAGAGCACTGGCCAGAGGTGTGACTGTTTTGGTTTACACTTGCTGGGGAACTTTACAAATTTCTTGGGCCTCCCAAATTGTAATGATAAAAAGTATAGCCTCTGATAATAGGAAGTAGATATAATTTTTCTTTGAAATAGAAAAATCAAGCAAGCCTTAATCTTCAATTAAGTTATTCATATAAAAGCAGTAGAAGAGGTTAGAACGTGAACTGTAGAGTGCTGCAAGAGTTTGCAGGAGGCCAGTGGAAGTAAGACAGTCGGGGAAGGGACCTTAGAGAGGGATTAGCAGTGGCTCTCAGCTACAGGGAGCTGTGCCCGTTTTCAGAGAAAAAGATTTCCACAAACCTTGTTTTGACAGATTTATATAATAATATGGCTCAAATATATCTGCATACTAGAAATAAACTCTTTATGCTCATATATGTCAAATGTGCATGTTAAATGCAAACAAACTCATTAAACTATTAAGATTCAATTATAAATCATTAATATGTTGGGCATTCTTGTTTTGCTAAAACCAAATCACAATGTTGTTTTTCATGTTAAAAAGGCATATTTTTATTTTGTGTTTTTGAAGCTTTACAAATCATTACCATAGTTGCTATTTTTAACAATAATCCATTGCTTTTTCTTGTCAAAATAATTTAACAATAGGTATCTTAAAATTATAAATGCCACCTAATTTACTACTGTACTTATTGTTAATGAGCCATCTTAAGTTGACCTACATATGGAAATTTGGCAGTGTGTCTAATGGCAGTGGGATGTGTTACCAACTTGCCTCGTTGCCACCTCAGGACCTTCATGCTGTCTGTCCTCCCCCCGGAAGGACCAATCCCAGATGGATCCAGGTTGGCCCTCACTGCACTCAGGTCTCTGCCCCAGCATTCCTGTTTTTCCAACCCTAGTATCTAAAACATCAGCTCTGTCATTCTGCCTCCCCTTCTTGTTTTGCTCCATGGCACACACTGTCTGTATCTATTGACTCTCTGTCCCCCACAGCCCTACTTGATGGAAACTCCATGGAAAAGGACTTTGTCTTGCTCATTACAGTATTTTCAGCTCCTAGGATGGTGCCTGACAGACAGTCATTATTTTTCAAAATAATGTCTTCTCAGTTGCAAGTTCTTTAGAGTTTGGCTTGTCCGTACTTCTGGCTGACATGTCATGCATTTAGGCCACTACTTCTCTATATTTGAAGCATTGTGAAAGCTTCCTCAGGGTCTCTCCTTGGCCCTCAGGTGGTGTCTGCATAGAGTTCAGACCTAAGCCACCAGCTCTGAAACCCAGTCCTTGGACTTACGGGGATCAGCCAGATGACCTGTCACTTCTGTGGATTTCAGTTCATTGTGATAGTTAAAAACAACCAGAGCTAGATGAGAAGCATTTCAGTAAAGTGTTCTTCCTTCTTGCTGACTCTGACATAAAGCAGTTGCCATGTATCTTTGCATGTAATTGAAAAACAAAAGTTTAAACTCTGCGATTCACAAGAAAGGATTCTTGAGGCAAGGAGTTATGAGTGATAAAGCATAACTAGAACTTAGCACCACTTTTTCTCAGTTTCAGCATTCATAGGCTAAAGACTTAGAAAAGAGAGCTTAGTTGGTTGCAGTGGCACACACCTGTAATCCCAGTGATTTAGAAGATTGAGACAGGAGGATTGCAAGTTCAAGGCCAACATCAGCAACTTAGCAAGACTCTGTCTCAAAATAAAAAATAAGAAGGACTGGGGATATAGCTTAGTGATAGAGCACTTGCTACTACTATGCATGAGGCCATGGGTTTGGTCCCCAACACCAAAAAAAAAGAAAAAAGAGAGGTTCTCAGAATACCTGATGTTGACCTCCCAGTCCTAGTGTGAGCATTTCTGAAGCTCCTCAGCTTTCCCAGGGATGTTCACTGTTTCCAGACCACTGGATGCCACTTAAAACTATATATTAAGCTGGGCGTGGCAGCCTGTGTCTGTTGTCCCAGTTATTGAGAGGCGGAGAAGGGAAGGAGTTGGAGACCTGCCTAGGCAGCACAGTGAGACCCGATCTCAAAACAAACACTCTGCCCCAGTAATGGCCCAACAGAAGAAGCAGAACTCTGACTGCTGTGCCTTTTTTAAAGAAGAGAGTCTGTAGGTCAGTGATGCCTGATTTTTCATTCATTTGGAAAATAACATAAATAAATTTATTTATTGAAGATATTTATAGGTATTGTGTATGTGTGTGTGTGTGTGTAAATTACTGAAACTTGCTTAGTATGTTATTTCTATTAGATTTACATTTGAAAAGTTGAAAGCAAAACAACTAAACTTGTAAATGTTTAAAAAACCATTGAAAAATAAAAGATTAATAGAGTCTAAAACAATAAAAGAAAAGACCATGGAAAGAGCAGAATTTTTGGGAGAGATACTAAAAGGGCCTGGTTCTTCCCCTTTTTGTTTTTCCTCTCAACTCTGGTTTTCACTAAAAATAGAGGAAGTATTTCAGTCACTATTCACGCGCAGGCACTAGTGTTCCCCCTCAACATCTTCCCTATACCCTTCCTTTCTTTGAGCCCACCTCTTCTGCTCTGGGGTAACTCTGATTCTCTAGAACTTCTTAGCACTTTCTGGAGGACTGGGTGCTCTAGTCCCTTCCATGTGCTGTGCTGATAAGCCCTTCCATTCAGTCACAAGCATCCACTGAGGGACTGATCCCAGGCACATGGAGAAGTCCATGGTGGCCCCTTTCTTCCAGGAGCTCACAGTTGAGTGAGCTTGTCTGTGCCACATGTGGTCTTAATTTGTAGCTTTCATATGTACTTTTGGCTTATCTTCCACATTACAGTCCCCTATAGGCATCCACTTCAGCTTAGGTATTTCAGCTAACCTGAAAGAAATATGCCTTAGTAAACTTTTTTTTCTCCTCTGCTCAAATTTCAAGGGATTTTGAATTTTTAGCCAGAAATTTTCATGCAGGCTGGGCTAGATAAGGAAATAAGGAACGTGTTCAAATAAAGAACGTGTTCTTATATGCTAAACATAGGGAAGTAAAAATATGTAAAATACTTCTTGTCCTCAAAGAACTTATGATCAGATTGTTTTCCTTGTTTAGGATTTAAATTAGAAGTAATTTCTGTATTTACTATATTTAAAAAAAAATCACACTTTTCGTTTTCCTTGGTTGTAGAGCCCTTTGTCATGGATTAAAGGCTTAAAGTGGGGAGAGTATGTGGGCTCCCCCAGCGCTCCTGTGCCTGTGGTCTGCTTTAGCCAGCCCCATGGAGAACGGTTCGGTTCTCTCCAGGCTCTGCCCACCAGAGCAATCTGTGGTTTGTCCCGAAATTTCTGTCTTCTGATGACTTACAGCAAGGAACAAGGTAAAATAAAACAATGAAAATCATTCTGGGGACATCTTTCATTAGAATGTTTCCAGCTCACCTATGCTGCTGTTTTGTGTGACTTCTAAAGTTTTCTCCATCCTTGGTGGAAAACTCTGCTTGTGTATGTAGTTACTTAATGTAACATATGAAAAACATGAAAATTAAATGCAGTCCCATTTAAAATGAAAGGAGGAGTTGGAAAGAGATGAAGATAGATGGTCATGCTCACAGGATGAAAGTGTTACCAATTTGATAGAAATGTTCACTTTGAGCCTCTTAAACCCCCACAGTAGACAGATGTATTTAAAAGACAAATCTCAAACCTCAGAAGATGGAGCCACAAGTTTAAACCACAAGCAAAATAAAACAAAGGAATTAGGAGAGCCATGGAAGTAGGCTTTGAGACATGAATGCATGAAAATCAGGGCTTTTCTGATTCCCCAGTGCCAACTTAGTGACAGTGACACATGAAGAGTGCTGTGTAGCAGGACCCATTTGTGTGTCAAATGTCACCTAGATAAGGAGGAAGTAGGACATTCTCCACTAAGCAGTCCCTCAATCCTTCCATATTGACTGTTTCATTAGATGCAAAAAATATTCCCCACCTATGAGGCCGAGGCGTGAGCTCTGAAATGACTGAGGACAGTGACTCATGACGGGCTGTATACAGACTTACCTGGAAGCCAGCCTGTGACCCAATGCCCTTGGCAGGTAGCACTGTTAGCATTTAACCTTACCTTCCATGCACAGTGCTCCTCGGGGAAGTCCTGCTCGCAACCTTCCCCAGCATCATGTACAAGGGTGCCAGCACCCAGGCCGAACAGGCCACCTGAAGAAGTTACGTGTGCCTAATGGTCCATGGTTCTTTCAGGCTCACTCTTATTCTTTCACAGAATGAAGGATAGTTCTCATAGTTGCTGGGAATAGGGAGCATGCATACCATTTCATCTCAGTTTAGCAAGTTAGGACAAGTTCAGTCTACTTAATTGAAATGCCTGGGATGTCAGTGGTTTATTCTCACTAGTGTATTATAAATAATTATGAGGCAATGTAACTAATCACTGCTAATAAGGTTTAAAATACTAAGATGTGTAAATTATTTACCTTTAAAGAAATTAGAGTGCACCGGGGTTTATCTCTATTAGTATTATCACTTAGCATTATTGGATATAGATGTTTCCCATATAATTCTCAACCTATCTTATTTATGCCACTGTAGTCCCAGGCTCTCAGTGTGTTTCCTCAATAGCTGTGTTCACTCAAATTACACTTGACTTCCCCACACACTATATTTTGGATTTGTTAGCACCTTGATGTGTGCAGAGAAGTGCGTCCAGCTAAGAGCTCTGGAAGCACAGAGCCCAGAGTTTGTGCCCAGCTTTGCTAATTACTCAATATTTTTCACATCCTGGCTTTTAGCCTATAAAATGGGGGAAGTAAAATTTCTTCTGTCCCAGAGTAATTTACTGTGAAGATTCAAAGAAATAATGCACAGGAATGATTAGCACAGGGCATGGCTCATCCTAAGTGTTTAGTAAGTGGCCATCAGACACTGGATACCCTGGGCCAAGGACTCTCAGTGTCATTGCATGAACCTGACACATAACAGTCCACATAGACATTCCAGAGGCCATTTACTGAGAGGGACTGCAGCCTGCAAGTGAAAGTTAGGGGGCCTAATCACAGCTGGACACACTCAGCACTGACATGAAAAAGCTCTGAGATTTTGCTTAGTTATACGTGTAACCAATGGCAGCTAACTGAGATGGTTTTAATGATCTTAAGCCAGTTTCTTGAAAACTGTGCCTCAGAATTGTCTGAAGTGCTTTTTCCACAGCTCTGGCTTGGGTCCCCCTCGGGCACCCTGCATCAGCATTGGAATTTCTGGGTCTAAGCCTACAGGTGCTGAAAAAACAGTTTCCTTGGAAAGTCTTTTTAAGATTCGCTGCTGTGTTAGGTGAAATTTGTTTTCTAAAGAGAGAAAACTTGTCAATGAGAAACTTGGTTACTTGGGCACCTGCCACAGGCTGGGCGTTCTAGTAGATAATGAGAGGACACAAGTCTTAGGATAGGGCGCTCCTTTCTCTAGCAGCTCATATTCAGAGGAGCTGAATATAAGTATATCCCAATTCCTTTGTTGTGAAACTGATGCCTATATTTGGTTACTAAACCTACAAAACAAAAAGAAATCTGTGAATTGTATTTTCAATGTATTGTTGATTCATTCAAGAACTGTTTGTGCTGTCCACATGCTAGGAGTCCTGCGGAAGACTAGAGTGCATGGAGCACTTCTCTCTTCCTGAAATCCCTCAAACTAGTTTTAAAGCACTGTAGGTTTCAAGGACAGTCCCATGTACAGCATTCATGCTGTGTTTACCATTATAGCAACAAACTGTGAATTACAAACAGTACTGAGAAAAGAGTTCACAATTTCTAGATCTTTTGCCAAAAGCGCTCAATACTATGTTGTTAAAGTAGAAGAGAAGAGAAGCCCCTAAAATGAAGGGCTGCCGTGTTTCATGCTGCAGCTGACAGGGTCACATCCCCTCCCTGGATAGAAGGGTCTTTTCTCCTAGCAAAGTTCTCCTTCTAACATTAAAAGCTTTTATACTGACCTTTCCACACTGGCATTTAGAAAGTTATTTAAGTAGTTTGCCTTTGTTGTTGTTTTTTTAGGAATGGTATCTCAGAACATGAATCAAGTGCAATTGATAATCATTGTGTTTTATAAAAACTTCTTTAGCCTTTAACCTGCTTTTGGGGGGGGCTGTCACATAACTACTGAGAAGTGACAGTTTGATACTTTTCTTTCTCCTCTCCCTGGAGGTGTGAGAAGCATGAACAGTACTGACATTCAGTGGTCGGCCATCCTGAGCTGGGGGTATGCTGACAATATCTTAAGGTTGAAGAGTAAGCAAAGTGAGCCACCAGTGAACTTCATACAGAGCTCACAGCAGTACCAGGTAAACCATTCTGTGGAACACTTTATAGTGATTAAATACCATGCTTTCCAAAGGAGCCAGAGCACAGCAGCTTGTTTAGATATCCTTAAGTAGTGTTGTTGAGGAATTGGTGTCTGCCCTGTTCTTTGAACTGTACCCACTATTGTTCTCCATCCACTTCCTTGTTGAGAGGGTTATCATAATGGCCTGTGAGCAGAACTGGCACTGCTTTCTTCCCTGTTCACTTGCCTTTGTCACTAGGTCATTTACTTTAACCATAGCGCCATCTTGGTCACCTGACTTTTCCTAAGTGGACTGGGCACTCAGCATGGTGAAGTAGCAGAATACTGGGCCTCAGGCCCTGTGATCTGCTCTGGATTCCTGGCTTTCTTATTTTTTAACCATGTAGTCTTTGGCATATGACTCAGCCTTTCCAAGCTGGGGTGTCTTTCTTCTTCTTTAAAACTGGGAGAGTAGTACTCATGCTACCCTTAAAGAGCAGTTATGAAAACATTTCCAACATTTGAAGTTTGTCAACTGTAACTGTCGTGTAGACGCGTAGCACTGCTGCAGCTGCCGTAGGCTCTGACTGAGCGCACAGTCTCCCTTCTCTGTCTGTGGGAAGTTCTCCTACCGTTCTCTCATCCATCCTCTAGGCAACAAGACTGTTCCTATGCCCTAGGATGTCCTGCATTCCCTGAGCTCTTTAGGGACAGGGTGAGCTACTGTGGGGAAGTTTCTGGTGGTGGAGCAAGGGGAGCAGAGACTGGTTGGCATAAGCTGAGAGGATGTCACCCTTTGCTTTCTGGTTTTCCAGTAAGCTGACAAGCAAAGAGGAAAGGAACCGTGAAAAATTAATTTTAATAAGAATTAATTAATTTTAATAATTAATTCTTATTAAAATTAATTTTAATAAGAATTCTTTTTAGTTTTGAAACATATCAGCTACATTTATCAAAGCATTTGATGCAGACAGAGATATATGTCTGAATACAAGCAATTTATCACCATAAATCATCACAGAGCTGGCATGAGAATGAGCTGGCACTGGAAACACAGAATCTACTGAGGAGTAAGCATGCGTGTCTCACTGACTCCTTTTTGGAACTGTTATGGATGGGGGTGAAGAGCGAAACACAGGCACAGTGGGAGTGAGATGTGTTTTGCATTGACATGATTAGATTATGACCAGGTGCATCTCCCTGCTGACAACAGTTATCTGGATTTACAATCTAGACTTTCCAGGGAGAAGGTGAAGAAGAGCAAATGAAATCTTCAAATCTTCATCACCATTAACTGAATGCTAAAGCAAAGACACTTACCATGATTTTTCAGTCAAAATCTTTATGCCTTCTATTACTAGGAATTCCTTCTACTTGTTTAAGAGTTGGCTATTACTGATTAACTCATTAGGTAGACTTAATATGAAGAAAGGACAAAGAAGCAATGACCTTAAGCTTTTCAATTCACTGATATGTCTTATTCAGTACAAAGACAAGTGTTTATCAAACTGTTTTTGAAGGTTGTTTTAAATATAGATCTTGTTTTTATATTTTTTCCAGCTTTATTGAAGTGTAATTGATAAATAAAACATATTTATGTTTAAGGTACACAACGTGATGTTTTGATACACTTTATGAAGTGATTACCACAATTAATTTATGTGTAAGATGGGAACATTTTAAGATGTACTGAACTAATTCCAAGTACGTAATGAAGTCCTGCTCACTGCAGACCCCATGGCGCACACCACGCCTCCAGAGCTCTGTCATCCTGGACAGCCAAGCCTCTGTCCCCTTCAGCCAGGGTGACCGTCTTCCCACCCCAGCCCTGGCGACCGTACTTCTACTCTCTGCTGCCACAAGCTCAACTCTTTTAGAATCCACAACATCTTGTAGTATTTGTCTTTCTGTGTTCCGTGTGTGTGTGTGTGTGTGTGTGTAATATTATATAATGGTATATATATCATATGATATATATTATTTGTGTCATGTAAAATTTGGTAAACAAACACCATAAAAGATGAGCAAATACTCTCCTAAGTCTTTTTAACAAAAAGGGATGGTCCAGATTCTTGTTGTAAAATATTGCATGATCAAGTATTTCCAGTGAATTGACAAACGGGTCAGGAGACCACACTTCATTTTATCTTTAGAGTATGTTGTTTGCAGACTCAACTCAAAGTGGAACAAGGACCTAGGAATTAGTCCAGAGACCCTGCACCTAATAGAAGAAAAATAGGCCCAATTCTTCATGTTGGATTAGGCCCTGAATTCCTTAACAAGACTCCTAAAGCACAAGAAATAAAATCAAGAATCAATAAAGGATGGATTCAAACTGAAAAGCTTCTTCTCAGCAAAAGAAACAGTGAGGTGAATAGAGCCTACAGAATGGGAGCAAATTCTTACCATACACACATCAGAAAGAGCATGTTCCAGGATATATAAAGAACTCAAAAAACTAACACCAAAAACACAAATCACCCAATCAATAAATGGGCCAAGGAACTGAACAGACACTTCTCACAAGATGATATATGATCAATCACAAATATATGAAAAAATGTTCAACGTCTCTAGTAATTAGAGAAATGCAAATCAAAACTACTCTAAGATTTCATCTCACTCCAGTCAGAATGGCAGCTATTAAGAATACAAACAATAAGAACAGTTGACGAGGATGTAGGGAGAAAGGAACGCTCATTCATTGTTGGTGGGACTGCAAATTGGTGTAGCCAATATGGAAATCAGATTCCTTGTAAAACTTGGAATGGAACCACCATTTGACCCAGCTATCCCACTACTTGGTTTATACCCAAAGGACTTAAAAACAGCATACTACAGGGGCACAGCCACATCAATGTTTATAGCAGCACAATTCATAATAGCTAAATTGTGGAACCAACCTAGATGCCCTTCAATAGAGGAATGGATAAAGAAACTGGTATACATATACAATGGAATATTACTCAGCATTAAAAGAGAATAAAGTCATGGCATTTGCATGTAAATGGATTGAGTTGGAGAATATCATGCTAAGTGAAGCAAGCCAATCCCAAAAACCCAAAGGCCAAGAGACTGGGATTGTGGCTCAGCGGTAGAGTGCTCACCTAGCACATATGAGGCGCTGGGTTTGATCGTCAACACCACATAAAAATAATAAAATATTATTAATAATAATAAAATAAAGGTATTGTGTTCAACTACAACCAAAAATATATACATATCAAAAAAAAAATAAAGGCCGAATGTTTTCTCTGATATTTGGATGCTAATCCATGGGGATGGCGGGGGTGGGAGGAATGGAGGAACTTTAGATAGGGCAAAGGGAAGGGAGGGAAGGAAAGGCAGTGGAATGAGACGGACGTGATTACCCTAAGTAGATGTATGAAGACACGAATGGTGTGACTCTACTTTGTGTACAAACAGAGACATGAAAAATTGTGCTCTATATGTGTACTATGAATTGAAATGCATTCTCCTGTCATGTATAACAAATTAGAATAAATAAATTTTTAAAAAAATAGATATGCTGTTTGCTCATTTGTTCTTCAGTTTGAAAAATTCATCTAGAATACCACCATATGGAGACTCACTCTGAGATCTGACTTAGGTGATCACTCTCATCACTGCCGAGAATCTAGGGCGTTGCTGGCACCTTGCCCTCATCTTGTGATTAGTCTCCTAACTGTAAGAGGCTTCTTTCTCTTTCACTTTCCTTCTCTTTGTTGTTACTGGTAGAAAATGAAAAATTCTGATTTCTTAGCTTTTCAGTGAAAGCCAAAAGCAGACTCCAGAAATGGTGTGTCCACCTTCCTTTGTGCCTTCTTGAAAGATCACTCTGTACTTTGGACAATGCAGTAAGGAAACCAAAAGATGGCACAGTTTATTTCCCTCATTGTGTTATCCTTCTAGGAGATCACTCCATCATCTCTAATTTTGTTCTTATGTTTTTAGCATAGTTAGGAATAACTGATGAGTAGTGACAAAATGATTCCTAGAACAATGAAATAGCAAAATGTTTCAAGATTTAGGAAAAATAAGATCACAGTCCTTTTAGGTTTAGAAAATACTTCAGTGGATCAGTATGGTAATTGTAAGAGAATGAGTTTTCTTATATACATTTATAATACATGTTTTATTCTCTATGTGTGTGCATATATATATGACATATCTCACACACACACACACACACACACACATACACACACACATATGATTTGTGTTTGTTTGTTTAAGGATTAAACCCAGAGGTGTGCTACCACTGGGCTGCATTTCCAACCCTTTTTATTTTTATTTTGAAACAAGGTCCCAATAAAGTTGCCCAGGCTGGCCTCTAACTTGTGATCCTCCTGCCTCAGTGTCCTAAATATCTGAGATGATGGGCTTGCACCACCACACCCAGCTATTCTCTATATTTTTTAAAGTAAATTTCTTTGAAAGAATAAAATTTATTAGGTAGCAGTACTTACAAATAGTTACAACTAGTGAAGAAAGAAACTCAAAAAATAAAAGTGGATCCAATGGATCCATAATTTATTATGAGTAAAGAAGAATCATGATCAAAGAAAGTAATTTTCTAATGTAGCAGAGACTTAAACATTTTTGTAGGTCCAAGAATAGATGGTTTGAAGATATAAGGACCAGTGTTCTGTTGTGGGTCTAGACAGGGATTGGAGGTCAGAAGAGGAATAGGCAGTAGGTAGCTGATGACCTCCATCTTCTTAGTGAAGTGGGGAGGGACTATGGGCTGCAGCAGAGGTGCCCTGGGGGCAGAGCATTTGCAGTCAGAGGCTGTGGATAGGGCAGTGGGTGTCAGCTGGGGCCCACAGGAGGCCTGTCCAGCTACGTGGGGAACCCAGCTGAGCTTGAATGGTACCTTCTCAGCTGGGACTGAAGAATTTTGCACCAAAAGAGTGACCCCAGCTTCTCTGCTTCATGATTATGTTTACTTCTTCTCCTACTCAAGGGCATTTAGGACTGGCAGAATCGAAGCCTTTGTTGAATATACTTTGTTCTCCACCAGAAAAGAAGAGGGGAGAGCTGTGTGAAAGTGAAAGCTGACCACTGTGAGACTCACACATGCACTCACGTTCAAACTGGGGTCTGACCTCTCCTAGACCATTTAGCTGAGCTGCTGGGGAACAGATGACCTCAGGGGCCTTGTAATACCTTTTGATCTGGAAACAATTTTTAAATGTTTGGTTTAAAGTTACAGAAAGTGCTATTATATCTGGCACCTGCCCCATCTTCTCAAGTAAAACATTTACCTGGAATTTTGTGATTGTGTAATTTTTAAAATAGCTGTGAGAAATAGAAGTACTTCTCACAATTTGAAGATGTTACATTCTTTGATTTGTCCTTTTTGAAGGTGACTAGTTGTGCTTGGGTACCTGACGGTTGCCAGCTCTTCACTGGGAGCAAGTGCGGTGTGATCACGGCCTACACGAACAGATTCACCAGTAGCACGGTAGGTCCTGGGCCCTCCTGTCAGGGCAGGAAAGTGGCTTTCATTTTCCCACACCAGTTCTTAAAATGTGAAAAGTCACATATCTAAATCTTTAGATTTAGGTTTATAATGATTTTCAGGGGGGAAGACGGCCAGTGTCTCATTGGGGAGTTCTTCTGCCAGAGGAATCCAAGCCCCCCTAAATAGCCACCCTAAATCTTAATATCTCAAATAATTAACAAATAACAAAACACAAACACTCAGAGGTACATTATGAAGACAAACAACAATAAGTATTGGCGAGGATGTGGGGAAAAAGGCACGCTCATATACTGCTGGTGGGACTGCAAGTTGGTGCAGCCCATATGGAAAGCAGTATGAGATTCCTTGGAAAACTGGGAATGGAACCACCATTTGACCCAGCTATCCCTTTCCTCAGTCTATACCCAAAGGACCAAAGGCCTTAACTACAGGATATAGCCACATCAATTTTTATAGCAGCACAATTCACAATAGCTAAACTGTGGAACCAATCTAGATTCCCTTCAGTAGAAAAATAGATTAAAAAATGTGGCATATATACCAATGGAATATTACTCAGCAATAAAAGAGAATAAAATCATGGCATTTGTAGGTAAATGGATGGAGTTGGAGAAGATAATGCTAAGTGAAGTTAGTCAATCCCAAAAAACCAAATACCAAATGTTTTCTTCGATACAGGAGGCTGATTCATAGTGGAGCGGGAGCATAGGGAGCGGAAGCATGGGAGGAATAGACAAACTCTAGATAGGGCAGAGAGGTGGGAGTGGAATGGAGGGGGCATGGGATTAGATATTATGGTGGATTGTAATAGACATTATTATCCAGAGTACATGTATGAAGACATGAATGGGTGTGAATATACTTTGTATACAACCAGAGATATAAAAAATTTTGCTCTATATGTGTAATAAGAATTGTAATGCATTCCGCTGTAATAAATAAATTTTAAAAATTAATTTTAAAAAAGGCAAGGGTAAGGTTTCATGGGCGGAGCCTTGCAGTCAGCAGGTTGATTGACATCTTGGCAGGTCACACCCATCTCAGGCACTGTGTGGGATCTTAGGCAGAGCTTGAGAGGGAAGAGGGAAGCTCACCTGGGCAGTCAGTACCTATAGGGAGTGCCACAGGGAGTTCCCAGTGCCAGACTTATCCCCTCAGGAGGTTACTGTGCGCAACATGGTCCACACACAACCCACAGATGGCTGGTGACAATGATCATGAAAAAATTTGGAAATAATTGTATAGGCTCTTGCTCTTTAGTTTCAAAGACAAATAGCATTTTGAGTTATGATCTGTTTTGTGTCTAGGGTTTGTCATGACATTGGAAGCTTGCCTGCCTTCTCAGTGCCTACCTGAATGCTTAGGAAGGGTGATCACATTTGAAAGCTTAGAAACCCTAGTGTTAAGCATTCCCATTCTCTCTGGATAAATTTTTATTACTTAATGGAAGAAACATGTTTTAAGCCCTTCACTGAACTTCCAAGATACGTAGCTGCTCTTAAGTGACTCCCACTAATTACACTTTTCTCAGTTATATTATAAAATATATTTTGCTGGGTGAAACCTGTAAAGTAGTATAGAGTGACTTCCAGGTTCTTCTTACTTTATCTGTGCTTGTTCCATTTTAATCCCTTGTTTCTTTGCCGTGATCCCCTGGGGTATAAAGGTAATAATATTGCTTCTGTCTCGGAACCTAAGGAGCCATTAAAATGTTCTCAGCAGGAGTGATAGACCCAGTTGGCCTCTTAGGGAGACCTGAGTAGAGTCTGCAAGGGGTATCCCTTCCAGGGTGAGAGACCAGGACACAGTGGTGCAGGCAGCATGTGAGGGGATAGACAGCAGAGTTCGTGCTTCAAGACAGGAGAGGAGCCATCCAGTGGCCGGGAGCCTGACTTGGGCTGGGTCTTGAAGGGTGATTTCCTACATGGAGAGGAGATAACATTTTGGCACATGAACCAGCTCCCACAGTGGCATGGAGTCAAGGCCTGGTGATTTGGAGGGTGGCAAATAGTTTTCTGTATGGAGTATAACATGTAAGGAGGGCATGGCTAAACAGGGCAGAAGTGAGCTGAGCCAGGGGTCAGGGTCCTGTGTGACAGGAACAGATGCTAAGGAACCTGAGCAGAGGAAGGCCATAACTTGTGGAATGTCTGCTTCGTCTCGCTTTTACTCCCAAAAGGTCTAAAATGGCTTTCACCCTGTGCATCTTGAATATCTACAGCAGCCAGCACCTTTAGCCTCTGAGCTCACCCTCCTGTTTGTGTTTCCTGCAAATCTACTCCAAAATCTGCCACAGGGGCAGAGGTGTGCTGTGCACTCAAGTCACTGTATAGCTGGGTACCTTTTTAAAAACTGGCTTTATCCTTTGCTCTTTATCTCCACTTGCTTTTGTCAACGCTTTGAACAGCCTTGCTCTTGGTTTTCCTTATTTCTGTATTTTTTTAAATATTTATTTATTTATTTATTTTTAGTTTTAAGTGGACACAATATCTTTATTTTACATTTATGTGGTGCTGAGGATCGAACCCAGTGCCTCGAGCATGCTAGGCTCTACCACTGAGCCACAACCCCAGCCAGCACAAGATCAGTAACTCTTGCAGTCAGTTTAAAGCACAGTTTATACAATTACCAGATACACTCCATGGGCCCTGTGTTGTATTTGCCCCATGACTGTCATTCATGTCACAGAGTGAAAAGTGGAGAAGAGCTCAGTAAGTTTGTACTTTTAGGTTCCTTCTGACATATTTTTTTACAAAAATGAATGAGAATAATATTGTTATAAAACTTGAGGAAAATACTGGCCCTAGAGGCCAAACTTGCAGCTTGTCAAGTAGAACACTAACCTCCTTCAGTTTTGAATTTGAGGCAGCTAATTAATCTGTACTCAGAGTAGTTGTTCTCTTTAAAAATGGGGTTGTGGCTCAGTGGTAGCGAGATTGCCTAGCATGTGTGAGGCCCTGGGTTTGATTCTCAGCACCTCAAGTAAATGAATAAAATAAATAAAGGCCCATTGACAACTAAAAAATATTTTTTCTGAGATACTAAAGAAAAATAAAGTAAATATGAGAAAAAAAAATTATAGAAATAAAATAATTAAAATAATAGCTTATATTTACTTAATGCTTACTTGGTATCAGCTCTTTACATATTCCAACATGTTGAATCTTCTTTCCAGTCCTTGGATGAAGTTTTCTTTATCATCCCATTTTCAGATGAGATTCCTGAAACACAGAGTTGATGTCTTGTAACTTCACCAAGGTGTCACAGCCAGTTCATTGTAATGACCAGGTCAACAGCAGGTTACAGAACTGATGAACTGGAGGACAGATCTGAAAAAGTTACACAGAATGTAACACAGAGAAAGAGAAAAGATGAGAGAAGAAGGAGTAGAGAGGTGAGAATGAGCAGGTCCAGAGGTGGCAGGTAGTTACAGAAAGAGAGACTAGAGAAAGGCAGAATTAGAGGAGGTGTGACTGAAAAGCTTCCAGAATTAAAACTCAAATTTTGATTGCTGAATCACAGTAGTTCACATGGATGAATAAAAAATGAGTCAATCCTGTCTTCTCCAGAGGTAATACATATATATGTATATTAATAGACATATACTTAAGGATATATATCATATATATGTAATTACCCATGCTGGCCTTGAACTTGTGATATTCCTGCCTCAGCCTCCCATATATAATATATATGTATATACATTATATGAAAGACTAATACATACATACATATATTAATGTATACTTAATATGTATCTCTATTATGTTTATATTATCAATATACTTATATATACATATATGTATATTAATATATTTATAATATATGCATGTATGTATTAGCCTTAAAAGTATCAAGGAGTGGGCATGTTTGCACACACCTGCAATCCCAGCTGCGTGGGAAGCTGAGGCAGGAGGATCTCAAGTTTGAGGCCAGCCGGTACAACTGACACCCTGTCTCGACATGAAAAACAAAGGACTGGGGCTGGGGCTCAGTGGAAGAGCACTTGCCTAGCATGTGTCAGGCACTGGGTTCGATCCCCAGTACCACATAAAAATAAATGAATAAAATAAAGGTTCATCAACATCTAAAAAAAATATTTAAAAAAAAAATGAAAAACAAAAAGGATTGAGATCCAGGTGCAGTGGCACACACCTGTGATCCCAGTGGCTTGGGAGGCTGAGGCAGGAGGATCGTGAGTTTAAGGCCAGCCTCAGCAACTTATCGAGACCCTAAGCAACTAAGTGAGACTCTGGATTTGATCCCCAGCACAGCACGGGGATTAAATCCATAAAACATAAAAAGGGTTGGAGATGTGGCTAAGTGGTTAAGCACCCCTGGGTTTAATCTCCAGAACCAAAAAAAAAAAAAAGAAGAAGAAGAAGAAGAAAATTTAAGACAGTTGTAACTTCTGACAAGGGAGAGGAAGTAGGATATAAAACAGGACATAAACTATATGTATAATGTTTAATGCTTTCTTTAAAAAAAACTGATAATATAAAATATTTAGTTGGTTTAACTGGGTGGTCAGTATATAGGTCTTTATTACACTTGCTCTTCTTAAGTTTCTATGATCTTTGAAGGGAAAATACTGAAATGTTTGTGATAATGAGCATCCCGATAAGGAAAACGAGAGCCAAAGCCCATGGACACCCAGTCTATGTAGGCCAGGCTCACCCTCGGGCATCAGCGTGCTCTCTTGGGCCTAGGAAATTGGGCCTTAGCTGCTAACGAGGAGCAGGGCATGAGAGCCCATAGCTACAGGTAGCATCATAAAAATTGGTCCAGCACCTTTGAAAATTGTACTGCCAAGAATTATAATTTTACATAGTCATAAAATTCTAGAATTTTCCCTGAAGAAAAAGTTCATAAAGCTTTTAAACATGAAGAATTTTATGGTACTATCTATAATTTGAAAAATTGGAAACAATTTTAAGCCTATAAATGAAGGACACTCAAGTAAACTGAGTTATACTAACCATATAGAGTATTATATCACTTTAAAATTGTTACAAAAACAGTATCAAAACTAGAAAATACTTATAGGGGCCTGGGGATGGAGCTCAGTTGTTAGAGTGCTTACCTTGCATGCATAAGAACCTGGGTTCAATCCCCAGCACCACCAAAAAAAAAAAAAATTATCTTCCAGTTATTTTGAAGAAAATACTTATAGGAAAATGTGTAAAAGAAAAAATAAATAATTTTTTTATGTAGCAATATTATAACTATAAAAATATATGTTCCTTTGAAAAAAGACTAGAGAAGAATTGACAAAAATGAAAAGCATACAAGTTGATGAAATCCACCAATGTAAAAAGTCAAAATTTTTTATTAGTTTTATCCTTTAAAACAGGTTGAACTGAATAGGGTTGAAAAATTGATCACATGAGAGAAAAATTGATCACGTAAGAAGGCTGTTTGAATCACTTGGCTTCCTTATTTTTGAGTAACTATACGAGGATATTCTGTGCTGATTTTTATACTTTCTGAATTTCAGCCATCAGAGATAGAAATGGAGACTCAGATACACCTTTATGGGCACACAGAAGAGGTGACCAGCTTGTGTGTTTGCAAACCATACAGCATCATGATAAGCGTGAGCAGAGACGGAACCTGCATCCTGTGGGACTTGAACAGGTATGGTGGGTGTCCAACTCACACGTGGGGGGTATTGGACTCACTTGTGGGGAGGTGGGACTCACATGGAGTGACTCACACATGGGGGGATAGAACTCACACGTGAGGGTTATGGGACTCACATGTGGTGGGGGGTGTTCGACTCACACATGGCTTTTTTTTCCCCCGTACTGTGCTGGGGATCAAATCCAGGTTACACATATGCTAGGCAAGCACTCTACTACTAAGCTACAGCCCCAGCCCCAAAGACAGCTGTTTTTAATATTGTAGTTCTTACTGTATGAGTAAAATAGTACCATTACATTATAATTTTACAAATGAAACACATGCCTAAAAATAAGATTACCTTTATAATCCTATTAAAATCAAAAGATCAGGTAAGAAAATATGTATGTCTTAATGTAGACACATACTAAGGAAGTCTTGCCAACGACCCATGCTGACGAGATGAGCTGGCCAAAACGTTAAACCAAGAAATCACTCAACACAGACATAAGTTCTGCAGATCAAGGGTGGGACTGCTCTGCGACCTTAAAGGTCAGCCTCCACGCTAGACAGTATGCTGGAAAAGAGAGTGTACACCCAGAATCTCTTTACTTTTATAGGGGGACTCACAAAGAAGTTGATAGAGTGTTCTTCACCACATAGGCAGGGGGCAAGGCTTCAGGGTAGAGTCTTGCTTCATGCTGTCTTGTGGTCAGCAGATTGATGGACATCTTGGCGAGTCACACCCATCTCAGGTGCTGTGTGGGATCACAGGCAGTGCTAACGGGAAGGCGCACTTGCATGGTGCAGCCCAGTCAGCGTGCGATGCCAGGCCTGTCCCCTCACTTGGCTACTATGTGCATAGTTCACACACACAGCCCATGGACGGCTCATGACAGAAAAGAATTATACAAATAAGAGAATAGTTCTATTTAGTGATCATATGCAAATTCATGTCTTTTGTTTTTCAGACTGTGCTATGTACAAAGTCTGGCAGGACATAAAAGCCCTGTCACAGCTGTCTCTGCCAGTGAAACCTCAGGTGACATTGCTACTGTGTGTGATTCAGGTAAGCTTGGCCCAAGCCACAGCATAGGGCCGCCACTCTATCAGGGCATCCACCAGCTGGTTACTTTCCAGGAGGAGCGTCTCTCAGGTCCCTCCCTACCTGGCCTGAGCACTGTGGACATTGCATGTATTTGCGTTAAAATACAATCAGGTCTGAGACTGAGATCCTTGATACAGGCATCAACTTGTGCAGAAATTAATATTGTCATAATTTAGCTGTTTCCCTGATATATGAAAAATTGCATTTGAGCACACATAACCAAATTATTTTGCATAATTATTGGAATTTTCTTGGTTTTTGTTTTTCTTTGCTATTTTTGCTTCTGCTTTTTAGCTATTGACTTTGTTACCTTCCTCCTATTAGTAAGCACAGTAAACTGAGTTTGAAGACATAATTGGCTTTTATTAGTCCTCGTGACCTGGCAGCACCCCACCTATGAAATAGAAAGACACTGCGGTGAGCTGAGTAGGAGCCTGCTATGCTGGCAGAAGTCTGGAGCACACAGAGAGGATTTCTTTACTATGCCAGCTCTGGCAGTCCAACCCCTTATGATTGGTTGCTTCAAATCTGTTTTTTGGAAAACTAGCCCACTTCCAAGTTCAGTTTGATTATGTGGCACCTGGCCCCAGTGACTCCGTTTGGTTTATTCTGGGGCACAGTGGCCTCCCATACCTTTACTCCTGATAAATGAAGAGCATCGGCAGGTGAGAAGCCTTAAGTGAAGGCATTCCTGAGAGAGGGCAGTAGTATAGGATAGTAAGTGGAGCCATGATCTGCCTTAATATGCAAAAATACATCTCCTGGCTGAAGTCAGGATTTTTTCATGTGTGTATGTTTTTAAAATAGTGCATCTAGCTACAAAGAACAATAAGAAAATGTATGATTTCCTGCTTGGATTTCTGCTTTTAAGGAATTTTTTTTTAAGAGAGAGACAGAGAGGAGAGCGAGAGAGAGAGAGAGAATTTTTTAATATTTATTTTTCAGTTTTCCATGGACACAACACGTTTATTTTATTTTTATGTGGTGCTGAGGATCGAACCCAGTGCCCCACGCATGCCAGGCGAGCGTGTTACCACTTGAGCCACATCCCCAGCCCTTAAGGAATTTTTTAATTGAAAGGATCCTTTGAACAACCATTTGCTTCTTTCTGTCCACTCAGCCTAGAGTATCTTTGACACGTCTGTAGTGAGTGGTCCTCTATCCTTTGTTTATATTTTTATATTGTTTGATTTTTTATGACACCAAATATATGATGTCTTTCCAAACACCAACTATTTCTTCAATTCTCTACCACTACCTGGGTGAACAACAATACAGCTCATTCTCTCACCACTGGAAGTGAGCAGTTTAGGAGTTGCCATGACCACTTGCTCTCAGATTTAATGACTCCCTAGAGCAACTCAGAAATCAGTACAACCCTGCATAGGTTGAGTATCCCTTGTCCAAAATGCCTGGCACCTGGGTGTTTTATTATGGAATATTTACATATATATGCTGAGATATTTTAGGTGTGCGGCTCAGTTATAAATATTAAATTCACTTGTGTTTTTGTCTGCCTTGCACACACAGCCTGAAGATAATTTCATACAGTATTTTTCACTTGCATCCTGTCTGTGACCCACCACATGAGGTCAGCTGTGGGATTTCCTACCTGTGGTTGTTGTCAGCACTCAAAAGCTTTCCGTCTTCAGAGCCTTTCTGATTCTGGGTGCTGGGCCTGCACTTACTACTGTAGTTCACCATGAAGGGTAGAAATGAGCAACCAGAAGAGCCTGTGGGCTGAGGTCCCAAGGGTTCTGAGCATGGCAGCACTGTCCTTCTGGAGCCTGGCTATGGAGCTGGGGCACACACTGCCTGGCCCACAGTGTGTTCTCCTAACCACAGCACCCCCGACCTTGCCATAGGGGTTTGATGGAGACCCCACTAACAGACTGTTGGTGACTGAACCGTCTCAGCCCCACCTCCCTCCCCCCCTGCATGTGGGGGTGGGTCTGAAAGTCCCTGCCCTCCAATCCTGGTGACCAGCCCCTTGAGTAATCTCCTTCTTGTAGCAAAAGACAGTGCATCTGAAGGGATTCTAGAGTTCTGTGCCAGGAACCAGGGACAAAAGCCAAATGTTTATTTTTTATTATGCCACAGATGTCTCTTAGGATTTGATGTTGCTGTTGTTGTTTTTACAAAACATTCATTCATTTTTACATTCAGGAGCTATAATGTCATCAGTCATGATGAAAGATTTCAGGTGTTCACGTAGTTTTTGCCATTCTCAGCTCCATCATAAAATCATGTCATGAAAACATTTTTATTTCCTAATGATCACAGCCAGGGGGAAAACCTTACTTAGAGCTGACCTAGGTAATATCAGTGTGAGCAGATGATTCATAAGTTGGCTAATTGTTCTTCCTGGGTTTGTACATTAGCAGCTTTCACAGTGTCACATCCAGAGGTACACTGGGCAGTAAATAATGATATTTATATGAAGTCCTCTTCTTTCTTGTTTTAGCAAGGTTTGAAAGTTAGGGCTTACCCATAGGGAGCCAGATTTTTTAAAGCTAATTACTTCCCTGCTGCCAGCAGTGATTCATATCTGTGATATTATATCAGCTAGTCAGCTGGGAATTAGAAACAAAATTACTTTGCTGCAGTTGCTAACTCACAGTAGGATATCCAAGGGTCCCTAGATAGCGAACAGGGTACAGAGTAATAGGCACAATTTTTTTCCAAATTGAACAAAAAACCCTTCTCAACTTCTCTAAGCCTTCTTGAAACACATATAAAAGAAGTCATAAAGAGCACTGGTGCCAGGTGTGGTGGCACACAGGTGTAATCCCAGTGGCTCAGAAGGCTGAGGCAGGAGGATCACAAGTTCAAAGCCAGCCTCAGCAAATTAGCAGGGCCTTAAGCAACCTTATGAGACCTTGTCTCAAAATAAAAAGTAAAAAGGGCTGGGATGTGGCTCAGTGGTATATTGTCCCAGGTAAATTCCCAGTACAAAAGCAAACAAAACACTTTCTAAAAGAGAGGCCAAACTCATATGTAGTGACCCAGACGAGACTAGCCCAAGAAGGGAAAAAAGTTATCAGATTTAACCTACCAGAGATCTTGATCCTTTAGTGGATACCATCCAAGTAACTTTATTTTTTTTAAATGTTTATTTTTTAGTTGTAGTTGGACACAATACCTTTATTTCACTCATTTATTTTTATGTGGTGCTGAGATTCGAACCCAGGGTCTTGCACATGCGAGGCGAGTGCTCTACCACTGAGCCACAACCCCAGCCCCACCCAAGTAACTTTAAAATTAAAATTAAAAATAAATAAATATAGGAGCTGGGGATGTGGCTCAAGCGGTAGCGTGCTCACCTGGCATGCGTGCGGCCCAGGTTCGATCCTCAGCACCACATACAAACAAAGATGTTGTGTCCGCCGAAAACTAAAAATAAACATTAATAAATAAATAAATATAAATTTGCTTGTATGTACTTATATATGTGTAGTGTGTGTGTATGTGCATGAAATATTCTCTAAAGTTACTTTGGCAGTTTTATTCCTCCTGATCATAATTCCTCAGTTCTTACTATGGGATATAGTTTTCATAGTGATAAGATGTGAAATTAAATAAATTATGAAACTCAGATTATTTCTGTGTTTTTTTATTAAACCATTTTATCACTGGACCAAGTACGTGCCTTTGGACAAGGTGGGCCCTGCCCAGTCCTCTGTCAGAGTGGCACTATGAAGTAGAGTATTGCTGTTCTCGATGTTCTTTTAGCCTCTGTGACAGCAGGTAGGGAGAATAACATGTTCCTCAGGAATGCTCAAGTTTCTGACTTTTTAGTTGATGTGTTACATTATAATGAAGCTAGGTGCCATGGGGTGCACCTACAATCCCAGCATCCACGTGGTGGCGAGGGTGGGGGTGGTAAGGCAAGACAATTGAGACTAGCCTAGACAACTTTGCAAGACCCTATCTCAGAATTAAAAATAAAAGGGCTGAGGATGCATGTAGCGCAGTGGCAGAGCACTTGCGTAGCATTCATAAGACCCTGGGTTCCATCCCCAGAACAGCCAGAATTATACAAACATGTACACACACACATATATATACATCTCGATGACTTTTTAAAGAAACTTTTTTTTAAAAACCTTTATTTATTTTTATGTGGTACAGAGGATCAAACCCAGGGCCCCGTACCTGCTAGGTGAGTGCTTTACCACTGAGCCACACCCCAGCCCACCAATGACTTTCTTAAGCCTTCTAACCTAATACTCACCTGTTTACTTCATCTTAGGGAAAAAAAAAACAAAAAAACTTTCAGCAGATATTAACTCCTGAGGAAAGGGTAAACGCAGCCTGCCCGTGGACGGGTGACTATCCACCATTCTGTTCTCTAACATACTGAGTCCCTGTGTCTTGATGCTGCTCAGATAGCATCTCCTAATCAGTGTTGTGCAGTGACCCTGGGGCTATGGGCGCAGAGTAGATTTAACACAGAATTGCATCTCAGCCCTTCTGAATATACAGTGGCATTAACTAGATCAGCAGTGTGTGCATCTACCGCCATCAACCCAAACAGGAAGCATGGCCACGCAGCAGTGGCCATGCCCACCCAGCCCCTAGTAACCTTTCCTTTACTTCCTGTCCTGAACTGGCCTGTTTTAGAGACTCTTCATGTCCTGTGCACGTGAATCACACAGTGTTAACCTATTGTTCTTATCTCCCTTAGCATAATGCTTTCAGGATTCATCCATGTTGAATCCCCCATCAAAACTAACTCCCTTTTTTATGGTAAATAACATGCCACACAGTAGTCTGCACACATGCACACACACACATGCACAGACTTATTTATCCACTAGTTTTTGAGGGCATTTGAGTTGTTTCCACCTTGTGGCTGTTTTGAATAATGCCACACCATGGGCATTTTGATCTGTGATATTGAAGGCCTGTAAATCAATAAACATTTACAATATTTGTTTCTTTGTATTAAATATGAAGTATTTTCATTGCCTTAATAAAGGAGAGAAATATGTTCTCTACTTCTGTGTTAGCCCTAATAAAAAAGTGAAATGGAAGGTACAAGACAGTGCCATCTGAATGTCCCACCCCCAGGCTTTCTTCATCAGTGTGAGAACATTTCCCCAAAGGAAGCTGCTCTCAGCCCGAGGCCCCAACCACCACTTATTTCTCCAGCGGGGCAGTGATTATGGCCTCTTCCAGCCCCAGGAAAACTAGAAAATAGCTGGTTACTCTGTGGTCTTTGAAAAGAAGGATTTAGTTCAGTAAGGCGTGGATAAGTAAGATTCCGCATGAGATATTCTAAAGAGTAGATTTTCTTTTTTGTAAGAATTTTAGCTCAGGTAATTTTTACTGCAACTTTTTTTTCCTTTTTGAAAGTCACATAAGTCACTTCTGATAGATGGTGTCACAGAATATTTCCATCTCTTTTTGGAGACCGCCTGGCGTTCCCAGGGCTGCAAGTGCTCAGCTTGGGCAGTTTGCACTGAAATGCTGCAGTTGCTCAGGGATCTGTGGTTTGCTTACTGTGCAGCTCTGCACTGTGGACTGCCTGCCCACCTGCCCACCAACCCTGGTCTCCAGGTAGCATGCAGGCCTGTACCATGCTGCCCCAGGCTGCCAAGGAGTGTGGCCTCAGGGCCACCCTGGGTACTCAGTAGGCCTGGGCTCTGACTCCCACCTTCTAGTGACTGGGACGATTTAATGTTGTAGCTGGTGGAGGCAGTGACCTCAGGCTCTGGACAGTGAATGGGGACCTCGTTGGACACGTGCACTGCAGAGAGATCATATGCTCCGTGGCCTTCTCCAACCAACCTGAGGGGATATCCATCAATGTCATTGCTGGGGGACTAGAAAATGGAATTGTGAGGTAAGAAGAGTGTGGACTCAGACTTTTTTATTTGTTTTCATTCGTAAGGATACAGCAACTTTAGAAATATAGTTCTTAATAATATCTAGGCGTATTATAATTTTAGATTGAGAATCACCTTTAGGTACAAGTTCTTTGGTTATTTCCCATTTCTAAATAATAAAGGTAGCTTTAGTACAATTTTGATATTTTTTGTTAACTGTTAAAAGATTAACAGCATGAAAGTACACAAAGTTAAAAGTCTTTTATTCCCACACCCACCACTGAAAACTTCCTGGAAGTCATGTGCTGTTAGTGGATAGTTACATTTCCTTCCAGGTGACTTGTAACAGAGAAACAGATGTGCAGGTGTCTGGAGGGTGTGTGGAGGGCATTTTAGTTGGCTTTACTGCATGATGACTTTTCCCTCTAGGCTGTGGAGCACATGGGACCTAAAGCCCGTGAGAGAAATCACATTTCCCAAATCAAATAAGCCTATTGTGAGGTAAGATCTCCCACTCTGTTCCCTGTGATTTGTGATGGTGTTTTTGTTAGATCTTAGAGTATGCCAACATAAAGAAAGGGGTGCTTCAAGGCTTTGTGAAGGGCAGCCATTCCTCACACAGGGCTGTCAGGAACCCAGAGCAAGAACCACACTCCCTGCCATGGGAGCTTACGGCCTGAGGGTCCACTGGAAAGTCAGGCCTGGCAGTGTGCCTGGTGGGCCGTGGAAGGTGAGAAACTGTACTTTCTTACTTCCTTATTTGCAAAGTCCACAGTGGCGATGGCTTGCTGCAGGGGTACATTTGACAAGATTGACAAACAACCAGTTTGTCACATATGTGACTTTTATAAACTCATGTGGGAGCTGGAGTGGTGGCCCAGTGGTAGAGCACTTGCCTAGCATGTATGAGGCACTGGGTTCGATTCTCAGCACTGCATATAAATAAATGAATAAAATAAAGGTCCATCAACATCTAAAACAATATTTTAAGAAAACACTTGGAAGTGAAGCCATTCACATTCTACTTTATTAAATTAATTTTCACTGTACTAAATTTAAAGTTTAATGAACCTAAATTACTTATTAATGTTAGATTTTTTTTTACTCTTTTGTCTATCAGGGAAATAAAATATATTGTTAAAACAATCACTTAATTTTTAAGGGAAAACTATACTGCTGTTATGTTTTTAAGGTTTTCCACACCCAAGTTTGTGCTGTGTAGGTGGTAGAGCAGGACCAGGCAGGAAAGAGAAGGGAGGCAAAGCAAGGACCAACTCGGCCAAGCTCCTGGCCCCACTGAAAGGGAGCTTCTCACACTTGTCCACAGAGTGACTGTGTTAGATCTCTGCAGACCCCTGGGTTGTGGGCACACTTGATTTGTCCCTGCTCCACTGAAGAGATCTAACTTCTATATCATGGCCACTACACCTCAACAATGTCAAGAAATATAACGTACCAATGGGGTTTGCTTTTACAGCCTTACGTTTTCTTGTGATGGCCACCACTTGTACACAGCGAACAGTGATGGGACGGTGATCGCCTGGTGTCGGAAGGACCAGCAGCGCATGAAGCAGCCCATGTTCTATTCCTTCCTCAGCAGCTATGCTGCCGGGTGAACAGAGGGAGCTGTGCGTTCTCCAGAGCACCTCAACTCCAGGGGGATGGTCGGCTTCACCAGGGCAGGAAGGAGGCTGAGCCCGCAGAAATAGATGACTAGGCACACCCTTCAAATAACCACACACCTGTTCATCTGCACAGAATCCCAAAGCCTCCCTGGGCCCTGAGAGGCAATTCCCGTCCTCATCGAGGGATGCTGCGGGAGCTGCGTGATGCGTACCAGCCAGCCGGGCGAGGGCTTGCGTGGTACATTAAATCATGTTCTCAAAGTGTTTTCCTACCAGGTATTCTGAAGAAAAAAATCAGGGTCTCCCTTCAAAAGGGCCAATAGAATTTCAATTGGCTAGCTGGTTATTTATATAAGATACTCTAAAAATTATATTTGAAAAGTTTTCTGCCTTGATATACCCTCACCCCCGACACACCCCAAAAACTGGAAAGAGAAAAAGATAATATATTTCAGGACTCAATAATTGCTTTCTTTGAAAAGCAGGTAATTCAGTAGGTGCCTCTGCACCAAGCATTCTGTGGACTATTGGAATACTAAGAGGAAACTCCTAATGAATCTCAACTTCAGACAGTTTTTGCTGGTTGCCACCTTAGCTCAAGGGAGAAACAGAATTTTTCGAAAGCCATGAACAAAAATATGGTCATCTTCAATTTCAGACATGTCCTGTTTCTTCATGAAATTTTTACTTAAAACCCATAACACTAGATATTGAACATCCTTAGCTGAATCACTGAGGATCAAACACAATGGTGAATCTTTTAACATCTGCTGTTAGCAGTGCCATTTACAGAGCTTTGAAACCTGCCCCATGTGCAGGGAAGCCTCTGCTATGCAGGTGAGCACAGGCATCATGCAGCTGGGGTGAAGCAGCTCACCCAATCTGCAGCTTGGACCGTCTTCCCCAGAACAGAACCGCAGAAGTAAAGGAGACAGGTTGCTGTCCTTTAAACAGAAGCAGAGTGATTCTTTAGGAAGCCATTTTCACTGCGTTGCTAATAACCTCTGCCACCTGAAAATTCTAGGAACAGGAGAAAACTGTTCCACAGCAGACTTACACAACATGAAGATGCAGTGCTAAACATTTTGGAGTAGTTCATCTCTGCCATGCAGTGACAGCTATATTTTACTTGCGGTGCTGCTTTAGTGGCTTCAAAAACTGCAAAATAGGCTCAAAAATATGTTACCATGGGATAAAAATGTATATTCCTGCCTGAGAATAACTTGCACATTTGTTTCAGAAATTTAGTTCACATGATGTTTACAGAACTGCTTTTGTAACTTCCAGACTTTCTAAAATATTCTGCTTAAAAACCATAAAACACAATTCCAGAGTCTCTGCTGGGAGCTAGGCACAGGGCAAGGCCCGTGGCCCTGTGCACTTTCAACCTCAAACTTAGCGGCTACATTGAGGTCATGGTTTGCACAAGCCAGGTGTCCATTCTGAGGTCCACGTGAGTGCAGAGATGAGACTATTCCTATTCACATTGAAGTGATTTGCTTTGTTTAAAAAAAAATTGCAGCTATTGTCTAGCTTCCATTTTTTTTTTTTACTGAGAACTTTAAATTACTCTCCTATTAGAATAGGGTTGCTATTTGGTCTTTTGTTTTTAGTGCTGGATTTCATCATTTATCTAAAAAGTCAATATGCAAAATAACTGGTCTTGTTAAGAGTGCAATATTCTATTTTTATGTAAAAATAAAAATTAATTGGGGGGATTATTTATTCAGCATGGAACCTAATATGTATATGTTGGAAACACTTCCTAATGTGCATGTTGTAGCAAACATTCCTGTAAATTATCACAAGCTCTGTTATCTTTGTATATACTGCCACTTCAATTTGGGAATAAATTTCATAAAAATAGATTTAAATACCTATCCTTTATAGGACTTACGACTAGATCTCAAATCAATGGCTTTTTGTGGGGGGGAAGGGGTGGAGCAGGTGCTGGAGATTGAACTCAGGGGGACTCAGCCACTAAGCCACATCCCCAGAACTATCTTTATTTTATTTAGAGACATGGTCTCCCTGAGTTGCTTAGTACCTAGCTTTTTACTGAGGCTGGCTTTGAACTCAGGATCCTCCTGCCTCAGCCTCTGGAGCCACTGGGATTACAGGCGTGCACCACTACGCCCATCTCAAATCAGTGGCTTTTTAGGTTCTCTCTGCAGTTCCATAAATTTCTTTCAGTATAAGAAGGTACAGACAACTTTTAGGCTTGCGCGCGCGCACACACACACACACAAACCACGAGAGAAAGAAAGGAGAGAGACAACTTTCATTTCTTAATTGTGTGGGATTTTTTTGTTTTGTTTTACTAAATGTTATCTTTCAAGCTTTCCTACCCTTAAATGAGACATCAGTCCCAAGACAGGCTGTTCATTTCAATGGAAAGAACATCTGTCCTGTCCCCGTGATAATATCTACCCTGAGCCCCTGCCACATGCCAGGCACTGTTCTAAGTGCAGAGGATTTGGGTTGCAGTGTCCCTGCCATCTTGGAAGTTGCAGGTTAGTGGAGAAACCAGCAGCAGTGACGTAAGCAGCACACAATGTATGCAGTTAAAACCATGGTAGGTGCTAAGGGTGTAGAGTCAAGAGTACCCAAAATGCAACAGGAAGAACTCAGCTCAGTTGGAGGTGATCTAGAACTCCTTGAAAGATTGAAGGTTTTGGTGCTACCTAATGGATAAATATAAATCTAGGTGAAAATGGGGCAGACAGGTCCAGTATAGTACATGTATAAAGACTGGGGTCACCCAGCAGGTCCCAGCCAGGAAAGGGAGGTGCATCCGCCTGGATTCCTGCCTTTGTGGGTAAGGAGGGCTCTAGCACCAGCAGGCCACGGCCAGGCCCTCTGCTTCTCCTTGCATCTCTGGTGTGTTCCAGCTTCTCAAGCTGGCTCCTAGTGTCCAGTCCCCAAGAGAACTCTGCACAGTGCAAGCCTGGCCTCCCACAGCCAGTCTGCCTGCAAGTCTCAGTTTACACTTCAGGGTGCTGATGGGGAAGGAGGAACAGGATTCCTCAGCCCTGCATTCCTGGCCATCTGCCCCCTACTACTTCAGATAAGGTGTTAATGTCCCTGAACAGGAAAGAAGAGCCAGAGGCCAGTGCTTGGGAAGGTGAGTAGGGAGCAAAGAAATGCAAGGAGCATCTGACATTATCTTATCAACGTTGAAAAGAGGTTGGGGATTGAAACCATGCAAGTGCCTGCTCTGTCCTCTTCAGTGTTCTTTTACTGCTGACCACCCTTCAACTAACTGTCCCCAGTTGGTTCCATGTTGGGGACATAAATATCCTAATAGTTCCCAAACTCCCACTTCTTGAACAGCTGTATTCTCTTTTCAGTGAACTTTCATAACCAGGGCAACACTCCACCCTCTCTGAAGTCAAAACACTTCAAGTCTAACAGCATCAAACTGTCCTCCAGAAAGACCAGCTGAAGAGGGCTAGCAATTGTAGGGTAGATGGGGGAGGAAACAGAAGAACTGCCATTTAAAAGGACTTAAGCCGGGCGTGTTGGTGCACGCCTGTAATCCCTGCAGCTTGGGAAGCTGAGGCAGGAGGATTGCTAGTTAGCACCTCAGCAAAAGTGAGGTGCTAAGCAACCCAGCAAGACCCTTTTTCTAAATAAAATACAAAATTAGGGCTGAGGATGCCTTGACAATGACTGGCCCAGACAGGATGAACTGGGTTTAAAAGAGCTGGCTGGAACGTTAAGCTAAGAAAGCAGTAAAAAAAATCACACAGGGGATATCACCATGGCAGAGAAATGGTGTCACGGGCGGAGGAGATAACTGCATTGAAACCAGCGCGACAGGTGTGTAATCCCCTAGCCATCTCTCTCCACACAGCGGGGAAACCTTAAGGGCCACTCCCAGCTCTCCTGTGAACGCAATAACCAGACCGAGGGAATCAGGAGTGGCGCGGGACTCGCTGCGCGGAACTCCCGGCTACCGCTCCCACCAGTGCTGACAACTGAGGTCTCTTGCACCAGCTACCGGGGGCGTGGCTACAGGAGGGCAAGCAAATTCGCTGGGGGATCTCAGCCCCAAGCTCTACAAACTTAGGGTCTGAGGGAGGCAAACAGGGAGAGTGAGCCCAGGTGTTCATGAAAACAGGGCTCCCAGGAGCAGCAGACCTGGCGTGTAGCCAGTATTGTGGTGAGCGCCACAGGTGAGCACGGCCTGGCTTGAGGAAACACAAGACAAGGCCCTAGACACTCAGGATTGGAGACCCGCCCGGTCTAGGAGAAAGAGCTGCTGCACAGTGAATGGTTCCCACCTATTGAGAGGAGAAGCTTGGCCCAGTGGGCACAGCTCCACCTACTGGAAGAGAAGTTAATAGAACTCTAGGACTGCATTTATTATTATTATTATTATCATTTTTTTTTCTTTTCTTTTTCTTTTTTTTTCTTTTTATTTTCTTCTTTTTCTTTCATTTTCAATTTTTATTTGTTGTTGTTCTTTAATTTTTTTTTCAATGTTTCTATTTTTTTTAATTTTTTTTATTTTATTATTATTATTTTTTTTAATTTTAATTTTCATTTTTTATTATCACTATTATTTTTGTTAAAATTTTTTTTTTCGTCTTTTCTTTCTTTCTTTATTATCTAATCTTTGTTATTCTTGTTTCTTTTGTCTTTTCATTTCTTTTCAATCTTCTTATTCCCCCTTCCTTGAATTCTACCTGCCTACTCTCATTCTCTTTAGTGACTTCTTCCCTTCCCTTCTAATATCTTTCCTCTCAAGCATCAAATAAATCTATAAGAGTAAACAGTAACTCAGCAGTCAAACAGAACAAGAAGTAACATGAGCAGCATAAAAAAGTAAGGAAGAAAAGGAGTACAAACAATGAAGGACAGCCTAAATATTCAGGAGGACCTAGAGTCAGCAGAAAAATGGTCATATAAAGAACTCAAGGAATACCTTAGACAGATGGAATGGAACCTTAAAGAAGATACGAGACAGCAAATCCAAACAGTGAAAGAACACTTTGAAAATGAATTACATAGACAGATAAAAGAAGAAGTTAAGCATCTTTATCAGGAGATTGAGATTATAAAAAAAAAACCAAACAATAATTCTAGAAATGAAGGAAACGATAAACCAAATTAAAAACTCAATTGAGAGTATCACTAACAGAGTGGAGCAAGTAGAAGCCAGAACATCAGATAATGAAGACAAAATATATCATCTTGAAAAGAGCCTAGCCAACTCAGAAAGGCTGGTTAAAAACCACGAGAAAAACATCCAAGAGATATGGGATAACATAAAGAAACCAAACCTACGAGTCATCGGGATAGAAGAAGGTACAGAGATTCAAACCAAGGGAATGAGTAACCTGCTGAAAGAAATAATTACAGAAAACTTTCCAGAAATAAAAAAGGAAATGGATATACAAATTGTAGATGCATACAGGACACCGAGCACACAAAATCACAGTAGACCAACGCCAAGACACATTGTTATGAAGATATCCAATATACAGAACGAAGAGAAAATACTAAAAGCTACAAGAGAAAGGAGGCAGATTACATTCAGGGGTAAACCAATAAGGTTAACAACGGATTTTTCATCACAGACGCTGAAAGCGAGAAGATCCTTGAACAACGTATTTCAAACACTGAAAGACAATGGATGCCAACCAAGAATTCTGTATCCAGCAAAATTAAGCTTCAGGTACGATAACGAAATAAAAATCTTTCATGATAAACAAAAGCTAAAAGAATTTGCAGCCAGAAAACCAGCATTGCAAAGCATCTTGAGCAAAACACTACACGAGGAAGAAATGAAAAACAATAACCAAAACCATCAGTGGGAAGTGCCTCTATAAAGACAGAGGGCGGGGGGAAAGCTAACCATGGAGAAACAAACTAAATTAAAAAAAAAAAAAAAGAAGATAAATAATCAAACATGGCTGGAAGTACAAACCATATATCAATAGTAACTCTAAACATTAATGGCTTAAACTCTCCAATAAAGCGACATAGGCTGGTAACATGGATTAAAAAAACAAATCCAACAATATGCTGCCTCCAGGAGACACATCTGATTGGAAAAGACATACACAGGCTGAAGGTGAAAGGTTGGGAAAAAATATACCATGCACACGGTCCTCGTAAGCAAGCAGGGGTGGCCATCCTCATATCGAATAAAATTGACTTCAAGACTAAATTAATCAAAAGGGATAAGGAAGGACATTATATACTGTTAAAAGGAACCATTCACCAACAAGACATAACAATTATCAATATTTATGCACCAAATAATGGTGCTGCGACGTTCATAAAACAAATTCTCCTCAAGTTCAAGAATCAAATAGACCACAACACAATAATTATGGGTGACTTCAACACACCTCTCTCACAATTGGACAGATCCTCCAAACAAAAGCTGAATAAAGAAACTATAGAACTCAATATCACAATCAACAACCTAGACTTAACTGACATATATAGAATATATCAACCATCATCAAGTGGATATACTTTTTTCTCAGCAGCACATGGATCCTCCTCAAAAATAGACCATATATTATGCCATAGGGCAACCCTCAGTAAATATACAGGGGTGGAGATAATACCATGCATTTTATCTGATCATAATGGAATGAAACTGGAAATCAATGATAAAAGACGGAAGGAAAAATCCTACATCACATGGAAAATGAACAATATGTTACTGAATGATCAATGGGTTACAGAAGACATAAAGGAAGAAATCAAAAAATTCTTAGAGATAAATGAAAATACAGACACAACATATCGGAATCTATGGGACACAATGAAAGCAGTTTTAAGAGGGAAATTCATCGCTTGGAGGTCATTCCTCAAAAAAAGGAAAACCCAACAAATAAATGAGCTC